TTTTTTTTTGAATCTAAACTTAATTTTAATTTATCAAATTATATTTTAATTTTTTAAATATATCCCTTAATTTATTATTTTATTTTGTCGGCTGAGTGCTACGTTCCCAGTCACGTGGTACTAGAGGCCCTTTATTCGACTGGGTGGCGCCCATAAAGAAAAACCCCACGATCAGCTCTCCTCCGAAATACGAGCTGCCAAGGTGTTACCTATTTTATATATAAAAAAAAAAAGGGAAATAGGTAACACTATCTATAATTTCGCTAGAACAAAGGACGTTGCTACTAATTTAATCAGCGATTTTAGACGCATCAGAGTAGAGACGCAAACGATTGCGACACCACAATCTCTTACTTTAACAACTTCTTTTAAAGGACCATCAATTTTATGGTGGATGCTATTGCAGCATCTTTTAAATGGAATTAAAACTTGTAAAAGTTTGAATCTTAAAACTGTTATTTTACCTCTAAATTAAATTTAATTAATGAGTTATTTATTCAAGTGTAAGTGATACCTAATTTAGTTAAAAATCTTAACTGAACACGGTGAGATGTATCAAGACTGCGTTGCATCTAATGACTTGATTTAATGAGCATCGCTGACGACAGATGGTTCTCAGGTGGCTGCAACTAAGCCTTAAGCGACCTGTACGTGAACCTGGTAATCTGGGCCATTTTTATTAGGATATCCAAGATATACGATATTACCCCGCGAGCTAGATTTAGCGAAATTGGAAATATATGCGTTATTTCAATTGCACCGTCCTCAAAGCTCAAACTCCATTGTGATCCACATCACAGTCATCAATGCAAATTTCGGCTTTGCTCTAATTATTTTTTGTGATAAATGGATAAACTATAATAATAAGCCCGCACCATGTGGGCCGGAATGGACAAAAACACAAAAGCGTCAAGCATGTGACCAAATTGTTTCATTATGCCCCGCAACATACCATCAACAATATACTAGCAAAATTATTAGCAACTAGCTAATTTGCGCAAACAAGAAATTTAATTACAAACAAAAAAAAAGAGTTTTCGGGAGTTTTTCGACACAATGCATTAAAATCAGAGTGGGTAGCGGAGTTAAAATGAACTGCTATCCTTTTCTGAAAGATTTGAATCAATATTTGCAGTTCTAAATTAAGTGATAACATTAGAAGTTTCAAAGTGCTCTAATTAGTTAGCAATTTAGTCGTAGCTGAACAGATCCAGTCTTAGCCAATTACTGAAGATTAAATATTCGATTAAAATGCTTATTAAATTAAATGCGTCTTACTGTTCTTATACTCGTAATATCAGATTTGTGTCGACATATTCTTAATTTGGACTTTAGCACTAGGTAGTAATAATTGCATTATAACTAAATCATCCTAAGCATCTAAGGGTTAATTCTCTGTAACTAAAAGTTTAAATTATTTATTGATTGTCCAGATCAAAAGAATTTTTAGTATTCAGAGATTTTTGGATCCAGCAGTACTAAGTAAAGCAACGTGTTCGATTTCCAAAGCATTGCTGTTATACGATGACACAGATCCTAATTAAATGTTGGTATTGCGTCTGGTCATTTGCAAATGCCATTTAATCTTTCTGAAGTTCACCAATAATAATAATTACCACAAATATATTTTTAAAATACCAGCTTAAAAAAATATTTTGATTGAATGATTTATGGCAGCATTAGCTTCATATGTTTATAACTAAAACTAGAAACACCATCAGACTTTTATTTGTACCTCTTTCGCAACGAACTGACGAACTAATATTAGAGTTAAACTGTGAAACGATAGCCACATCAAAGATTTAATTAAAACAAACATCACAAACATGTACATTAAAACAATCTCAGTATTTTGCAATTTCAAATTTTTTGCGTTTCATGAAATTAAATTGAGGTAGGTATACATTTATTAGTGCTTTTTACAAATATTGAAAAATAATATTGTACATTTATTTTCCAGAAGATTGAAGTGCTGTTGAATTATTTTCCTAGCTTTGTTAATAAAGAGGTCACTGAGATCAGTCTAAATTTAATATTAGGACATTTAAACTAGATAAAAATCCGAAATGTGTCTAGCTGGCAACTTTTGGTGCGTAATTAAGATATATAAATTCCCATTTAATGTAGGTATCGATGTTGAGCCCATCTATTTATTTTGTAAACTATATGCATATTTAAAAAGTTTATCACCTTAACGACACATTGATCAAAATAAAACTTTTCGGTCTTTTTTATCGTAAGACCACAAGTTTCCAGAAGAGTGAATTTTTAAAATAAAGTTCATTTGATTTAAATGGAATATCACAAAAACATTTTTTTTAATTTCATAGTTTCAGTTTCAAATTACATAATTTAATTATAAAATCATTACATTATTTAATTTTTATTTGTATTGTGTATCGATAATTTTGGTTTTTAGATAAGTAAAGTTATTAATTACAGTAAGATATTAATAACAGTAAGTTATTAATTACAATAGTACGAAATCAATTTACATCATATTAACTTACTATTTTTATCATATATCTATTATTTACATTGTGTCCATTGTGGTTCTGGATATACAGAGCGCCCAGAAATGTGGTAGCAAGTTTTTCGATTAATCCCGCAAGATGACACTTTTTTACAGAGACCTTTTTTATGCATGGCAACGGCGCTATCTAAATTGAGATAGATAAATGTCAAGAATTGTCAAGCGTAGAACATTCAAATTTAAGTTTTATTGAAAATGTTCAAATTGAGCCCCATAATGCTCAGTGCATAACGGAACCCTTCGAGCAACATTTCGACAAATTTTGGCGCATAAATTGGGGGTAAAGATTGTTCGGAAAACCTCATTAACATATTCTTTCAGGGTTTGAATATCAGGTTTTGGAACATCTAAATAAACCAAGTGTCTAGAGGTTCCCCAAACTGAAAAATCAGGTGGAGTCCTATCACAAGACTTGACAGGCCATTCAATTGACCCCCTACGACCATTCCAAGTCACTTCTCCAATGGTTTAGAATTTGGTTACAATTTTTAAAATTGCTGCACGATAGTCCCATTTTCTGTTCTACCATCTCGGGCAATGTAAAACCATTTAACTATGTTTATTCCTTGCTCTACAGTTAAATTCATTTTTTGGCAACGAAATGTCAAAAAATGACTTTTGAAAAAAAATAAAAATTCAATGTTGCAAGATTGAACAAATTTGGTATTTCGAAAGTGCCATCTTGTGACACTTTGTGTAAAAGTTGCTACCACATTTCTGGGCGCTCTGTATGTACAAATTAAATCAGCAAGAACAAGCATTTTAATTAAAAATAAAACACACATAACAGTTGTTTAAATAAAAATTAATCACTCAAAGCGTTCTACAAAATTGATTTTTTTACGTTTCCAGTTAGTTTAAAACGTACAAAGTAATTTTATTAATTGATATGTTTTAAATTAAATCAAAAGTTTTTCAGGGCGAATAAACCGATATGTAATTTTGTTAAAATTCCATTTCTATTTTATTAAAGCAAAAATGTGAGTGTAGTTTAAAAAAATAAAAAAAATAAAAATATTTTAATGCAAATGCGTAAAATGTAACCTATGAAGTAGAACATAATGACGCACCACTTTGAAACAGAACTCTCCTTTTCTCTGAATACAAATTTTTGTCATTCTTGTCCTCTTCATAAAAATGCGCAGTTTGCATTGCTATACAATATTTCTAAGTAAAACTAGATTATTTTTATATACGAGTACCAACCTATCTTGGTAAAATTGCCAAAACGTAATTACGAAATCTAACCGTCGAGCCAACTTTCAAACTTTATATTGGATTTTTCTAATAGAATTCTTGTTCAACTTTATAAAGTTGAAGATATGAGTTTTTAGAATATCATAAATCTCAACATATTTCAATAAAGCAGTGGAATGCTCACTTCACGAGAAATATATATATACCTGTGAAAATCCCAAGACTATCGAAGCCCATTTATAGATCTTTTGCTTAAGCTACACTCCAATTTATGGCATAGACTCCTCACTAGGTTTAATGTAACTGAAAAGAATAGTTGTGTATTTTATAAATTTTTATTGTAACCGCAAACATAAATATTATAGTCACATTCTGAATAAATAACAATGAAATAAATTAAGAAACGTGACGAGACACTTCCGGAACACCTACTCTAGATGATTCACCGGTTTGTTAACCGGAATTTTAAAAGTGAAAGTCATAGCCATCATCGCTGGTATCGTCTTCCAAAAATCTTCCAGGTCGGAAAGCCTCCTCGACTTCCGGTTGGTAAGCCATTCGGATTTGCTCATCGAAATTTCGTACATTACTGAGACTTGCCCGTGGTTTGTGTACGGATAATCCGTATGCAATCGATGCTATAAGAGCAATGACAATCCAGATAGCTTTCATGTTGTTGAACGGTCGCATCTGAAAACATGATTGAAAATAGAGCAACAATCACAATGTAATTATATGTAAGCATGATTAAAATTTAATTATGCCACCGTTATCGGCTTTTGGCATCGCTTATTCAAAAATATTTCCAATGAAAGTGGCTTCTGCGTGGGACATGTTGTTCAGTGAAGTGATGAGGCTTCCAGATTTTGACGTTTGATCTCTTCATATGCAATTAACTTGTAATTTGATATAATGTAACATCAGAGTGTACTGAAATTAAGTGTGGGAATTGGAACCAGTTACTGAATTTAATAAATTAGCATTATCTGTACGCCCGACTAAAATTTCCGTTACAAATTAATATTTATTAATCATCTTATGAGTACTCATCCGCCCGCATGTCAACCCTAAAATCAATTTGAGAATACCTCTGCTTAAAATTTAAAATTCAATCAAAACAGTATAGAGGGCACGAATTGACTTGCAGTATTCAAAACTAAACATGCAGAGATTAAGCAGGAACTTGATGGAATCGTAAAGAAGTCACCTACCTTTGGCGATCGCAAGCGAGCAGCTAATTAATTACGACGGTGGTTTATGGTAGTTGATGCACTAAACTGTTGCGAGACTTCAGTTGAATACAACCAGACTTGAAGCAACAGTAGTTTTATATACAAAGGATGTCGACGCTCACTCTGAGCATCAGCACATGGATAAAAGGGATCTACATTACCACTTTACCACTTCCGAACTTTACACACTACCATCAAAATAAATTTATGATGAAACCAAAATCTATTATTTTAAAAATTAAAATTACTTTACTACAATAATTAACAATCTGGAAATCATTGAGAATTCTCAAGTGGGTCAGTCTTACTGGTTTTCTAGAAAAGCAGCTACAAGTGGGTCATTTCGATTTATTCGAGAAGATTTAAGGTAAACTTTGTTTTCTTCGAAAAGTGGTGTTTTCTCAGTTTCTAAAACTACTTACTGTGTCAATTTTGTAAAGTGTATTTGATTAGAAATGCTAACCTCATAATCACCAAAGATAAACGTTTAAAATCAAAATAAAGAACTATTTTGTAAAAATCAGTTTTTTTGACGTTTTCACTAAATTGTTGTATGTTATCATATGTATAACTTAAAAGTTTTATAACTTGGCTATAATTTTAATTGCTTGCTACACCTGAAACTTGGGCATAGCTTATTACGCAAATCGTTTTCAGAAACAGCTTCATTTTTAATTTCACGTAGTTTCACACCATTCTTACTGCCAATGTTTTTTTTATAGAACATTTTACAATACCTGTCAACTCTTTACTCCCAAGCATCACAAAAGTGACCCTTTTATGACATTAGTAGAAGTTTTACCTTTCAAATTGTAAATCATCTGCATTTGACCTTCTGCACAACTAACTGCACTAAGTAGAGTTATCCACTAGTTAAATCAATAAACACTATCGAAAATCTTAATGTAAATTTCGATAGTGACGCGTAAAAATAAACTTACTTAGCCACATAGGTATAACTATCACTTTTAACCTTAATAACATAACATACTATTATTTAAAACTTGCATTTATTTCTTTTCTTATTTGTACATCAATTTATAGTCAGAATACTACCACATTAAAAGCCCAGTACATTTTGGTCTCATATGTAAGCATACTACAAAATTTACCAAGTAGTAAATTAAAAAAGTTTCTTCGATTTCACGTCTTTGTACAATTTTTATTTTTACTATATCTAAACGAAGAAAATTTATTTCTGAAGAGAGTGTTTCTTTTAATTTACCAATTATACCCATACTCTTTTATCTATGAATTAGGTACAGTTAAAAAAATAAAAGTTGCCATTTTGACAAAATATCACACAACTCAAAAACAAAACAAGAATGTCATTCTCAAAACACAATCACATTTTTATAAAACTTTAATTTTTATTATTTTTTCCTAAAAATCATTGATCAAAAAAAAACTGCTTGGTTCTCCATACTTTTTATTCACGTTTTATTCCAAACTTAATTTTATTTATTGTTGCTAAGTCGGTAAGCATTCAAAAATGTTCTAGAACGCTAAAATACTTTGGAACATTTTTTAGATATTATATTAAAAAATAGTATATTATAATACTAGTTTATAAGCATGTTTTAAAGGCGCTTATAAACTAGTGTTATACGCTATTTTTTATTATACCTGCCCATTTACGATCTTTTATGAGCATTGAAAAAATGTGAATTTACACAATAAAATTATCAAAGGTTTTTTGTGAATCGTTTTCGTAGAGACGGTTACTAGTTTACGTTGTTAAGCACATTTTTTCACGTTGTAATTGGTCCAGACATTTCACTATTTCTTGTCACCTAGACAACTTTAAAATTCAGCGTGCTCTAAAGGCCAAATTACGCACGCTGCAGCGTGTTTTAATTTAGGATTATGATGCAAAAAATGTCATATGCATCACGAACGATCTTACCGATCTCAGACAATAATAAATATCAAAGTGTTTTCGATCGGTAAAATGTACTTACCATTCTTGATGCTTAATATACTATGAATTAAGAAAGTTTGACTTTTTAATTTGGACGTGTTACCAAAAATTTACTTCCGCTTCTATGAAGCGGATTCCAGGAAAGAGTATTTTAGTCGCCTACGCAGTGGAATTTTTACGTTCAATGACATCATTCTACCATTTGTGTATCAATTTGATTGCCCAAATTGAAATAAAACATTTCGGCTGTCGCTTGAGTTATCGGTTTGATTTCATTCTCAGAAAATAAATGTCCTCTACTTTCACGCAAAACAAAATAAACTTAACATGTCCAACAAGTTTACAAAACAAAAACTTTCCGGAAATTCTCTACATCTACCTCAGGTTGTTTGCGAGTATTGGAATTGAAATCAGTTTACTCCCCGTAAATTTTCTACGGAGATCGAGACAAAAAATTACAAAGTTAATTATTTAAAAAAGTAGTAAAAGTCGGTGGGATAAACAAAGCAAATACGAACCTGGGAATAACAAATGGTCTTTGGACGCGCCAGTATATTGATGTTTCGTACCCTATCGAGCTTATGTCAATTATTTATAGAAAACCGTTAGGATACAAGACATGAAAAATTTTACACATTTACACCTCAACGTTTTTCCAAGGTAAACATCAGTGACCATATATTTGCTTCGGCAGACAGCTAGTCTTACTAATTATTTTTCACATTTGAGAACGTAATTCATTCCATTGGCTGGTCTATATTTCAGCAAAGTAAGCTTGCACTAAATGAGTGCTATTTAACGAAACGACCTGTAATTGTGCCTAATTTCTCAACTGAAAACCTGAATTAGTTTATAAATCTCCAAACTTTTGAAACCATTCGCATCAATAAACAATCTTTTTCGTGTATACAACATTTTGAAAAGTATCAACGAAACTGTTTGAATATTCCTCAGTAAAATTTCGGGGCTGTTCTGTAAATAAATAATGAAGTTCGTTCTTGGTTTAAATTTTCAATAATTCATCGACCAGTAAAGCAAAAAAGCCACTTCCAGGAGCCATGCTAGAAAGCGAGTTGTAAGTCTACTTATTTTTATTCCTACGCAAAAATACATCGAAACCACTCTCAAATTAGCAGAAATAAAGCATTTATTTTATTATTTGTGACAGCAACCACGAGGGAACTCTTAAAGAAAATAAGGTATTCATAAGATAAACGTATTTTTTTTAATCATGCAATTAATTAATAATTAATTACACGTGAAAAGTAAAAGCATAAATAGATGTTCAATTTCTTTCTCAATTTGAGCCGCATGGCGCATTTTATGAAAATACAGACTCCTGTAGCCGGTAGCCACCTCGTGACGACCTTGCGAACTGTGTCAGCCATCTTTATTGATCGTGTTTTGTTATTATCACAGTTCTGTAAATTTGTGTGAAAATAACAAAAAATGGCTGATAAGTACGATTCAAACGGTGATTATGGTACTTATACTGAAAATTTTAAACGGAAGAGTATATCGGAAAAGTTGAATGAAACTGGTGATGGTGAAAACGATGAATCTAACCCGGCAGTACAGAAAGCCGGCGAGTATGTCAGGGAGCTGCTTGCCGAAAAATTAACAATTGATCAAAACAAACAGCCGAATGCTTGCAGACTGATCGATCAAGGTAATTTTCCCGCCTTTTTTTTTGACTACATTTTTGGGTAGCCCTGTACTGCGGCAAATAATGTTGCACTCTTTTTTTTAAACTACATTTTGTTTGATCAATAGATGTAATTTTTTTCAATTAAAAATTAGTGGGGAAAACTCGGATTTAAATTGGTAGGTTTTTCTTTTTTGATTCTTTTTGTCATACCTACACTAGATGAAAAAAAAAAACAAAAATATATTGAACAATGGGTATCTCTTTTTTTAACATAAGGAAATCTGTTAATTTTTCATGTACAATATTGTTGTTTTTTAATATTAATAAAAAGATATTAGCCCTGATAGTCCTAGCTGACTCATCTTTTATTTGTATGACAACAAGTTTCTTTTTTTTAATTTGTCACAAGACTTGGTATGAAAAATCAAAACTTGAAAACCCTGTCAGTAATTTTAATTAGGTGAAATAAAAATGTAATTTTCTTGAAATCAAAATATCTATAATTTTTTTGGTACTAGGACAAAAAATCACTGCTCTTAATAAGACTGTCACAAGTTTCAAAGATTTATTTTACTTTTCCAATAAGGAGTAAAAGTACCTTTACAGTGGCGGACACGGAATTTTGGACATCAAATTTATGTCAGTTCAAAAAATGTCAATGTAAGCCAGGCTTTATTGTCATTATGATTGACGTTTGACACTAAAATTTGAAAGTTTTAGTTGAAATTTATTTTTGGCGACGATTTTTCGAAACAATAATGCAATACGTGTTTTTATATAAGTTTAATAAATTATTTTGTTTTGTTGTAATTTTTTCTCTAGCTATCAGGATAAAAATTACAGAAACCGAAAGTGAGATTAGTTGTCTAAGGCCCATTTTACATTTTTATGTCAATCTAATGACAAATCGTCCAAAATTCCGTGACCGCCAGTGTATAAATCTCACTGAAATACTTAAGTATTTAAACTTTCAATACTATGTATAATGGAAATGAAACTTCAAACATATTTAACTTCATATTTTTTTTTTGAAATTGCCTTTGCGCGGTTAATGGGGAAACCATTAGCCATTATGGTTACTTAACTTTGATTATTATTTTAAAAGTTGTAGGTTCCTAATATAATATTCGTTTTTAATATTAAAATGTGGATTACATTTAATATTAACTTCATAATTTTTAAAGTTTAATACCTACCAACATAAAATATGAAATTAATAATTCACAGAAAAGTGGTAAATGCCTCTTTTGAAGATATACATATATGATTTCGTGAAAAGTTGAAAATTTAGTTCATAAATTATTCCAATTTTTTTATTTTTTTGTTTATTTTAACCACGACTATTTTAAGAGAGAATAATAATAATTTAGCACAATTAGGATTGTTTTAGTCATGAAAATCCAGAAACATTCAAAACTCGTCTGATGATTCAGTTATCAGACCGTGGTAATCTATTTCACAAAAAACACATTGCAAATTTGGAAATTTTGTTAGACGAAACACAACAGAATTTGTATTTTCACACAGGTCTGCACGTATAATTAAAATAAAAAGCTAATTGGCTCATTTGAAAATTGTTTCAACAGAGACAAGCAAAAAATGTGTTCTCAAATTTTTGGTAATGTTATTTCAACAGAAACCCCAATGAGTTTGAGGTGTTTGCTTTATATGAGTTAAATTTTACTTTGATACGGAGTTATCCGTTACATAATTCTTAAAAAATCGCAAATATCGCACTCTCGAAAAAAAAAACATTAATGAATTAAGGTAAAAAAAGTAACGTAAAGATTTTTGTAAAAATTGTAAACATTGTGATTGGACAGTTTAAAGTCGGCCATTATAATAATGTAAAAACCAATCACTTTACATTTTTGAAATCATTCAAAAATTTAATACAATGACGTTATTGGTCCGTTTGAGGTCGGCCATTATAATAACATGAAAAACCAATCACTTCAGACTATAGATTCATTGAAAAATGTGTGGAAATTGGTTAATTCGGATTTGCATTCATTCATAAAAATTAAAATATGTAATTCCATTTTAATGATGAGGTTATGTGTGTGCCTTTTATGCGTTCTGCGCTCTTTTTGTGCCTGTTGTGAGTACATTGTATCGGAGAATGCACTTTACACCTTACTAAAGTAAAACTCTTTTAGAATCTGAATATTTTCATGCAAAAACACGGCGCAAGTGAAACATAACCTTACATGCAGGAAGGTATGAAACAAGAACCGTTTATGGCTCTTGGATACGAAAAGACTTTTCTTCAAGCTGCAGGTCTATATATAATAATACAGTTTGCAATCTACAACCAACATTTCGTCACAATCACTCTTGTTCTAAACTTGGGATTTTGGTCTTATGAGTTATGATTCACGATGCAAAGTGCGACAAGGAAAATGTTTTTTTTAATTTAAAGAGTGCGATATTTGGTAATGGATTTTTCAAAAACTATTCAAGATTAAAAAAGAAAACAAACAGATTGTAGGAAACTTGAAAAACTCTCAAAAAAGGCACCTTCTTGGTGCCCCTCTTTGCCCCACTTACGGGGATTCTTCGTATCTTAGTCCTAACAAGTCCAGATACAGCCCTGAAGTCAAAAATGTGTTCATGTATTCTACAGCCTCTTTTTGAGTCTTTGTCATTGCCTGGTTTATAAAGTATAACAATAAAATGCAACTCTATATAAACTTCAATTTTTGTTGACTTTAATTAATTGGTGCATTATGTAGGTCTCTAAATTTGAATAATGTAATTACATTCCAGTTGCAGATGTTATGCGAAGCGTATAAAGTCACCACCTATCAAAACTCCGTTAATCTATGGTAAATAATCACATTGCAAATCCATTAAACTGGTATTTATTGCAATTACCCTAACAAGTAAATTAAATAGATGTGCTGTAGAACCGACATTAAACATCGAAATTTATTATTTAATAGAACTAATGTAATTTACGAATCAGCGTTCGATTTTGTAACGATATTTAACATCATCATAACGTGCAATGTATTTGTGCTTTCTGAAAATGGAATTCAAGTGTAATAATCTAGGAAAAAGGTGCGCTCATCAAAGGAAGCGGTACAAGCTCTTTTGCATCAAGAAATTTAATAGCAATCGCTCACAGATATCGCAATTAAAGGATTGCCATTACAATTAATTTCGAACAATTAATTCTAAACGAGTGGCAATTGCGATGCCTTGACCTGGTGCTTTATGACACCACTTCGACCCTCTCTTACCCTAAATTAGTATCTTTGGGCCGACTGTTTCGGTAATGGCTTTCTGCAATTACTTGGCCGATTTGTGCGATCTTGCCATACAAAACACGGATGAAAACACTTAATTAAGTCACTGGGATTGTCAATAATTCTTAATTAGGGAGACCCCATCCGTCTTGTTCGATTTCCTGAAAAGACAGCCGCAAACAAATATTCCGAAGAAGCTTTTAAGTCATCAGTTGATCGTGATGTATCACTGGTCTCTACCTGAACATTTATCACTGCTACTTGTGGTATCTCCATAAGGTACTTTAATAATGAAAAGCGAATAAAAGATCGATACGACCTAAATATGTGGGCACTCAAAGATTTACTGATAAATTCACATTCTCAAGCAGAACGAGTGTGAAAAACGAGCTCTTGTACTAGTCTTAAACAATTTGTAACTTGTAATAATGTTACATTTGTGTCGAGTCTAAACGGCAATATAAACTGGTGGGTGTTACAACCACACAACTATACACCAAGAATTATTGCTTTTAACAAACCCTTGCTTGTAAACATTAATTCTGTTAATTCCGCGTATGCAATTCATCATCGCGAAATTTTCTTTATGACACTATTACTATTTTTATTATGACGTAAAAGCCAAATCAGGTTTATGCGCGCTGAAAAAATGCATAAATTATATTGAATGTCCCGAAGAAAGAGGCCGACTTCTTAACAGAAACGACTAGAAGTTGGTGGATAAGTACACTTGCAAAGTAGTTTGCTGATATTCAGTATAAGTTGGGTAGAGCGCTTTGAAATATGTGAAATATATTTGAAGGGAACGATTTAATGAAAAATTATTTGGCGATTTGGAAAATATAGGAAACAATTCGTTTAACATGATTACTCGATCAATGTGTTTTGCGGTAAAAATAAAGCAAATTGTTATTCAATTGCTTTCAAATTTACTCCATGCCGTGGGCGTCGAGGAGATGAGATTTGAAATTGGTCCTCTGAGGATATCCTTTCAAGCAAAATAATTTACTTATGTGTTAAATCAAGGTTTTTTGCATTCTGGAGACATCTCGGAATAGGTTGAGTCACCCTAGGGTAATACAGAGTTTTATTTTCAATCAAAAACCAGTCTGTCAAACATATGCCCAAGTTTACTCCTGGAGGAAGTTTTGAAAATGCATTATATTTCTTTCAAAAATAAAATAGTTTGAGAACTGGATAATTAAAAATAAAACCGAAATATCTCATCGTACCAAAAAAAAAGTATGTAAATGGCAATTATACTAAATGAAAGTAGTTACCAAACTTTATCGTCACAATAGATGCCAATGTCTATTTTCTTCAGCGTTCAATACTCTATTGAAGTGTTCGTGTTTAAGATCTTTACTTCAATTGACTGAGACTTTACCAACTAAATATTACACGAACATTTGTTCACAATCCGATAAAATTGTCTACCAATTCAACTAAAACGTTGTGAAACTTTGTGATGTTTATCTTGAACTTCACGACACAATAAATGATTTAGCAAATCAGAAAACAGAATTTGCAAATGTTCTTTTAATTTCAAATGGAACTACTATAAATAACAACAAAGTTTGTCATGAAGGTGTTAAAAGATGACATAAATATTTTAAATTGAATCACGAAAATAAAATTGAAGTAAAAAATTTTACTGTGAAAACTTTTTACGATACCTAATCTGAAAACTTTATTTCAAAGTTATATCGGTGATAAAATTACGTGGAAAATTGAAAGGAATTTTATTTCTTTGCAAGGTTTAATGTTTGGTTTAAAAAATACCCTTTATCAGTGCCTTTAGTAACGCTAAAAAAATACTGGAATTTTCACTAAAACATCAACAAAAACATCAAAATAAGGTGTGTGTATAACCTGACACGTATTTACCAACCAAAGTCAACAATAACAAGCCAATATTTATCCATCAATTTAAAACGTGCAACAAATTGTTTTGACACTGTTTTGCACCTCTCCTCAATTATAAAATTAGATTACCATAAAAATTTAATTTTACACGTTAAAAGCCTGAGGTGCAAGTGAGGAAAATGAAATTGAATTTTAGGGTGGAAAATCAAGTTTTAATTATTGTTACCTTCCTGTTCCGATTCTAGAAATATAAAATCATTCTTTTTAAAGCTACAGAAACACATCTTTCAAATTTTGAACTCTTATTCTAACAATAAGCCTTATGGAAATCTTGATAGTGTTAGAAGGTTTCTTTTCGAGTTAGGAATGATAAATCCGTTCATCGACTGCGGTTGCGATGACACATTGAATTGAAGTACATCGTCGTCCCATATTTCACTTCAGACTGAGTATATAGATACGCAGAGACCACGAAAGGGTGTGTCATTAGACGAGAAATCGGGATACTTATGGAAATAATGTCGTGAATGTGGGATCTTGACGTAGAAACTCTTTCTATTTGTGCATTTCTGTTATAATAAACACATCATACAGGTTATTTTATCTTTTAATTAAAAACAGGTAGTGGCCTATAGTGAGAAATAAATTTGTTCGCAGAGATAGCAAAGGTGCAGTCGATAGGAAAGATCCCGCCGAAAGACGTGAAATACGTCGACATTTACAGAGAAAAACCTATCAAAGTCACTGTGAAAGTTTTAGTTCCAGTAAGGGAACATCCGAAGGTAAATGGCAAAATCAAATTAGCAAACTTGAAAATCCATTGTCTCGGTTTTAGTTTAACTTTGTCGGCAAACTGCTTGGTCCTAAAGGCAACTCAATGAAGCGCCTGCAAGAAGAAACCATGTGCAAGATGGCGGTACTGGGCAAAGGTTCAATGAAAGACCGGCAAAAAGAAGAGGAACTTCGCAACTCTCTCGACCCCAAATATGCCCACTTGAGCGACGACCTCCACGTTGAAATATCGGCTTTGGGACCACCGGCGGAAGCTCACGCGCGCATTGCATTTGCATTGGCTGAAGTTCGGAAATATTTGATTCCAGACAATAACGACAATATCCGACAAGAACAGATGAGAGAAATGGAAATTATGTCGTCTTCCGACATACCGATCGAAGAACCGAGAAGTTCGAGGCGAGCGCCTGGAATAATTCGCGGTAAATTTCATCGGGACGTTTTTGGAGCTTTCGATTAAAATTCATTGTTCAGCTGCCATCCCTCGAACGCCAGTCCCCATGCGAACAGCCACAAGAACCCCAGTTGTCACGCCAAGAGTGATGCCAGCAAAAACAAAAATTATGTCGATTCTGGATAGGGCGCGCATCGCTATGGAGGAAAGTTACGGATTCGAAGACACCTACGAACCTGCGGAAGTTTACGAACCCTATTCCAGTTCTGTCTCCCATTCGAGGTCCTATTCTACCCATCACTATGAACCAGATTACGAACCCGAATATTATAGAGAGAGTTCCAGTTCGTACGGTAAGTCAATTTTCATTTTTTACTAAAAATCGGCGTATTTTAATCTGTTAAAAAACATGATTTCGACAACTTAAACAATTAAATAAATCAAACACCTAAATCAAACGTCAGCTCTTAAAGAGTCCTCTTTTTAAATAAAACTCGTTAAAAAAGCGACCCGGGTAATAAAATGAAAGAACGACTCTTTAATTTTATAATTTAATTGTGCCTCTAATATATTTTTAAACGATTGTGTACAGAACCAACGCAGCGGTGGAAGTCTTATAAGACTGCAAGTTCGTCAACTTCTCGTCACAGTGACACTACTCGTTATCGCACTTCTCCCTACACTCGCCCGAATAAATAAGCTTTAGCGTTGAATTTAACGTTTTCAGTGTAATACTAATAACTGTAATTTATCAACGTCATTACTGTAATTATTTTGTCACCAAGAACACAAAGATCTGACCATTTTAACAAACCGGGGTTGTCTCATTCGGAGTTAGCGGTTGGGTGGCCACCTAACCACTCAAGCCCACAATTAGAATCTCAATTCGTTTTTTTCTCGTTTACAAAGTATAAAAGAAGAAGTGTCAAATCGTTTCCCTTTTCAAAGCCGTACTAAATATGTAATTTAATAGCGAGACTTAAATAACCGCCCCTTAATTCTGATAAGCGTAAACTTTTATGTGGATCCTAAATGAGATTAATGTAACAAATGTAAAATGAGCTATTCTTTAAGAAAAATAATGTGAGGAAATACGTAACGGCTTACAGAATAGCTCGCTAAAATTTAATGTAGATGTGTAGATTATATCAGTTTAGATGAAGTAAACTGTATCGTGTTTTGAATAAATATCGCATATGACAAAAATATCTCTCGTTAATTCCCTTATTAATATGATTTTAAATTTCTAGTGCACATACATCTTTTTATCAGGTAAAGTATTAAACCTTAACATTTTAAACATCAATTAAACTGCGCTAATTCAATCGTTAAACTTTAATTTATTTTAATCCTAAACACACTGCATGCTATTATTTTTATTTAAAATAAACAATTATTTTTGTTAGTTTTTAAGATTCACGATGTCATGTAATAGACATTTTTTTATTTCAAAATTGGACCCTTTCAGATTACTTTTCCTATTTAATATAATTTATGTTATATGTAGTTATTACATGACTGGATAAGTTTTAACTTTTACCTCCATTTTCTTGTATAACTAAGAAATTTTATTACTGTTTCAGGTATATGACCCTCAGCTCCTCGTGGCAGTAGTTCTTAGAAAACAATACACCTTAAAGAAATGTGATATTAACGGCTGTGATAGCAATAAAATCTCAATACATCCAATTTTTTATTACTACCCATTCCAAATAACTAAATAAATATTATTACGTCATAGACCTAAAAAATTAAAAATTAATGGAAGACTGAGGCACACCGAGAACAAATTTACTGCAATGTCTTCTAGTGTTTATGATTGTGTTTTTTTTTCAATCTGCAAGAATATTTTTTGGTAATGAACAATAGATTTATGTTTGAAAATACCACCAGGATCACTGAAGACCATCAAATTAACAAAAAAATTGCTCAGAGCATACCCACTGATCTTAGTTCTAAAGTCCATAATTACATAAATGAGACACGTTAATGGAGAGTACATTTCTCATATAGTTTTTCATGGTATCTACTGGAAGCGTATAGTGCCATAAATTTTATGCTAACATTAAACAAAGTTAATTTTTGTTGTACATCTTTTAGCCATGTTTAATTTTAAAAAACATGGATTTATAATTCATTAGAAACTTCTTATAAAGTAGACACAAGACGGTAGAGTGTATCGAACTTTGATCTTAATAAAAACTTTAATATTCCAACAAACTTTACAGTTATGTAATGGTTGATAAATAATAATGAGTTGTTGTCTCTAACTTTAATCAGCTAAACAAAAAAAAAATATATTGCTAAAAATTACTCGCTTACACAAAGTCTAGACGTTAAGATATTTTAAAAGACTTTTTCTTCTGTAAATACAGTAGGTATTGTAAAATAAAATTTAAAAAGTGCATTCTATTCAAAAATCATATAAATATTTACTATAAAAACGTAATCGTATAGGTAGGCATTTGCATAACACGTTTTAGCCCTTTGCTCTGTTATGTGAATGATTTCGTCATTTTGATATTCTACAGCTGGCAACACTGCAGGTCAAAGTCGACGTGTGGCGAACCTACCTTTTAGTAAATATTCCGAAATTGTGTTCCTTTGAGTTAATTTTTGTTTGATATTTTAATCCAAAAAAATGGCTTCATACATTGCAAGAAACATAGTTAAAAGTCCTGCAGCGTTAGGACTAACTCAGCAACAATTTGGTAAGTACTTTAATTAAAATCAAATTGGCGGTGCAATGTTCTGAAAAAGTGCACGTACAAAGTTCAAAAACCGATGATTGTTTTTTAGGAAATCTCAGGGCCTTTTCTGTTGGAAGCCAATTAAACAACAAAAAAACTGTACCAGATAAAACTGGAAAAAACATCGTTTTGGTTGATGGAGTCAGAACCCCATTTTTAATATCTGGAACAGACTATTCAAAATTGATGCCACATGACTTAGCCAAACAAGCCTTAGCGTAAGACACTTGTACCCCCAGTTGACAATATTCATAATTTTGAATTTCAGTGGAATTTTAAAAAAGACTGGTATTCCAAAGGAACTGATTGATTATGTCATCTATGGAACTGTTATTCAAGAAGTCAAGACTTCTAATATTGCGAGAGAAGCTGCCCTTGCAGCTGGGTACAGCGATAAAACCCCCGCTCATACTGTTACAATGGCTTGCATTTCATCCAATGTGGCCATGACTACAGGTAAAAATAAAAGCAAAACGTTGTAACTTAACAATCATGAATTTTTCCAGCTATCGGCCTTATTGCAAGCGGTGTCTATGAACTTATTGTGGCAGGAGGAGTCGAATTTATGTCTGATATTCCAATTAGACATAGCAGAAAAATGCGTAACTTGTTACTACAAGCCAATAAAGCCAAGACTTTACAGCAAAAATTGGGACTCCTAGCGTCCATCAGGCCTGATTATTTCGTTCCAGAGGTACTGATGTTTTTATTTAGTGTTAATTGATTCTAATTGCTTGAATAGTTGCCAGCTGTTGCTGAGTTTTCTTCTGGCGAAACTATGGGACACTCTGCTGACCGGTTAGCGGCCGCATTTGGTGCTACCCGTAGAGAACAAGATGAATTCGCTCTTAGGTCACACACTTTGGCGCAACACGCATACGAAAAGGGCCACTTCACTGATCTTATCCCCGTCAAAGTAATTGACTTAATTAATTTAAAACCAAAAAACTAATGTTCTTGTAGATTCCTGGAATTGATAAAGTCATTGAAAAGGATAACGGGATCCGTGTTTCCACTCCAGAACAACTGGCCAAACTTAAACCTGCATTTATTAAACCTCATGGTACCGTCACAGCAGCCAATGCATCATTTTTGGTAGGTTTAACAACCTGTTTTCTCTACAATATATGATCATTACATACTTCTTAGACTGATGGAGCATCAGCTGCAATTGTGACAACGGAAGCAAAAGCCAAAGCTTTGGGCTTAAAACCTAAAGCATATTTGCGCGATTTTATCTACGTTTCTCAGGACCCTATTGACCAACTATTGCTAGGACCAGCTTATGGCACTCCTATTGTATTAGAAAAAGCTGGGCTTACAATGAAAGACATTGACGTTTGGGAGTTCCATGAAGCTTTCGCCGGACAAATTTTAGCTAACTTCAAAGCCATGGACAGCGATTGGTTTGCACAAACATATATGAAGAGGAGCAGCAAAGTTGGCGCTCCTGATATCAACAAATTTAACAACTGGGGAGGATCGCTCTCCATTGGACATCCGTTCGCTGCCACTGGAATCAGGTTGGCTATGCACACTGCTAATAGGCTTGTAAAGGAGGATGGACAGTTTGGATTGGTTGCAGCTTGCGCAGCTGGTGGACAGGTAATTCGTTTTCGAAATTGTATAGTGATTTATTTAATTGTACTTTGTGTCTAGGGTGTGGCTATGATTTTGGAAAGACATCCTGATGCCAACGCAAATTAATACTTTTTATATTTATTTTTACTTTTACCTGCAAGTGACCTTAAGTTTTCATCAATTTTTTTTTAGTCCTCCAGCTCCTTTAGAGAAAAAAAAAACTGTACATAGCTTTTCTATACATTATTTAATTAATTAAAAAAGATTCTTTTATAATGTAATATAATCGATAATTGTCAAAAATATATTCTATACATGCTCTTACGTTGTACTCGCCCATCCTGTTGAAGTACCAACATCCTGTATATGGCTTTTAACAGCTTCATCTAGGATATTTTTAATGTCTTTACATCCTTGCAAAGCCTTGTCTAAAACTTTCTGTAAGTGGTCTACATGAAACCTCTGTGACATTTCCATCAAAACAATTTTTCCCGACATTGGTAGCGCTGCTACTGTCAAAGTGGGCCCCCCTATTATCTCCTCTTGGTGAGAAACATCAAGTAGTGGAACATCATTATTGGCTAAGCTTGCAGTACACGCACAGACGTACTCCTTTAAAGGAATCCCTGCATCAATTAGAGCCAAAGTAGCGGCGTTAACACAAGCTGGATAAATGCCCCCATCTGCATGAAGAACCTCAACATAAACATCTATCTGTGTCCAGGGATACAATTCGATTTTTATTGCCGCAGTTAAAGCCTGCCTTAAATGTATCGAGATTTCAGTTGACTTGCGGTCCCCACGGGGCCGCTTCTTCCTCTCCCCTGTTGAAAACACAGCCATACTGAACTGGCAATTGACCACAGCCGAATCATGTTGCGCCTTACTGCGACTGCCACGGACCTGAAAGTTTTGTTTAATTTTTATCAACAATTTAAGACATGTAACACAGACTTGGTGGGGTCCATATACAGCCGCCAAAATTTTAGTCAATCCTTGTTCCAAATATGCGCTTCCGTCAGGCTCAGTAAATACACCCAGTTTGCAACGAATTCTCCGCAACTCGTCGGCTCGTCTCCCATCCTGTCGCAATCCGATTTTTGATAACAATTCATGCTTTTTGCTCATTTTGTTGTTTAAAAAAAGTAAGGTTATAAAATTAAGTTAAATTAAGGTTGGCGACATTGTTTCCAGATTCAAGTTTGACCTCTGATTTTTAATATATGCACTCGCCCTGCGTGTTATTTCTGTGGTTATCACTCACTAACAGGTTATCGTTAAATCATCGTTAAATTTATTAAATAATATTATTGGAAAAATGTAGCTAATAAATAAAAATAACTTTAATCAGGTGCTTTGAGTTGGTAGCTTTGTGTGTCAAATTCTCGCCTGCGCAGTACATCCGTTGTCATGTTAACAGTTATTTGACAGCTGTCATTTTTGTGAAAAAATTTTAATTAATAATTTAGCCAAATAAATACAAAATGGTAAGTAAATTATAAATTTTAGAAAAGTTTTTGTTTATATTAATTTTTTTAGTCGAACGAAGTGGAAGAAACGATGAAACGGATCCAATCCCACAAGGGAGTAATCGGTACAATAGTTGTAAATTCAGAAGGTGATAAGCTCCTAATTAGATTGTGCGAGCTTTAGGTGTTTGAATTTTAGGGATCCCGATTAAAACCACTTTGGATAATACCACAACAGTACAATATGCTGGACTTATAAGTTCATTGGCTGATAAAGCAAGAAGTGTGGTTAGAGATTTAGATCCTTCAAACGATTTAACATTTTTACGAATAAGATCAAAGAAACACGAAATTATGGTGGCTCCAGATAAAGAATTTATATTAATTGTTGTTCAAAGTCCTACAGATTAATTAGTGTTATTTATTTTGTGTCATTATTCACCGCTAATTATTATATAATGTTTCGTGCTTTTTGTTGATTAAATTTTTATATGCTTATATCACGAATAAAAAACTTAAATAACTTTTTTGATTATTGATCTGTAATATGTGTTCCACCTGTCATGAGTCAAGGAATTAAAAAAATTGCATGTCCGACTGTTGGCAACATTGGATTTTCTAGTGACATTTTATCATCATCGTAGATTTTTTTATAAACACTAGTGGTTGTTCTTTACGAAAACTATTATTGTTCAATCACCTCTTTCTAGTTAAAATTTATTAATTACGTAAGTTTACTAAAGCAGTGTGTTTTCAAATTTGGAAGAATTGTTACATAATTAAGTGAGGTTATATTGTAGAAATGGGGGGACACGGCCATGGACATGGACACGAACCTTACACAGTTCCTGATTACAAAATATACAAAGTTGAGGACGTACCCGAACTCATGAGTACTAAAAGGGCATTAGCTTGTCAAGGTCTAAAAGATCCTTGGCTTCGCAATGAAGTCTGGCGTTACAATCCTAAAGAATTTGGAACAGAAAAATCTAGATTTAGACTTTTTTTCTACAGAGGATTTAGAACTGGTTTTGCCGCTTTTCTCATAACTATCGCTGGTACTGCCATTTACGATAAATTATATCCCTCTAAACACGATCACCATGATCATTAAAACACAGTTGTGCTTGTAGTAACTTGTAATTGTTTAAATAAACTGTAAATACATAAGTGAGACAAAATTATTAAACCTGATAATAACTGAAAGCTACTACGGAAGTATAAAGTAACAAGTTATGAAGAAGTTCGTGGTTTCAATTCATCGTAACATGATCGCAAGAAAATGTAATTCTTCTTAGTTGAATTGTAAAATTCGTGGCCTTTAGACCAGTCATAGCTAACAGCGTAAGCGAAGATTTGACCATTGCTATTAAAAGCGCAACGCGTGATTGGTTGTTCCATAAGCTCGGATGATTTCAATTTGGTACGTGCGTCTTTATCCCAGAAACTGAAAGAACCATCAGACCCAACAGTGGCCAAAGTACCATGAACTGGGTGGAACGCAATGTCATTAACGGCGTAAATGTCCTGATAGCCATTTGGTGCCCCATTGGATCTGTGACATTTAAAAGTAAAATTATCTTTGGGGTTGGCTGGATTAACGTATTGAATAGCGACGCGGCCTTCCACTGAACCTAAAGCGTATCCTGTTGGAGATTTCTTTTTATCCCTAAAAAAATAATCACTTAAGTTTAGTGTCACTTAATTTAAATAAAATCAAACCTAAATATGGCCACACAGCGATGTTGGTATTTCAGAGGACTATCAAGCACTTTGTACTGTTGGGGCTTGCCCTCTAATTGATAAACGATTATCTGGCGCCCTGCAGTCCCAACCACCGCCATAGGATAGTCCACATCAGCACAGTAACACCTCTCAGGCAGATTAATGCTCATCATGGGATTAGGAGTGCGAGTATCCCAAAATTTCAAAGTCTTATCCCAAGACCCAGTCATCAAGCATGAGTAGTTTGAAGCCTTTATCCAGTGACATGTCTTGATAGGTGCATCATGTTGTGCAACTTGTATCACTTGATTACTTGCTAAATCCCAAGCTTTGGCCTGTTTATCACAGCCCGCCATAAATACCTAAATTTCCTATTAGTTAATTTCTACAACATTAAAGGCAGCTTTTTACTTTTGTGCCATCATCACTCCAACAGACGTCAAGCACTGGCCCCCCACATGCTTGCATGGATTTTGGGACACTTTTTCCCGTTTGTTCGATTTCCCAACAACGTACATTGTTGTCCCAACTTCCAGCTATCAAAAAATTCTGAGGTAATGTTGCAGGAGAAAATGCTAAAGAACTTATAGAGTCGTCTGGAGGTTGAGTTACTTCAAAGTCTTTCATTGGGTTTGCTGTACTTGGAGTGGAAGTGCTCCCAAAACCGCCAATTGAACTCTGATTAAACATTTCGATTAATTTATAAAAGTTTTAAGACAAAAAACGTTACTAAACTGCCGAACCAAATAAAAACAAACAGCGCAATATATCGATCGTTAATGTCAAAATACAGTTGTCGAGTTGTCAAACTAAGCAAGAAGACAACATAAGAAAATAATAACTCTAAATTTAAATCAGTTATTTGAGATTTTTGAATTGTGTAAAATAACCCAAAAACTAAAATATAAAAACTTGTATTACAATAAAAAATTATGTTTAAGTTAAATTTACCGTAAATATATTGTTTTTTTAAAACTATCAAATATTTTTAGTGGCCATGTGATCAAGTTCAACCAATGAAAATTATTCAGCCATTCCAAATTAACGAATTTAAAAATCCCTAAAAATTGGCGCGCATATGCTGCAGTTTCCCTCGCAATTCGAGGATTCAAGGAGTTGATCTCGAGCTAGTCGGGTGCACTGCCCTTGAAATCAGTTTTGTTTTAAGTTATTTTTATTTAAAAGTTTTAACAAACCACTAAAATGTTTGAAGCACGTTTAGTAAGCAGTGCAACCTTCAAGAAAATTCTGGATGCCATCAAAGACCTTCTCAATGAAGCCTCCTTTGACTGTTCAGATTCGGGGATCCAGCTTCAAGCCATGGACAATTCCCATGTCTCTCTAGTGTCCCTTATGTTGCGATCTGATGGTTTTGATAAATACAGGTGCGACCGAAACTTAACAATGGGCATGAATTTGGCTAAGTAAGTAGCAACCGTAAACACAATTTGTACTCAGTATTTATGTATGTTTTAACAGTATGGCAAAAATATTTAAATGTGCAAACAACGACGACACTGTTACAATCAAAGCCCAAGATGATGCCGACATCGTGACCTTTATGTTTGAAGCCAAAAAGCAGGAAAAAATCTCTGATTATGAAATGAAACTAATGAATTTGGACCAAGAGCATCTTGGTATACCTGAAACAGATTTCTCTTGTGTTATTCGCATGCCGTCTGGTGAATTTGCTAGAATATGTAGGGATTTGGCCCAATTTGGAGAATCTATCATGATTTCCTGCACAAAGGAAGGTGTTAAATTCTCTACTGGCGGCGATATTGGAACTGCAAACGTGAAAATCGCCCAAACCAATAACTTTGATAAGGAAGAGGATTCAGTCACAATTGAAATGCAAGAACCTGTAAGCCTAACTTTTGCCTGCCAGTATTTGAATTCCTTCACTAAAGCTACTCCTCTGGCACCTCAAGTTCAGTTGTCTATGTCGGATAATGTACCACTTGTAGTTGAGTACCAGATTCCAGATCTTGGTCACCTGAGATTCTATTTAGCTCCAAAAATTGAAGAAGATGAAAATTAGTTTAAATTTACTTAATTTATGGCCACTAAATAATTATATCTGTAATTCATACCAGTTAGTTTTCATTTCACTATTTTCATATATTCTGTATTTTATGTAACCTTGAAAGGGAAATAAAGCACTATTTCTTTTAATAATTTATTTTTTACAATTTACAACTACTAAACACCAATCAATTAATAATTTTTCTCCCATTCTTCGCGTTCTTCTCTCTCTTTGACTACTTGCTCTACAATTGGTGTCAAGTAAAGACGGTCTTCTTCTAGTTTAGTCCACTGATCTTTTGGTAGGATGTCTTTCTGAATGGATAATTGAACAGCTCTAAGGATGCGGTAATTGCGAGCATCTACTTCATGCTGTGGCAATCTACGAAGAGCTTCCTTAACATCGGCAGTTTCATCCAAACAGTCGTCTCTCATGAGCCCCAATTTATTAAACCCAGAGATGCTGTAGGCCCATTTTTGAAGGGCGCTGCTCATGAAACGTCTTTGAACAAATCCCAAAGACATATTGAGGAGAATTACCTAAAAATGGAAATGTACTGAATGAGAAATAGAAACGTTTTAAAAACAGTACTCGGCTATTAGGTAACAAGTCCTTTTTTAATCAAATGTCTAACTTTTGACAATTGACAACAGTAACTTTTGTGATTCTTTTGTGGCGAATTGGCGATACTATTCCAAGTTAAAAACTGCGGGAAATTTGAATTAAATTCACTTCAGACGTTTAAGACCTTATTTATTTGTTAAATAATTACAGCATTATTTGGTATTTTAGCGATTTTTTCACTCTAGAAATAAGTAATCGTCCATCATAACTTAACGATGCAAAAATCCACGGTTCTGCAGGGGACCACTCTGCACAATAAACACTGTCTTCATGTTCACACCACTGTAAGGGTCCATCTGAAATCCTAAAAGAGTGCATATAATTAAAGTAAAAAAACACACATAAATAAATTACATTTGCTTTGTTTCTGTTTCGTCATTAATACAAACATCATTGTTATTTTCTGAACTAACACTTGCAGCACTGGAAACTAGAACTCGTGCATCTGAACTTGCAGATAATAAAAGTTGGTCATGGAATGGATTAAAGCGAATACACCAAACCCTAAAAAAAAATTGTAGGAAATTTTAAATTTAAATTTTGCTAAAATACCAATGAGAATGATCACTTCTGGAATACACTGGTTGTCCAGTTTGTCTAAAATCCCATATTTTGATCAAACCATCGTCCCCGCAAGTGGCAATATGGTACTGCTTATTCATATTATAATCCAAATCTCTTAATAGCTGGCTGTGAACATTATCAATGCTCCAAGCCAATTCTCCAGACCGCACATCATATGTCTTTAGATGTGTCTCAACTGCAGTTGTAAACTAAAGTTTCCACAAGTATATAAATAAATTTTACTGTTTTTTCTCACCTGGTTACAATTTTGGTGAGGGTTCCACTTTCCCGTGGTAAATTTTGGATTATTCTTACCATTTAACTGCACTGTTAAGATACTTTTAGCCTCCTCCCCTGATATATCCCAAACCACTACTTGATTTTCCAAAACTGAAGTAGCTTTTTCGGCATCAGTTGGATGGAATTCTGTAGTTTTTACTTCATTTCCAAACGAACTAGTCTCAAATTTTGTGATAATTGGAAAATTTTCAACAGCATCAGGATTTTCTGTTTGGGGTAACTTATACAATGCTGTCTTCATGCAACATGAATTTTCATTTGTAACAGTATTGTAACAAGTGACCAATTTTGATTCATCTAAGGGACTTGTGTTCAATTTCCAAATTTCTCCTTCAGGGTGGTTAAAAACTGAAGTTTTTATAGTTGAATCCTCATCATTAAATTCAACCAAATGTATTTGATTTGTCGCTTGTTTGAGAGACTGGGTGCCGATCAAAAAACGAATTTTTTCAGTTTCGGCAAGTTGGGGGGCCAACGTTCGCGCCTAATGTAACAGGTAATAATTTTATTTTATTTCTGTAAAAATCATACCTGAAATTCTAATCCGTAAATCACTGAATTTTCATTTTCCATAATAGAATACTTTTATGAAAATATTATTGTTTGTCGGTATCGGTTGTCGCAAAATGTCAAAAAGTAGTAACTTTGGCTTTGCCACGTTGGTAGATATTGACAAATAGAAATTACTTCCGTTTATGGCCGTTTCTCTTTTCCTGTGACGGTCAACATGGTGAGTTTTTAGTCTCCGATTTTTCAATATTTCTAGATCTGTGGCCACTTTTTCTCATGTTTTATTGTCACACTTTGTACTCCAACATTTATAATTTCATTATGAAGAATTTTTTGTCCTTAAAATTATTAACTGACAGAATTTTTTAAATTGCTTCATGTTCTACCAGCACGTGTGTTGACGAGTTCTACTAAATTTATTTCGTTTGCTGTAGCCACCTAAGAAGGATTCTAAAGCGTCAGCAAAGCAACCCCAAAAGACTCAAAAAAAGAAGGAAGGGTCTGGAGGTGGTAAGGCTAAGAAGAAGGTAAAGTATGAAATTTGATCAATCTGCAATTTTGCATATTTTTTTGTTATTGTAGAAGTGGTCCAAAGGAAAAGTCCGCGACAAGCTTAATAACCAAGTTTTGTTCGACAAAGCCACTTATGATAAGTTGTATAAAGAAGTTTCTTCTTACAAACTCATCACACCTTCAGTGGTTTCAGAAAGATTGAAGGTCCGTGGGTCGTTGGCAAGGCGAGCTTTGCTTGAATTACAACAGAAAGGTAACTTATCTAATCTTTAATTATAAATTATGTATTCATTGTTTTGTGATGACAAAATTAACACCAGAATAATTGTGATGGCAAAAACTGATTTAATGAGTCTGATTACACTTTTTACATTATTTTGTATGTAATTTTTTATTAGATTTCATGTAATGAATAAATTTTGGTTGCAGGTTTAATTAAACAAGTTGTAAAACACAGGGCTCAGCTGATTTACACGAGAACTACAAAGGGTGATGATCAGGTTGCATAAGATTTTATATTAAAATGTATGACTACATTTAATAAATAATTTAAAGACAATGATGAATTTTCCCTTATTCCCTGTTTTGATAATACATTTATACATGTCAGTGTTTTAATGAACTGTTCTTTTTCTTTTTCATGTTCTAAAGTCTCTGCGTAACGCTGCTCTGCTGATGTTCCCTAATTTTAAGAAAAAAATTAATTTTGAGGTTATGTTGCACTTCAAGTAACCTAAATAAGTGTCCGTTTGTTTGAAATTGTAATAATACGAATTTATTTCAACTAGCCTGTGATAATTTACATTATAAATTATTGGGTGCTAGTTTTTTAATCAGAAATAATGGAAAATTGTGTTTTCAAACAAATTTGTTCAGAAGAGAACACTCCCTTTCGAATACATTTTACAATTTTGGAGGCTGCAGCAACAGTTACTTTATTGCAAAATGAAAATGCTTGGAAATCTACAGTTTAGTTTATAATTTACCACGCTTTAGGCATTTTTATTAGAAATTTGATTATTAGGTGTCCAAGGAAGACCTAAAGTATTTTGCAACGGAATACAAGCTAAATCTTGAGGAGTATTGTGTGAAACTGTTAGATTGTATAAGAGCGGGGGACCTCGATATAATTTTCACTTTTAAAAATAATACATTTTCTATTAATCGCCTCTTGAAAAATTCGCTGAAAGTGAAATTTTTTACATGCAAATTGGAGAAAGTATACTGAAATTCTTATTTATTGGGCACTTAACTATATAACTATTATTTTGTAGGCTAATTATGTAGAACAAGTTGAACAAATTATGGATATGTTTTACGTGGAAAACACTCAATTATCGGAAAAATTAAACGTTGTAATGAAAGAAAAGGATGAAATTGATAAACGTAATTAACTAAATCATATAAACTTATTTTATAAATGATATTTTAGATAAAGCGTGCTGTGAGCGAAAACTACAAGAATTTATCCAAAAAAAGCAGTCGGATGAGGAAGAGCAGTTTGGCTACTTTTTATCAATTCTAAATGAGAAGAAACTTCGCATTCAACACTTGACTGAACTTTTGGAAGCATTTAAGAACGGCAGACCTACAGTGAATTCGCCAGTAAATGTGAAAAACAAGAAACGAAAAAATGACACAACTAATCAGAGAACATCAAGAAAACTAGAAACCATATCAGAATCAGAAGCGTCAAACAGTTCAGACGTTGATAACAAGACTGATTCAGAAGATGATACTTCTAGCCATGAAGAAGTCAAGAACTTTCTCCCTCTAGAAAGTAAACCTTCTACTTCCGCCCAAGATTTTGATTTTTTGAACGATGATATTCCAATGACTTGCACATTGCCTAAAAGACTGAAACAAGAAAAAGCACCAAGTGAAGTTATTGTAAAAACTGTTGGGGAAGCCTCAACACCACCAAAGACTGAGGCTGTAGAGCCCCCGAAAAAAGCTAAAAAGAAAGCATCAATTAATATAAGTACACAAGACCTTTTGGATATGTTGTAAGTGGTCACATACGAATTAATCTTAATGTATTACTATTGTATTGTCTTAAAATTCTATAAATAAGACCAAAGTTTAATAATGAAAATAAAATAATTATTCGGTTTGAATATTAATTATTTACTTGTTACAATAATTCTTATACAAATATGAACTACAAAAATGACAATCTATTTATGATTTGTTTAACCATAGATGCACAGCAATCATACAAAATTTAAACTATTATAAAATGGTTAAGTCATCAGTAAGTTTGTTCCTCTACCAAACTAAAACTTCCGCTTTAATCCCATGTAAAAAAAATGAATTGAGAACGAAAAGGAGTCGTGTGCATTAATTTACAAGTATCAAGTGCAATGCCTATAGTGTTTCCTACCTTAAAACTGAGCCGACAATTGTTATAATCATGGAACAAACACTTTGGAAAATTCTGTATCATACTGCGTAAAGTCAATAAAAAAATCACAAGTGTTAACAAACAAAACCCAATATACTTGAATACAATCAGAAGAAACTACTTAAATAATCACAAGTTTTTAGAAGTAAATAGTCAAGTCTTGAAGTACAAAATATAAGATATTTGACTATTTGTTCCTAAAAACATACAATGTGGAGGTTTTCAAACTGAAAATCAATGTGTTTATCAATAATTAGGCTAATGATATTGGTGTTTATTACATTAAAATTTATAACAAGGTTCAAAAGAAAGAATGAAACATAACCAGTTTTAAAATAACTATACATACAAGACGGATATTTCTATAATATAAATTAGCAGGAAACTGCTACCATACAAAATAAGAGTTGACCTGCAAACAAATGATGACTAAATTTTCAGCAACATCCTGACTTGGTTGTTTCAATTGGACGCCCTTGATCAATCTTCACTTTGCTCGCTTGATCAGCGGCCGAAGATGGGGGCCCAACTCGGTTCTTAATTTCTGCAGCCATCGTCATGAACGCTTGCTCAACATTACTTGCGTTTTTTGCTGAGGTTTCCAAAAACGGAATACCTAATTGGTCTGCATATTCCTATAAACAAACTCAATTAGACAACCCCATTATCATCAATTTTGAAGTACCTTAGCTGTTGTGTAATCTACCACTTTCTTCGTAGTAAGATCACTTTTATTTCCCACTAATAACTTGTTTACATTATCGCAAGCGTAACGGTCTATTTCTTCCAACCACTGTTTTACATTATTGAATGAGTCCTGATCTGTGCAGTCATAAACCACTATAATACCGTGTGCCCCTCTGTAATAACTTGAGGTGATTGTTCGGAACCGTTCTTGACCTGCTGTGTCCCACTAAAACCACACATTATTAAATTTCGCCCGAAAATTTGGTTGCTTCGCTTACTATTTGCAATTTTATAGTCTTTCCGTCTAAATCAATTGTGCGAATTTTCTATAAACAAACAGTTAATGACGCGTTTTTAAGTCAAGGCAGTACTTACAAAATCTACACCAATGGTACTAATGTAACTTTCCGTATAAGTGTCATCCTGTAAATGTAATATAAAAAATGTGTTCAAAATGTTTATAGATTTTGACTCACCGCAAACCTAAGCAATAAACATGACTTCCCCACGCCGGAATCTCCAATCAGAAGAAGTTTAAACAAGTAATCGCTAGAAGTAACAAAAATTTCATGAAATTCCTGCTTGGATAACCTTGACTGTTGAAATCCGTCAAGTGATCAAAAGTTGTCCCGATAAATAATTACATGTAAAGGATTTTTTAAAATTATTACAAAATCACGACCAATGGGAAATGTAGGATCAGTTGACTCATGAAATTGCAAGTGACGTGCCACTTGTACATAATTGAGTTGCCGTGAATAGTGGGTGGAAACGCATAGGAAATTGATCGCTGCCACCAGTAAAATGCAAACTATTCGATTTTCCCAAATTACTTGAATTAGAAAGCGTGATAATTGAAAGAAAAACTGAAATCTTGAAGCAAACTGCGCAATACACGTCAAAAATACTACATTGTACTTCCAACAAGTCAAAAAATAAATAAATCGATACTCACTATTCAGGATTCATATTTTCAGTATTTATTTTAAACAATAGCTTTAGATACCACTATTAACGTCTGTTTTTCTTTGCTGTCACCCTAATTAACACGTTAAATTACAGAAATTTCATACACAAATAAGCAAATTTAGGACAATGGCTACTGCGATTGACGTATCCGAACAACTTTGTCCTGGTAACTTCAACGGTGGGGCTCAGAGGACAGCACTGCAGCTAGACGCGCCAGATTTAAACACTTAGAATAGGAACCACACTAAAATCTTATTTTACTTGTGGAAAAATAATATATTAACTATTAACAAATATGCACAATAGTTTTGTTTTTATTGTTTTTTTCAACTACGTTTAAAAAAAATATGTAGCTTTATAAATACAGTCGAACAAAATGAAAATGGAGCCTCCTGCTGGACCCTTCTAACCACAAGCAGGCAGGATCGTAAATTATCGGATTGCAAACTTGACGTGGTTTCAAGAAAAATTCCTTTAGTAGCCGGTTTACAGAAAGCGAAATGAAAATTTAATTCAGAATTAAACTAATTCGAATTAAGTTGCCATTTATTTTGCATTGACACACGTCAAATTAATTAAATGGAAATATTAAATTTTTTTAATGAAAAATTTAACAAACCATTTCTTAAAGAAAATTATGCATTAATAATGACATTGACAAAAAAACAAATCATTTTCACTTAATATTTTTTTTAACTGTTTTTTCAAAATAAAATTAATTAACATAATTTTTGAACGAAATAGGCTTTCTCTATTTTAAACTTGATTTTATGTAAAACAACAAATGAATTAAACCATTGTTTATTTGCGAACGTTTAATTCCACGTGTGCCTTTACCGCGAGTGGTTTAATTCTTTGAGCATAAAGGGAAATTAAAATTTACTTCAGAATTAAACTAATTCGAATTAAGTTGCCATTTATTTTGCATTGACAAACGTCAAGTTAATCGCGAATTAAAATATAATTGCGATTAACACGTTCTGTAAACCGGCCCTAAGTTTTCTATTAGTTTTGTAATTGTCATTGAAAACAAATCAAAATTATTTATTTAACTAAACCAAGAAAAAAACGGTAAAATTATTTCAAATATTTTAGTTTTGCTACAAAATTTATTTTTTGATAATTGCAATACTTTTAAATTAAATAAAAATGTTTAATTACATAAATAGACAATTTAACAAAAAACATTTCTTAAAGAAAATTATGCATTAATAAGATGAAAGTTACAATTTACAAAGAAAACAAATTATTATTAATGTAATATATTTTTTTGATAAACTGTCGGGATTGCCAACATATTCAGTCATTGTGGATCACTTTGTATTTTAATTGATTTATAAAATAATTTTATTTTGAAAAATAGTTGAAAAATGGTTTGTTAAATTTTTTATTAAAAAAATTACATTTTCATTTAACTTGACCTTTGTCAATGCAGAATAAATGGCAACTTAATTCGAATTAGTTTAATTCTGAATTAAATTTTCATTTTGTTTTCTGTAAACCGGCTCCTAAAGGAATTTATCTTGAAACTACGTCAAGTTTACAATCCGATAATTTACGACCCTGCCTGGTTGTGGTTAGAAGGGTCGGCACCCAGCAGGGGCTGGTTTATTGAGGCGTCATTTTCATTTTGTTCGACTGTACATTCCCTTGAACTTTTCGAGAGGGTTTTTGGATCTCCACGTGTTTCGTCTTTCATTTTAATTTTATTACCTACTTATGTAAAGCTGGACCTTGGTCATAAAGCATAAAATTTTTATTTTATTACTAAAATGTATTTAAGTCCATAAAATTATCTCTCTAGCGAAAGAACAAAAATAAATTTCTCAACAGTAAAACAATATTGTTTTTCAAAACTTGTCTTTGCTATTTCCTGACTATAAAAATAATTTTTGATTAATTACCCCAGAGAAATTTCAGTATCAGAACACCGGAAATGAGAAATATGTTATCAAAGAATAAAGAAAATAATAACCTCACACCTACATATCTCACTAGTTAATTTGTTAATTAGACATAAAATTCTATACGCAATTGTGTTTCGTTTTCTTATAAAATCTATCACATGTAGGTAAAAGAACTATCTTTTACGTAGCTCTTGAAAGTTCACGAAGATAGCGTATCCTTATAGCACGGTTGGGCACTCATATTGCCGCTAAAAAACCATAACGAATCGGTTTTAATTATCACAACCCTAATAAGAGCTTGGCGGAAACAGCGTGTTGAGATTTATCTCAAGTCGTAGAGCGTTTGTTTCAACTCTGTGACAAGATTTTACAAAGAACACCAAAGAATACCAATGTGACTGCAGCTGCTCATATTAATTAAGTACAAATTCTAGTTATTTGGTTTTTATAATATAAAGTAAAATTATCGAAAAAACATACATATAAATGTTAATTAACGTGCCTTTTATTCTCCTTAAATTTATAATTGACACAAATAGCAAAAATTTACAAACGTAATCAAGTCATTTTACATTCCTGGAATTGTAATCATTTATTATAATTAATAATTATCTCTAGGAATATAAATATGAAATAGTTTTGTTTCCACTTGTTATATCATAAAGACGCTGATAAGACGGGATGCGAAACAGCCGTGACAATCAAACTTCAAAAGGGATTAGTGAGGGTCCTCTAGAGGTATTTATTATCTATGCTTTACGAAAGCATAATGCCCGTTTTACAGATGAATAATTGTAACCGCCACCCTCATCGAAAGGGAATATTTTTCAAAATAAATAATATTTCTAGTTTAAGAAAACATGATGAAATTGCTAACGCAAAAAATTTGTTTTGGAATAACTGTGATAAAATTATTAATTTTCAAATGTTCTGTTAATTTCCATATTCCTTACAATTATTATCATACAAAAATATTCATATATTATTGATGAATTGATGAACAACTCTGGAATGATTGGATTAATACATGTTAGGAGTATTTATTTGTGAGAAAATTATCCAGGATAACAAAGATACAATCCAAATCAAATCTCAGTCAAATTTAAATCATTTGTAAAAATATCCACAAGGAACAAATACTCAAAATTGGCGTTAAGCGTCCTTGCCTGTGTTGAAAACACCTCCAGATAAAAAGCAGTGTTTATCTCTAATTCTTCTGCTTATCACATTTCACCAGTATATTTCCCAAAAAATGCAACAAGAGGTGTGTCAAAATCGTTCTTTTCCCGTATTTGTAAAACATTAGCAGAGTATTTATGCGAACTGCGCATGGTTTTGAAGGGAGGGATATGCAACCCCTAGTTGGGCAAGGGAAGGGCAGAAAGTGCACGAAATTCCTGATATCCAAGGAAGGTCGCAGTACCCACACCGCACAGAAGTGAGATAAGTAGTGTTAAAAATATTGAAGTGTGTCAACAACAAACGGCCGGTTTATGGAATTATGTGAGTTCTTTTCTAACATTTGGTACTATTCTAGGGTATTTATTTGTCTAGTTGTGCAGTATTAGTTTGCAATTTGCGAATTTTGCAGTATTTAAGTATAACCTCATCCAAAACAATACAATTTTAGCAAGTGATTTGTATGATATCAAAATTTTTGACTATAATTAGATAGACAGTTTGGTGTCTCAATCCTGGAGTCATTTATTTAAATAAATTCTTTAAAGCTGAATTTTGCAATAACCTATATTCAACATCATTTCATCAATACAAATAATTTAAAACGCAGGCATAAAATGTGGTAGCGAAAAAAATATGCAATACAACCGAAATTATATCGACATTAGCGCCTACTTTGTTAAAATTGTTTTTATTTTCCATAGTCAAACGTATTGCGTTCTCTTTCTTTCTTTTTTCTGTTTCACAATGGTCGTAGTAAATCTAACGATCCTCTTCTGCGTGCTCAAAGCGCTAGTCCCGTTATAGAAGCTAGCAGCAACCTCTGATCCTGACCTACGCAAACAATTTCATATGAATGTAGGGCGAGATGTAGAGCAGTGGTTCCCAACAATACACCACCCAAAATTATTTTTCTTTAGTTGTTCTTTTTAACTTTTTGTATGTCATAAAAAATACAATACAATAACTAATTTGTTGATTACTGTCAAGTTTGATGCAGCTGGCACAGTGATCAATTTGAGTGGCTGTAGGGGCGGTTGCTGAGAAGAATTACACGTTAGTATTCGAAATTTTTAATTTGAAACAATTTTTGTTTATGTGTTAATAAGTTGTTTTTAATGAGCCCTATGTGCGGAACCCCTCTGTTGAGGTTCGGGGGTGTAAATGGCAAAGCGCATGTGTGACGGCACCCCTGATTCGTTTTCCAAGAACTCAATAATCCGAATTTCTTCGGAACCACCCTCCAATCTGAATTTTTTTTATTGGATCGAAAAGATTCTCTTTGCCAGAGGAAATTCTAGTCACAATACTGTGCACATGTTCACTTGTTGTAAAAAGACGTCGATTTTGAAAAGCATGGGCCGTAAAGTTTCGAAATTGTTCATTGTGTGAATTTATTGTTGGGGAAAACTGGTTTCGCATCTCAGCATCTGGTGACCATCGGTGTTTTGCAGGCTCACGTATTATTATACCCGTATTAGTAAAGAGGCTGAAAGATTGAGGGACATTCGCTTTTAATTTCATGCTTTTTCTACCTGCTATGGGTTGGTCGGGGTTGGGGATGTTTGTTCAAGGCTGCTGGTGGAGTAACACGATTCATTTCGGCAAAAATTCACCACCACAAAAGCGGTTGGATTAGGTCCTTGCTCTTTTTAGCAAGTAAAAAATAAAACAAGTGTATAAACGAGATAATATCTTTAAAATCATCCAATAAATTGATTGCATTTCAATTAAAGAATCACAAACATTGCTTCTCTAATACAATTTATAATCGATTTTCTACTAATTTGAAAAATAAGGTTATTATTGTGAAAACTTATTAGTTTATATGCACCAGATGTTTACTATCATTTTATCGATTAATCAGTGTCAGAATGCACTTTTGTTCGATTTAACTTGACTGATTTTAAATTAAGTTCATTATTTTGTAATTTAAAGTGTTAATGGTTACCACATTAGGTGTGAAGATTAATTAATGCAATAAACACTTAAAATTATTTTTAATTTACACAAATAAATAACTCTTTGATTGGACAGCTTGTTAAAATATTTTTTAGATGGAAAAATAAACAGCTTAAGTTAGTGTAAAAAATCTACTATACTTATTAATTGTATTATAACTGAATGAATTATAAAAAGTAACTATTATACTCGTATTGCCATTCAAAAAATCAATAATTAAGAGTTATAATATAATTATGAAACCCTCATTTTTTGTGAATGCTTTCTTTAGCCTCAAGACATGAAACTTCTTCATTAAAACTAAAAGTAATCAATAAAAAATTGTTATTTATACAATTCAAGGTCTCTTTCCTTTAAAATAATAAGAATTATTATAAATATTGTTTCGAATTTTATTATGGAAAATAGAAACTGAATATTGCTTTAAACTTCCATAAACATTTTTACTAAAGAAAAAAAATTACGAGTATTTCTGGTAACGAATCTAATTAATTATTGGCCTGAATTATGGGCTGCTTTCACTTCATTAATCAAATCTATTTTCCCAAACTACTTTATTTATTTGTAACTAAACAAATCGATTTTAAAAGACAAGCTGAATCAATTTAAAAAGTATTCATCACGTAAATGCATTTGAAAAAATAAAACAATTAATTAATTTACTATGAACACTAGATCTACACCACGTAATCACTTAATTCTGTATAAACATTATTTAATTAATTACCCAAAACATTTTTTTAAGAGTGAATTATTTCCAACATAAAGTAGTTTTTTTCTTTTGCTTATAAAATTGTTTTTTTTTACATAACAAAGAATTATAGCTAGGCTATCAACAGGGGGTTCAAACTAAAATATTGTAGATATTTTTTTATTACTTTACAAGGAGACCTTTTGTCTAATGCAACATAACATTTTTAAAGAACATTCAGTATAATTTTCTAAATCTTTTTGTTAAATCCACAGCTTGGTTATTTTCTTTTGTTGAACTCGAATTCAATATTATATTGAAAAATTAAAAGATTGATTACAAATTTTGAAAATTAAGCAAACTTGAATTATTGAGCTATGATCCTTACGACAGTTTTTTCATTTTTCACAACAAAAAAAAACAATCTGACTTTAGTTTTATTTGTTTGTTTTATTTGTAGCCGAAGTCCAGTAGGAAGTCCTCACCAGTCCCAAGATGTCTTGCCACAGTAATCCAACATCCAGCTGCTCGTCTGCATCCAACTGCAACGACATGGACAGTTTGGTCTGCAACATCATATCGGTGGCTTTGCAAGACATATGTGGGAACTGCGATGAAGGAGCCAAAGCCACATCAAGATGCATCGACTGCAGCGAACTTTTATGCGACCCTTGCGTGAGAGCCCACCAACGTGTACGAGTAACCAAAGACCACCGAATTAACAAATTTTCGAATAACCTTATCTCATCACCTACGACGATCGACTCGGCGGTATGCTCACCCGAGGTAATAAATAAATCACAATGAAAGAAATTAAAAGTAAATCTGGATTTTTTACAGACTAGGAACAGTCCTTGCGCCGCAATAAACACAATCTGTGATATTCATCGAGAGCCTAATAGGCTATTTTGTGCAACTTGTTATACACCAGCCTGCAGCGACTGTGTCCTAAGCGACCATGTTTCGCACGAGTTATCCTATGTCCAAGAATGCGATAATACTATTCTTATGCATACCAAATTAAATAATGAAACCAGAAGTGCAATGACGGCAGTTGCGGAAGCAATGGAAAATGTCAAATTTATGTCCACCAAAATTCATCTCAAGCTGCAAAAGACGACGGTGGATGTGCAAAACGTCTTTAAAAAGTAAGTATTGAAAAATTCTAGTGAAAATGTATGTATCACGTGTTGTCGCCGTTTACCCCAAATAACAATAACTGGCGCTTATTTATTACTTTCTAATCATTCAAGGCGGTTACATCGTTTACATTAACTGAAATCTTGTTCTGATAAAATTCCCATGAAAGTTTTCTAAAAATTAAATCAAATGGTAGCCCTACCTATTTTCTTTTCAACAATATTTATAACATTAACGTAACGGGAAATTGCATAACATATTATTTTTCAAAGAAGTATTGCGTAAGGTGACCTAAGAAAAGCATGTATGTCACTTATCCTATAACCTCAAGGTATTTTCACTTTAGTCTCCTTAATTATACAATGATTTACTTGATAGAAAATCTTTTAAATTTTTTCTATTATACATTTATTAATTTTTTTAAATCCCTAATATTGTTTAATTTGCAACTTCAAATTTTCCAGTACCTAGGTACTAATTGGCAAAATATAATCTACTAGTTCAATTCTTTGTTTAATTAATTCAGTAATAATAATCACGTAATAAATGTCAGTTACAGACTAAAGTATCTCCAGAATTTACGTTTTTTGTAAAAGGCATTTGTGTTTTGAGTTTCACTTTCACAAGCTGTTCGATATTGTTGGACAATCAACGCTATTTTCTGTACACAGAAAACACATCTTCCGAAACGAAATTGTTTTTTCTTTTAGATTCACTATGCAGAATTTAATCTTGATTTAAAATTCTCGATTCAGATTAACCCACGAACGTCAAATCAGAATAGAAAATAAAAATAAACGTAGGTATCTATTCAAAATAAATAAAATACAATGTATATTCTCCCGAATTTTTATAAAATGAGTTATAATATTGTTTTTTCAACCGTAGCAAATTTTCTTTTATACATTATAATATTCATCTTATTGTATTGAAGGAGAAATAGACGATATGCAATAATTGTTTGAAAAACTTTTTTAGTTGTGAAAACTTCGTATTTTTGCGATACCGGCTGCTGCTGTCTGTCCAATTCCATCTTTCTCTTTTTTTTTCAGATATGTAACGGCTTTAGAACGCCGCGCCCAAGAAATCGTGAGCAAAATCGAGCAAATCCAGCGATTCAAAGCCTACCGCCTCCTCTCACAAATGGAGCGTCTCCGCTTAGCCCAAGCTCGCCTCACCTACGTCTCCAACATCCTCAACGCCTCTTTCGCCAGCGCTACCAACAGCGAATTCATCATCGCCAACGAAAAAGCCTACAACGAGCTAAAATCCATCCGATCCGTACAATCCGAACTCCTCCCTTGCGAGGACGACTACATTCGTTTCACGGCAGTAGACAACGGCCTTTTTTCCGCAATCAATTCCTTGGGCAACATCAACACAAGCTCAGCCATGAGTTGGGGCCCAGAACTCTCCACACCTCTTGCGATTCAATCAAACGAAATTTTGAAAATGTCTGACATTAATCAAAATTGTCGGCCTCTGTACGGTGTCGTTGACCAAGTGACGGTCAAGCACGTCGGGTCGGTTTCTCCACTTATTTTTGCAAAAGAAGGGGTGGAAGATGGGCAATTGTGCCGCCCATGGGGCGTATGTTGCAATAGCTTGGGGCATATTATAGTGACAGATCGGAGCAATAACAGGATTCAAGTTTTTGACTCGAATGGGAAATTTTTGTATAAGTTCGGCAAACAAGGGAGTGGTTTGGGGCAGTTCGAGCGCCCCGCAGGGATCACCGTGAGTCCCGTTAACCACATCGTGGTAGCCGATAAGGATAACCATCGTATCCAGATATTCAAAATGGACGGCACTTTTATCTTGACTTTTGGCGAAAAGGGGACCCAGAATGGGCAATTTAACTACCCATGGGACGTCGCGTGCAACTCCCAAGGGGACATTGTGGTCTCCGACACTCGCAACCATCGCATTCAGTTGTTCACCGGTGCTGGAGCTTTTATCAACAAGTATGGTTTCGAAGGCAACTCCTCCATGTGGAAGTTCTTTGATTGTCCACGCGGAGTTTGCTTTACTCCTGGCGGCAATGTCATGGTGACTGACTTCAACAACCATCGCATTGTTATCATTGATAAGGATTTCGTCCGTGCGCAATTTTTGGGAGAAGAGGGGTCGAAAGATAAGCAGTTTTTGCGGCCTCAAGGGATTATTTGTGACGATCAGGGGAATATCGTTGTCGCCGATTCGAAAAATCACCGAATACAAGTTTTTGACAGTTTTGGGAATTTTTTGTTCCAATTGGGAAGGTCTGGTAAAGGTCCCGGGGAATTCGATAGGCCTAGTGGTCTTTGTCTTAGTCCAACAGGGCGCATAATCGTCGTAGATTTTGCGAATGCAAGGGTTCAAGTTTTTTGAAACATGCTCATAGATTAGATGAATTGACTCAGGGTTTGTTGCTACAAAGAGAAACTCCTCAGGTACGAGTAATAACTGACCTCATATAGTTACTTTTTGCGAATTTATTTTATTTGGTTTATTAGAATCATTGTAAATATGTTAGCAATCGACAATTCAGGACCTGTAAGTTACCAATTAAGACTGAATCAAGACTGATTGTGAATAGAGTTCTATTTTTTGCTAGGGGCGCCTTTTTAACTACAATAATTAGGAAAAGCAGTCTGGAGCCGGTGTTGCTATTAGTATTTAATTGATATTTACTCTTGTAGCCTTGTAGTAAAAAAGGAATATTTTGCTAAGCAATGTTCGAACGTTACCTGGTGTTGTCTAAGTGGACAACCTTTAATTAGTCACCATTTCTACTGTGTTAAGTAAAAGTGTGGCATAACATGCTTAATTTTATCATGTTCAAAATTATTTTGTTGTATTATGAATGTTTTAATTATTTTAAACTATCTGTGGTTCTCTGTCAGCAACTATAAAGATAAAATACGCTGATGGAGTGTTTATAATCATCAGCCGATGATACAAATAACGAATAATTTTTAAAAATAATTTTAGTATTATTAGGTTAAAAACTTGAAAAGTATTAATATTTAACGAATATTTTTCACACTAATGACTGACTACTTGTAAAATTTGATATTAACTTAGTTATTAAGGTTACGAGTCCATCACATGACTGAAGTACTCTTCTTGAAACGTCATGTGATTATGCTTACTTTTATTTAGGTGTTACTAATGATTTATTTTGGTCCAGCATTAGTTTTTGTATGTTTTGTTTCAGCCAGTGATATGACACTATTTGTGCATACCAATTTTTTTTCTTTTGAGCTTGACACCAGAAACGTATCATATCATGCGGCTTTTGTTTAGGTACTTTCGATTGTGTTTTATGTTTTGTTTTCTTTTTTGATATTTTTATTGCAATAATTGTGTAAGCTTTTCCAGTGGAAACTTGCCAAAAATATTCATAGGGCTGTTACGACAGGACCATGTCTGCAAGTCCTTCATTCATTTTCATTTTATTTTGTATTAGTTTTATACACCTTTTTATGTGGTGCAATTTAAGTAATATACAGTTCCTATCGATAGTTGTCTTTTTTTCGAAAATTTCCAAAATCTATTGAGATCACCGTCTGGGATCACACCTGTGCAGTCCAAATTCCTTTTCACTTTTGTGCTGCCGGCGTTTGTTTTCCTTTATTTACTTTTACTCCAGTTCAGTATCTCATCGCTGATCTCACCTTAAAAAAGTTATTAAACTATAACTACCAGAAAATGATTAATTCCTAATACATAACAGTTAAAGGTATTACATAAAAAATGTTAAGCTTTAATTTAATTTACCGAACCAAATATTTGTGTAAGATTGTTGAAAAAAAGGTGACGAAAGTAAAGGCACTGGACAATCCCCACTATGTCGACATGCTTTCTTACAAGAAGTTATTTAGATACAAATTTCTCTGCTAAAGTGGTGTTGTGATTCTGAAGCAGTGTGTTATAGTTACGTTGAAGGGACTACATCACAACGACGTGAGTGTCTTTAGATCAGATTTATATTTAAAAAGTAAAAAAATAATTTTTACAATAAAAAAATCATACAAATTTTTAAATCAAATTAAAATCAGGCGTATCGTGTTTTCCTAATTTATTTTTTTCTTTAATCACAAAGAAAATTAAATACTTAATCCAACAAAATTAATAATTGTACACAGTATACACTTCTGAATTATTGTAAATATTATTTTTAACCACAACAATTTCTTGACACATTGTAATAAATAATTTGTGCTGTATTCATTATTAATAGTTGAAGGTGAAATAGGATATGCAATTAATCTTTTATGCTCTCATCTTAAATGTTTATAGATAATTATATACAATTGTATTACATATTGCGGAAAGTCGTTGCATTCTATGAAAGTCTGTCCAACAACTTAAAAATGTCTAATGTGTAATAAGCACGTATGAATGTTTATTGCATTCCAAGAATTTTCCAAAAAGGAATAACGGTATAATATATTGCAATAAAATATAGAAATCGGTAATAAAATAATAAATTAGTAAAATCCTTTTAAACAAAAATTACATTTGCCAAATATTAAGCACAAATATTTGCTAATGGCCGTTCTCTTCCGCCTCATAGTGCATTATTGTCATAACTGATATAATTAGCTCAGATAATTGTTATTACGCAACTATATATTACATAATGTCATGCACTACCTTATTTTTTTGAGATACAAGTTATTTAATCAACTACAAATATCTGCTTAAAGTATAAAGTATTTATTACTTAAGTCTTTGACCGAGACCTTTACCTTAAATTAAAAAAAAAGTTAAGTAAAAGTAACGATTAAAATTTCAGCGATCGAATCAATGATCAAGAAAGAGAAAGCATAAGAAAAAATAAAAGAACAACAAGAAATACGCTTTTGCTAATTTATTTTTTGGTGGAACCTCAAACCATTTTACTTCCTAAAAAAAGAGAAACAGGATTTGCATTTTATTTGAAAATCTTGTTCTGACTGTGATGGTCAAATTTATGAGTCTAGTCCAAGACAATGGAAACACTTTCTCAGTCATCACTCCCAAATTTAATTTTTATGAGCATTATGTGCAAAAAATGGGCGCAGGTGTTGTATGCAAAGTTTAAGGAAAGTTCCGACACTTGTCTTGAGACAAAATTTTGTAACATAAAAGGGTGTGGACTTGGGAGAGAGCGAACAATCGACCAACATTAAAAACTTCAATCTTCACAATCAACTAATCCAAATAAATTATTTATGAGAAAAGTTATATAATTCCTTTACTGTTGCGAATAAGAGAAGCGTCATTGTGCAAAGAATAAAATACGCCAATTAAAAATTTATTACTAAAACAGATCGAGTTCTCACATGTTATCGCAATTTTTTGATGCAAGATGCAATTTCGTCTAAATCTCGGCTAAAATTGCAGTGAAAGCCACATCAATAAAATTGCCACTTTTGTACCACTTATTTATACTTAACACAACAGCATTCATAATTATTGTCAGATAAACTTTCACTTATTGCAGTTTAAGATTTTTTTTGTAGGTAATACGGTTAGTTGTACTTACCTAATTTCTTACATTTATCAAAATTCGTAAAGATTGTTCCAGAAGTGGGTTAAAAACATGAAGCGATAAACACGCAAAGGTTAATAATTTCGTGTTTTTAGTGGTTTTTAAGCGATCTTCAAAGGGAAAGCGAAACTAAGGTTGTTGAAACAGAAAAGAAGTCCATCAGAGGGTGGCGACCTAATTTTCTAAATTAAAATATTGCTTTTGGCAATATCGTTGGACATCATTATTAAAATTTGAATGTCGAATAAAAGTATACTTCATACTCCAGTAATAAATTAGAGAAAATGTAATATCTTACACGGTTCAAAAGTTCTCCACTAGCATAAATATTTAAATTACCGTCAGTACATGCCACTAATTATATTTACTCGACACAAGTAAAAGATCAATAAATAAAACTCTTTAATGCTCTACTTCTTACAGGATGTTACATCTGACAATAGTTCCGTTAGTCATCATGGCTCATTTAATTCACGGTTTTCCGAAAACCGTAGAGACGGAATTACCCAATTATCCCAGACAAGTCCACTCTCGAGGATTCAACCAAAAATCTCCTTCTCCCTTCACTTCACAAGTCGAATATGAAGATACGCGTCCATCTGCTACTCAAGAACAACCCGCAAATTACCCTTTTGTTTACCAGAATGCAATTCCGGTTAAACAGAAAGTCCAGCAGGTAGTTCGAGGTAACAGAAACGGACCACAACAATTTGCCAATCAAAAAGACGGACTCAGAGAGGTAAAACCGACTTTTTATTGAATAAAGTCACACTTTTCAAAAATTTAGAAAAACCCAAAACAATTGGAAGAAGAGGAAATCGAGGAACCGGACAGGTTAAGTCTCTTGTTGCCAAATTCAAAATTTGTGTGTGATGGTAAAAATACTGGATATTATGCTGATGAGGATTTAGGATGCGAGGTGTTCCACTATTGCCAAGACAACGCCAAACATTCGTGGATATGCCCCGAAGGGTTTACTTTCCATCAAGTCCATCTTATTTGCATGCCTCCAGGTGGTGACAATATTTGTGAAAAGTCGTCACAATTTCATTTTGTTAATGACTACCTTTACAAACCCGTTAATTTAGAAGAATATCAACAAAAACCCAACGTATCTTTAAGATACTCTGAAAGGTTTTATCCTGAAAACTATTACCAAGAGCGGGAAAATGATCAAGAAAATCGTCAGCCTAATCACCACAGAAACTCTGTATGAAAATTATTTTTTCTAATTATAATTTATGACTGATTTAATCATTTGTCGTAGGTGAGGGTCCAACAGGAAGAACCTGAACAAGTACACCGACCCACATTTAGACCCGAACCTTCTCTAAGTCAAGTATTTAGGTCTCCAAATGAAGTAAATATACCTCTCCAACAGAGAAGACCGCAGTATTTAACACAGCGGTTTTTTTCCCAAAAATAAGTGACTTAATTTTAAAGTTATTACGTTAGATATTTATCAAAAATGAGAACAAGCCTGAAATATACGAGTAGCGTATATCATTTGAAATTGTAATTAATGTTGCGATCAGACTTTGTAATGATGTTTGTTTAATTGAGTAATAAAATTTAAAATAAACTTTAGACCTTTTCATTAGTCACCTACTGACCTTTTCCTTACAATAGCTTTGTAAAAGTAATAAGGTAATAAACTAGAAACAAAAAAGTAATTAAAACGTTAATCAAAGCGGACGTAAGCATATATGCTCCTTTCTATTCGCATATTTCGCAAAAAAAAATATTTTCTTTAGCGGTTTTTAGTTTTAATTGTGTATTACTGGTTGCTGCTTTTCGTTAAATGACAGCTGTCAATTACTTATTTAACCTAACTTTTTCTGATACGTTTGTTGTTTATTTGTTATCCTCAAAAAATTATTAGTAGTTTTCAGAAAACCAATAATGCGATGTCTACATTTAAATATACGACAGGCAACATTTATCACACTTTCCGTTATCATCAACAATGTAAATCTTATTCAAATGGGTTTGTTTATGCATTTAAATCATAATAGTCATATTGAATTCCTTTGATTCTAGCTGATAATACACTAGATGGTACACGTGAAACAACCTCAAAGAGCAAGAATATTTCAGAAAAAAAAGAAGTGGTTCAAAATGTAAAATATTGACTTAAAAGAACAAATTTATTACTTTCTCATTGTAGGTAGATTCAACTCTGCCCTGTCCTTTAAACATGGATTGCAAAGACTTACATCCTGATTGTCTGAGGTGTGACATTACCCCAAAGTGTACTTATGGTGAAAAAATGGTCACAATATGTACCGTGCAACCCACAGTGAAATGTAATGGTGAAAAGACATTTAAAAAGCATTTACTTTGTCGTTACTGCTACCAAACTGAATCTTGGGAACACACGTGTGATTTGAAAGCGAATTGTAACTCAGTTGCGTCCCCTAGAATGACTTACACCACCAATTGTACAGTAAAAAGTGATGTTTTGTGTCTTGGTAAGTTATTATAATGTTGGAAAACCCTGATTTATTAAAATTAATTCAAGGTAATCGCACTTTTAATAAAAATGTTTTGTGCAATTGGACTGGTGGTTATCGTTGGACGACGGCTTTGATTTTAAGCATCACATTGGGAGGCTTTGGGGCTGATAGATTTTATTTGGGTCATTGGCAAGAAGGAATTGGGAAACTGTTTAGTTTTGGGGGACTCGGTGTGTGGACGATTATTGACGTTATTTTAATTTCGTTGCATTATTTGGGGCCTGCTGATGGCTCCCTCTATATTTAAGCCAATAATTTATTAAGGATGTAAAGTGTGAATATTTTAGTAATAAAACAAGTTATAATAAATTAACAGTTGTTTTATGTATCATTGGGTAACACACTGTAAGGTAAAATGCTTAAAATAAATTAAAATCCACATAGGGAAATACTTGCAAGACTAGCTTTTATGGTAATACAAAATTCAAACTAACTAAACGATAAAAAAAATACAACAACCCCTGTAGAATAAATTGTACTTAATTAAACTCAAAATAACGTCAACAAATCAATTTTATTTCATCTAATAAAAAATTTATTAATTCGGCATCCGTCATGTCGTCCGTCTCTCTCTGAGAAACCTGTAAACACATTTAACTTAATTATTGTAATCCAATAAGAAAAATTAAATTACCACTAAAACACCCTCCTCAAACTGGTCCAACAGTCTTAACTTCATCGCCATTAATCCTACAGGAACATCATATTCGAGATTTCTTATTTGAGTGTACTGATCTAAAACTTCTATATGCACAGCTTTGGTTCCTCCACTTCTATATCCAGTAATCCCGACAATATTCATATGTGGAACTGCATAGGACAATTCGAATTTACTAATATTTAAATCCTTTTTAATTTTATCTAAGTTTCTCAACAACCTCTCAAACAGTGGTCTTTTGCGTAATTGAAAAAAACTCGTATAATCGTGCTTGCGTTCAGTTGGAGCCTTAATAGGTAATTTTTTTGATAACTCAGGATCTTCGATTAAAATTGCATACAATAATAAATTCAGTCTTAAATTGTTCTTGTAATCCTTGTCTAAAAAACAATTTTCAATAATTCCAAAAGCGCTGATGCAACAAGACTTACGTAACAATTGAGCATTTTCTTTGGTGAAGACATAAGGCACCAGTTCATGTGGATGACAATTGAGCATCCACAAATAAAGCATGATGTCAACCAAGGAGGAGACATCCTTGTTAATTTCTTGACCCTCAATTCGTTCAATAATTTTCGGGATAAAGAGGGTTTTCAAAATATTTCGATTTACTAGTTTCAAATCACTAAACATGCTTAATACCCACAATAACCGTTTAATGTCTTTAGCCCTCAGTTGGTGGGTTACATAAATATTTTTTGAGACAAAATCGCAATCAGTGAGCTGCTCTAAACACTGCTGTATGAATATTTTAAAGAGGTTTTTATCGTAATAGAAATAATCGGCATAGAGGGCCAAAATGTGGCATATCGTTGAAAAAGTGTAAGAATACGTTTTATTAAAAATAACAGCGTAGGAAATCGTGTTGAGCAAATTATCATCTTGGCAGCGATTATGCCTCAATGTCTTAACTAAAGTTACAAATAAAGGAAAATCTTCTAACACAGATAAGTTGCCATCAATGTATTTCTTGACTTTGTTCAATAATGTTTTATTAATTATTTTAGTGCTAGTTTTAAACGTTGAAATACAAATGATACACAATTCCTCACTTGTTAAACTATCAATAAATTCGTTGGTCATCGTTTTCTGGCACTGCCGCAGCATTGTTTGTGATTCAAGACATTTCTTCTTAACACCCAAGTAGAAAATAAATTGCAACAATTGTTTCTTATCTAAAGTAGTTAACGAATCATTCAACGCGTTCAGCGCTTTATTATAAAACTTATATTCACTGATTTGATTTTGGGCCACACACATATACACATTTAGCAATTGTAAAATATCTCTCACTGATAACTCTGGCAGTCTTAGTGTATATTCTACATCAAGTTCTTTTAATATGAAATCAAGCTCACTCCCTGGAATATTTTGGGTGGTCAAGCTGCTTGTTATTTCTATGATTTCTGGGGTGTTTAACTTGTACATATGGTTTATATTCTGACGTATGTTCTTGAAAGTTTTTGTTGCAGGAATTATTGGATTTGTACTTTGCTCTTTATCAATATTTAAATATAATAAAAGTCTACCTGTGAGAGTTTCTTGGTTCAGGGCCATTGGTTCCTTACTTAGGGCTTTTGCAAAATTTCGCAACTGAAAACTGGTTACTTTCACGGCATAATTTGATAATAATGATGCAGACTTTGATAATAAACGCATCTTAATTATGCCTGAATAAATTTTCTCACATATTCACGAAGTTTTAGGTTAGGTCACAAGTCTACTTTAGGCAATAGGTGGAACTTTCATGTATAGTTGTCTGCCTACGTACAAGTTTACTAAAAAAGGAATATTTTTATCTTTTATTTATTTTTTAAGTAAGTACTCAAATAATATAAAATTACAAGAGATAATGAAACAATGATGAATATTAATTACGTATGTAGTACACTTTAGGATGGAAATCTGTGATAACTTGAAGTAGTCCGACAGTCGTCCTTCCACCTAAAAATGACCTCAGGTAACATAATTGTAACAGGATTTGGCCCATTTGGCGATCATTCAATAAACGCAAGTTGGGAGTCTGTAAAATTATTACCACCAAAAATTGATAACTACACTATTATTAAAGAAGAAATATCAGTATCATATGACACTGTCGACAAGAAAATACACCTTATGTGGAAAGAATACGATCCAGCAGTATAAATTGGCTTTGTACTAAATTTCCGTTTTTTTTATTTTACTATATTTTTAGTTAGTCATCCACGTCGGAGTTTCAGCTCTTGCGGATAAAATTACTTTAGAAACTTATGCCCATAAAGATGGATACATAAGAACTGATGTTTTTGGTAAGAAACCAATTAAGGGAACTGAATGTTCAGCAGAGTGTACGGAAAAATACCTGAAAGCGGGCATCAATGTTAAAGATATTTGTGATCATTTGAACTGCAATGTGTCCACCAAAGCTTGTGTATCTGAAAATGCTGGAAGGTCTGATAAATAAATGTGGTTTCAGTTTCGTATATTAATCTTAATTTTTGAATTGAAGGTATCTTTGTGAATACGTGTTTTATACATCTTTAAGTATTGGTAAAGATAAAACTATGTTCATTCATGTTCCTCCACTAGGACAACCATATTCTGCTGAAGAACTTGCTAGTGGTATTTTGGAAGTGATCCGGTGTGCTCTTAAACAGGGAGCTAAATGTATTGAAGAAGCATAATGTACAATTATGATGTATTAAAAAATCACAAGTTTATTAAACTTGTTTCCGTTACCTTTAGTTATTTATCTTTATTATTTTGAATGTGCCTCCAATTTGCATATCCTAAAGTGAAAATTCCCTAAAAGATTGTGTACATAACCTTTTAAAGTTTCAATTTGAGGAAAATATTTTTTATACTTTTTGTAATAATATGCGTAACGAAACAAATAATGAGCCCGTTCTTACGTATTTTTAAGAAATTTATTATTTCACTGGTATTTAATGATTTGGTTTCAGAAATTCAAATGAAAACCCTTACTACAGCTCCGTTACTTGTTTAACTCAGGGGCTATTAAACGTGTACGAACCAAGTTTAACTCAAGTTGAAAAAGCTTTAAAAGAATTGACGTAAAAAACATGCTTATGTTAATAAATAACACTAATTTTAATGGCATTGCAGAGATAAAGAAACGGTGTTACTTGACCAAATCCACACTGAGAATTTATGTTTGTCTGAAACACAACATAATGACGACCTAAATGAGATGTTTGCTAAAATTGAATTGTATCAAAGCAAGTTAACAAATATTAAAAGAGAAATGAAAATTCTTCATGATAAAAGTTTAAAACTAAAGGTTGGTTTTTATTTTGAAAAGAAAATAATCAAAGGTTGTTTTAGAAACGTGCCTTAAAAATTCAACAATTTAAAGAAAAACAGGAATATATTAGACAACAAAAAGAAGCTGATATAAAAATGGAGCAAGATTTGATTGGAAAACACAAGACTACGTAATTATTTCTATTTAACAAAGATTAAAAGTTTATACAAATGTGCAATTATTATGTAATAAAGATTATTTAAATCTATTTCAATTATTTTATTAAACTTTTTGAATGTGCCTCCAATTTTAATACTGTAATATAAAAAGTCCCTAAGGGATCGACAAAAAATCCCTAAAAATCGCGCCAAAATAAACTGTCAACGGGTATATTTGACAACAGGTGGTTCTTCAGTTGCTTGTTATTTGTTTATTTTATTAATAAGTGTGTTGTGAATTTAATGTTGAATATGTCCACAAGAAAATCTTTGCGTTTGCAATCAAGAGGAGACACTACTCCAGCTACTCCCATTCATACAAACTTCTATTCGCCACGATTACGAAGTTCGGTTAAACGTAATCTAAACAGCTCTTTTGGGGCTAGTGAACAAGAGCCTTTATCACCTACAAAGGTTTTAAAAAGTGGATCAACTCCCGCAAAAGGACAGAAGAAAAATGAAAAAATCACTTTAATTATTGATAAGAAAAACATGACTTGCCGTCCACTTTTCTACTACGAGAGTTCTGAATCTGAGGATGACTGCGTTGCAAAAAGCAGAATTTTAGGCAAGCGTAAAGTTAAATATCCAGCAAAATACACTGATGTATATGTTTCACCGAAAAAGACAGTTAGAGGAATTGAAGAACTTCATTTCACACCGGTTAAAAATAAATTGCTTGAAAAAGATGTGTTTAATGATGGTAGTAAGACACCGAAAACGCCACGAAATTCGTCTAAAAAGGCTACACCAAGGAGTACAATTAAGCAGATCAGGGAAGGAACTATTACTCCTAAAGTTCAGTCTAGAATTAAAGCAGTAGAGCTTAATAACACTCCTCTTAAAATGGCCAGAAGTCAGTTGCATGTTTCTTATATACCAACAGACTTGCCTTGCAGAGAAAAAGAACATGAAGATATTCTCAGTTTTTTAGAAGGAAAATTACTTGATAAATGTGGAGGGTAATTTTTAAATTATGTTTAGCTGGTTTCCTAAGTATTTTATTTAGGTGTATGTATATTTCTGGAGTACCGGGGACTGGTAAAACTGCAACTGTTACAAGTGTTATTAATCATTTATTAAAGGCTGTTAAAACTGGAGAAATTCCTAATTTCCAGTATGTGAATTTAAATGGAATGAAATTAACAGAACCCAGACAGGCTTATGTTGAAGTAAATAAAATAAAGGCATTGTTGTATCATTTTTTATATATTTTTTTAGATTGTGAAACAGTTAACTGGAAAAACAGTGACTTGGGAACAAGCTCAAAATACTTTGGAAGAAATATTCACAAAGAAAGCGAAAAAAATGAAGTTACCTATCATTTTATTGGTAGATGAAGTAAGAAACTTTGCAGGTGAAATAAAAGATCATTGATTGATTTTTTTAAAATTATAGTTAGACATTATTTGTACCAAAAGGCAAGATGTTGTATATAACATTCTAGACTGGCCCACCAAATCTATTACTCAATTAATTGTGATTACCATTGCAAACACAATGGATTTACCTGAAAGGTAAATTTTAAATTAATCGGTGTATTACAAAAAATAACCATAAATATTTGTAGACTGTTGATGAATAGGGTAACAAGTCGTTTAGGCTTGACCAGACTCACCTTTCAAGCATATACACATAAGCAGTTGCAAGAAATAGTAACAAAGCGTCTTTTTGGAACCAACAGTTTCAATCCAGATGCTGTGCAACTAGTGGCGAGGAAAGTTGCGTCAGTTTCTGGTGATGCAAGAAGAGCTTTGGATATATGTAGAAGAGCAGCAGAAATCGCTGAAGTTGAAGGCGATGACACTTTAGTGACCATGTCTCACGTTAATGAGGCTCTAAAAGCCATGATAACTCAGCCAAAAGTTAGGGCAATAAAAAATTGTTCACGCTTAGAACAGTATATTCTTCAGGCTGTGATTTCAGAAGTATGGAGAATTTTAAAATTTTACATTGTATTTTATTAAGAAGTGTTTTAGGTTGAACGCACTGGAATTGAAGAAACGGTTTTTTCAAATGTTTATAAAATGTTAGTGTCTTTATGTGCTGTAAATGGTTTTAATTCAGTTTCTTGCACGATTGCTCTTCGCGCGATATCAAAACTGGGAGCGTGCCGATTGTTACTTGTGGACCAAAAATGTCATGATGTTGATGAAAGGATTATTTTAAATGTGAGCCCTGACGATGTGTATTATGCACTTAAAGAAGAATGATTTTTATGTTTTTAATCAAAGTAAGACTTGAATAAAACTCTTTCATCTGTCACAGTTTTTTGAAATTATTTGATTATTTTAGGAAAATTGATTTTTATAACCTTGCCACTCCTTTCAAAAAACCTAACCTTCAAAAAATGGATAAACATACATAAGTGTCAAAATACAAAAATATTTCTTAAAAAATTGGCTTATTTGGATTAATTATTGACTCGAAAACAGGTACACATTCTAGAAAGCAACTTTTTACATGGCATAAACTATGACGTCTAAAATTCAGTTTGTATAAAGAATTTTTTTATCACTTTAAACCTCTTGTGTTATTGTGTCTAGAAAAACGAGCTCAGCGGTTATTTATTTAGTGTAAGACAAGCATTTATCTCTTTATCTTTAACTAGTTTGTACAATTGTCAAAGACAAGGTTACGGTTATAATGAAAAAGAATTTGAACGAGAAGTCGTGCGTAACTTAATAAGGTCAAGTTTTAAGCTATGCAAAAAGTGATTAATTTTACAGGGTTATGAGACTGTACATTAAGATTGTGTCTTAGTTTGCAGAAGGAAATACAATGGCTCAAAGCGCTCCTCTAATTTTGCGTTTACTGGCATCCTCTGTAACTGCGGCCAACAGGGCTGGAAAAATAATAAGAGATATAATGGCTAGGGGAGACTTAGGAATTGTTGACAAGGTATGATTGTGTTATTTTGCTAAAAATAGAAATTTAAATTTTTACTATAGGGAATCAATGATCTTCAAACTGAAGCAGACAGATCTGCACAACGTTGTATTGTGGCATCTTTGTCTCAGCAATATCCAGATTTGACTATAATTGGAGAAGAAGGGACAAATAATTGTGAAGTAAGTTAAAATTTTGTTACTTTAATTTCTCAAACAAGTTTTTCAGGTGCCAAGTGACTGGATTGTAACAGATTATGACAAAGTAGTAATCTCAAAACAGTGCCCCCAGGAGTATTCTGCCGTAACAAAAGACGATATTGTGGTCTGGGTGGACCCACTTGATGGCACGTCAGAGTACACTCAGGTTGTTATAAATTTATTCCAATTGTTTTTTAATTCAATTTAATTAGGGCCTTTTGGAACATGTCACAGTATTAGTAGGTTTATCTGTGAAAGGCAAACCCATTGCTGGTGTCATACACCAACCCTACTACAATTACAAAAGCGGCAATTTGATAGGCCGCACAATATGGGGATTAGTCGGAATGGGTGTCGGAGGTTTCGACCCCCAAGGGGCACCCCCTGGCAAACTTATTCTTACCACCACAAGATCGCACTCTGACAGCACAGTCCAGAAAGCCCTGGAGGCTCTAAATCCAGACGAAATAATCAAAGTTGGAGGTGCAGGTCACAAAGTATAACTCTACCTACTTAATTAATTGGTTTTGTAAATGATTCGTGTCTTCAGGTGCTATTACTGATTGAGGGCAAAGCCCATGCTTATGTTTTTGCAAGCAAAGGCTGCAAAAAATGGGACACATGTGCCCCTGAAGCAGTGCTGGTCGCAACTGGGGGCAAATTGACAGATATGCATGGCAATTCTTACAATTACAGCAAAGACGTTCAGCATCCAAATACAGGAGGAGTGTTTGCTACCGTGAGTGGCATTGACCATGAAAATTTGTTATCAAAAATACCACAAGAAGTTAAAGACAAACTCAAGTGATGTCTTTGGCGGTTTTTAATTCTTATCTTCTAATCATTTGATGTATTTATGTTACAAAATGGGCAATAAAAAGAATCAGCAAACAGGTTGTTTTCCCGACAATAAAACATTCATGTCTGTAGTTACATAATTTCGTTTTGTGTACGATGACACTGTAATTTTGTGTGATCTTTGATGGAGAAAAACAGTGATAATCTTTAGGTTTTTTCTGTGTTATCTAATGTTCATATTTTAATGCATTTTCTGTATGTACATAGATTAGCTGCTTCTTTATGTTAATTCTATCTATTTTTAAACAAAGAAAACATTGTTCTACCGAAATTAAAATTTTCTTGATTGATCATATTTGTTGTCTATAACTGCCTAAAGGAATTCATAACTCTATTTAGTCTATGTGTTATCTTTCTATGCAGTTGTTATCTTTGACCTTCAATAAATTACAAAGTTAAAGACATAAGTGACCAGCAACTAAAAGGGTTCATAAATTAATACATTATCAACTTAACGTCCCATTTATTTTACATTTTAAATGAGTTATGATAAAAATTTAATCGTGGCTATAGTTCTAGGTTGACTGGAACAATATCACTATTTATTTTTGTAGCGAATATTAAAAAAATCAAACCAATAAAACCTTCAGTGTTTTTTTTTATTTCGATTGTTAGACGTATTTCAGATCACAAGTGGCAATAAAATTTTTGAATCAGTTATAAATATTAATTCCTATGTCTTTTAAATAAATATTTCTTTTTTCATCTTCTTCTCTTTACTTTCGTCCTCCCCTTCTTCCTTTTCGTTCCACCAGTTTCATGTTTCTTTGCCGTTTTTGCAGCTTTAGGTTGGGGCACAGTCCCTGGCCTTTTAGGTACTTGCAAATGCTGTTCAACCAAATCAGCCAATTTTCCTTGTTCAGCTAACATTGATAGAAACGTACAAATAAATTCGTCGTAATTATGAGTCCTTCTACAGTCATCAATCTATGAAAAAATACTCATCATTACAATTTTATTACATTAATCAAACAACAAATACCTTATATTTGTTTTGTTTATCATTTTCATCTTTTAAATTAATCTCACACATACAAATCTCGTTTTCTAAATTTCGTAAAAGCGCTAAAAGGTCTTGTGGGGCAAAAGTGTGAGGCTCCAAAAGTTCAGGATGTTTTTTTTCAGCGACAACTGTATCACCATCACTTGTACGAACTCTGGCAACGGCTCCATTTCCGTTAGTTTTTTGTTCAGTACCTTCTTTTTTCACTGAAATTTCACCGTTTACTTAAGAAAAACAACTAATTTCTGGTTAAACTATTATGTAAAATGACTCAAGTATTTTAAAAGCCGACAGTTTAACCAGAAAATCGTTCATTGTCTATTTATACCAGTCATCTTGCTATTTTGTTCCTCTTCTTGCTCATTCATCCTTATCACAACAAATCTCTTCAAATCCCTTGAAGACGGACTTGGTTGTTGTTGCTGCGCCCCCCAGTTCCAGGTCTGCGTCGGTGAATTAAACGCGGACCCTATTTCCGATGACGTATCTGTTCCTGAAGTGCTGGGGGCTGGTGATGTTTGAATTGTGAGTGGCGTTGCATAGTCTAATGGCCCTAGAGTTGTAACTGAACTTTTCGGCGTCAAAGCACTCTCTTCTGATGTTGACTGACTTTGAGAATTTCCTTGAGGAGTATCTTCTTCCATTGGATTGTTACCACCCAAGCTGTTACTTGAAGACTCTTCTTTTTTGTCTTTTTTAACCTTGACCAAGTGTTTTAAAGCATCTAAAACTATCTGTCTGTTCGTTTTCAACATCTTTAACTTGTGATGAATTGCAAGTCGGCGGTCTGGAACCACTGCCATTAAATTAAAACGGATTTCGCTGCCCTCATCTCCTGCACTTATCGCTAATCTATCTGCGATAACGGCCCGGAATTTGTCTGTCCATTGATCACCCTCATTCCAGGGCCCATGGTCGATAGGGTAAGGCTTCAGGCCATCCAATTCAAAAAGACGTCCGTTTATAGGAACAAAACTGACGAAATGGAACGCTTCTCCTGTAAAACGGCCTGTTGAAACCCCGCTACTTTTATCCAACCGTCTTTTAGCTTGCGGCATTGCGTGGGAATTGTGTGCCTTAGCCAACTCTGGCGTGTTTCCAATCGCCCAACCTTTATTCTCAGGTGACATACCCCTAGTGTGTGTTCTCAGCCTTTCCAAAGTCGCTCCCAAGTGTAAATCGGCACAATTTAATAATACTGAAACTAGGGCATGGGTGGCACAACTGTTGGGGACCATCTGCTGTGCGAAAAATATATCATTTACGATTTCTTCATCTCTAACAAACACTTCAGTTTGCTCCACGATTTTTCGTCGGGAGCGGCGTTCTTCCATCCAACGGAAAAGAAAAATAAAACCATAAACGGGGCCATCTAGGGGTTTGTGTATGTCGTAAATTTCTTCTACTTGGACACCTTTTACGCCGAAATCTTCCAAAAGAAGGGAGAAAAGACCCGGGTCGCTTTCTAGCTCTAACCAACCTTCGGTTAATTCCTTTATGTCCACCGGCATTGTATTTAACTCAAGTTGCCCCAACGATATTGCATTTAGCAAATTAGTTTAGATTTCACCATACAATTTTTTTATTTATATATAAATTATGAAATTGTTGTGGCAATCTGTCAAAAAATATGACATAACTAACGTCAAACATGATAAATTCAAAATCCCTGCTGCATCCTATTTTATGATTTGTATTATGTGACGAAGTTATTATGAAGAAATAATAACACCCAAGAGTAATAGAATCTTAAAATTTAAAGATTTTTGTAGTAAATTTATTATTTAAAATATTGTATAGGTAAAAATTGAATTTGACTTAGAACATTTTATTAGTAGGTGTTGGTTATTCTGCGCTCATTAGAGCTTGACAGCAGATTTTTGAGTTTTGACACTTGACACTTTCAATTGTAAACAAAAAGTGGATATATTAAAAAATTGGATTCAAATTAAATTAATACATACTTGAGGCAGTAAAATGTCCCACATGGACAGTTCTTTGAGTGACGAGGAGTTGGAAGAGGCTCAGACGGAAGTGAAACGAATAAGATACGATTCAAAAATTTACAATGTGAGTCGAAGGTTTGAGAAGCAGCAAAGACCTCGTCGAACACGGCTTGCAAGTCGAGACAGTCACTCTTTTCACGCGAAAGGTATGTAGAGTAAGTTATAGTATATGAATAATAATTGGTATTTTTAGAGAGTAATTTACAAGGGCTCATTTTTGATAATGGGGCTCATACAATCAAAATCAACTATTCATTTGAGGAGGAGCCAAAGTATAAAATGCTTTTGTTCTAAATTGTAATATCTTATTGTGGGTTATTTTAGAATTATTCCAAACTCTATCATGAAAGCGAAATCAGAGAGAAAACGGCTATTTATTGGCAGTCAGATAGACGAATGTAGAGATTGTTCTGGTTTATTTTATTTAATACCAAGTGAACGAGGGTATATAACAAAGTGGGATGTACAAAAACCCATTTGGGACTTTGTACTTAGTAAAAATGTTTGTCCTGTAAATAATTATCCTGTAATAATGACCCAACCCCTGTTTAATTTCAAATCAATTCAAGATTGTATTGATGAGATATTTTTTGAAGAGTATGAAGTTTCGTCTATGTTTAGATTAAATCCTACTGACCTTGCAGTATTACAGTATCATAAAGAAATTGGTAAGTGATAATTTAAGTTACTTATAAAACTAAATAGATAAAAATTTTCAGGAGCAAAATCTCCATGTATTATAGTTGATTCTGGGTACAGTTTTACCCATGTAATTCCGTATTTAGAAGGTAAAAAATTTCTCAAAGGTGTGAGACGAATTAACGTTGGCGGAAAAGTAAGTTTTATGACTGCACTTTGTAAATATAAAAAAAAAAAATAATTTTGTTTCAACAGCTGTTAACTAATCATTTGAAGGATATTATATCATACCGTCAGTATCACGTAATGGAAGAAACTTTTGTAATCAATCAAGTAAAAGAAGACACTTGCTATGTATCTCAAGACTTCAAAAGTGATTTAAAAGCTGCTGAACTTCCTCCAAGCAAAAATCATATAATACGCAATTATGTGCTGCCTGACTTTAATAATATTAGAAGGGGTTATATTCAAGAACCAGACAAGAAAGACGAAATTGCAGAGAATTGCCAAATTCTTCGTCTAAATAATGAACGATTTACTGTTCCTGAAATTTTATTTCATCCTTCCGATATTGGTATCAAAAGTATAGGAATTGCAGAAGCAGTTTGTAAATCGATTTTTTCATGCCCTTTGAATTATCAGAAAGATTTAGCCAAAAATATTGTTTGTATTGGTGGTAGCACAAAATTTGAGGGGTTCAGAGATAGGTTATTTAATGAAGTCAGGAGTATGATCCCTGCGTCGTGGGAAGTTAACGTTTATCAACCTCCTAAGTATGTGTTTAAGCGTTATGAAAAAAATTGAGTAGTTTTTTTAGTCCTATTACTTACAATTGGATGGGCGGTAAAGTTCTTTTAAAGGATCCTGAATTTAAATCTAAGTTAGTGACGAAACAGCAATACGAGGAATTCGGGATGAGCGCCATCCAAGAAAAATTTAATCAGTGGTAATTAAAAAATACTAGTTTTTGTGAGTAAAATTACACAAAAATTTGTTTAAGGTCCACTATTGATATTGAAGAGACCGTCCAATCAAAGCCAAAAATAGAACCTGTTAGTTACATTGATCACATAAAAAAATACGATGTGTTTGGTAAAGGCATTGTGTCCGAAGAGTCAAACGAAAATAACGAGAATAAAAACGAGAATCCTGATGAATCCCGAAAATGTGAAGAAGAAATTGATGTTTCAAGTAGAAATGATGGAGAGGAAAAACTAAATTTGACGGATGACGATAAGTGCAAAGTTGTAAAAATGATTAAAAAAAGCACTCGAAGTGGCTCTTCACCTATGATATATTCTCTTAAGATTGTCTCTTCTGTTTCCAAAGGTAATTGAAATAGACGATTTGATTTTTTTATTTATGTGATAAATATTATTCCTTCTTTTTCGGTTTCTTGCCTTTCTTCTTCTTTTTCTTCTTCTTCTTCTTCTTTTCTTCAGGTAGTACCGTATCAGGGTACAGTTTCATGTAAGCCGCTTTCATGGCATTTGAATCGATTTTTTTATTCTTGACTTGAAACCTTGCCATTAGTTCATTGAGTAAATCTTTATCAATCTTTTTGATTTTCTTCTTTTTCAACAATTCTTGGAAATCTTGTGGTGTCACATTTTTATCAGGCAGCGACAATACGAAATGTCTAGAATTTTAAACCTTACAATGAGAATATTTTAGAAGAAAATTACCCGAAATCTTTCTTCTTCTTTTTTTTCTTTGGCTTCATTGCTAAATAGCGACATCGTTGAAAGAGAAGCTTGTTTATATCAGGACCGTAAATTTCATAATTGCTTAACACATGCCCATGAGTGATTTGTCTGCCTTCTCTTAGAAATTTTCGCTTCAACTTAATAAAAATTATAATAAAATTTTACTTGCATGGTGGGAGAGACAAACCGGCAAAAAATCTTTATTTACGCACATGTCTTCCATGTCTAAAAATGTAAAATTATTGTTTTTCACTCTTGAAAAAAGAGATGCAAGAAAGTAAGCTTCGTCAGGAGTGTAAATATTATGTCCTAACTTAATTCCATTTAATGATTTGTTTCGTATTAGAGCTGCTCTCAATAAGAGTAGACTGCGCTGTGTTATTCTAAAATATTTCATTAATAATTGGTTTAAAAGAAATAACGTCTCCAATAAACCTGTTCCAACTCAAATCTATAAACTGTAACACTTGCGTCTTCCTCAAGTATTTTGTTATGGGCCGCATTGCAGGACCTGTGCCAATTCCATTCCAAGATAGATTTAACCACCTAATCAATTCATTTTTAGCCAAACCGTTGCATAATTTTTTATTCCCTTAAAAACTATGTAGTTTGAACAAATTACAATATAAACATACCAGGACCGGTATAAAATCCATTCCAGGAAAGATCTAACTCTTCCAGGTATTTATTTTCTAACAAAATTGCCTCCAAAGTCATACCCGAATCTTCAGTTAAATTATTGTGACTGATATTTAACTTTTTGATTGATGTATTTTCAATTAAACTCGGTTGAAGTATTTTCAAACCTTTATCGCCCAAACTGTTATAACTTAAATCCAGTTCTTGCAAGAATTGCGTTGATGATATGCCTTCACATAATTTTTCAGCTCCTGCAGTACTTATTATTTTTACGAAGTAACTTGAAAAAGAAACTGGAATAAAATTATACCCTCTTCGCCAATTCGACACTCTTTCAAATTTAAAAACCGAATCGAGTTACTTTCACGCAGAACCTCACCAATGAGAGCTGTTGCCTCTGGTGACATCCAATTATCTTCGAAAATTAAATATTTTATGTTACTGTTAACCTTTAACGCGTCGGCTATGCCTCTCATTTGTTTTAATGTTAGCCCGTAATACTAGCAAAAATCAAATGTTTTACTGGTTTTTCTCTAAAAAGAATTACCTTTAAATTTAAAGTGTCGGTTTTCAGTGACCTTATCACGCGGGAAATGGGCACAATGGCTAAATCTTTGCACATATTGATATATTTGTCGGCACCGTCAGGATCATGCTCTTCCTCAGGTGCTGGAAAATGTGATAATTCTTGTAAATATACAAAGATGTCATTTTACGTATGTAGTTGAAAGCTTCATCCAACCCTGGATCAGTGAGAGGCGGAAAAAAATGTAAAGTCAATCGGAGATCGCTTTGTGAACATAAGGTCTGTTCGAAACATTTGAAAGAGGGACTGTGCTTGTACAGAAAATAATCGCTCGAAAATTGATGCAATAGAATTAGTTTAGCTTCCATAGAATCTTCGTTTATTTCAGTTTCTTGGGGTTCTGTTGTTGGTACCATAACCGCTTGCTCACTTTGGGTGATTTGGTCACTGTCTTTTATGCTTTCGAGCTGATTGGTCCCTGTGTCAATGCTTACTAAATCTTCTACTTTTACTATATTTTCAGTTTGTAGTTCTTGCTTTTCTTCATTTTGATTTTCTTTGATTTCTTCTGTTGGTTGTTCATTTTGTCCAGCACTGTCTTGGGCTTGTTCATCACCTTCCATGTGAACTTTTTTAGCATTTTTTTCCGCAGACATTTTTATTTGGGAAAATTTAAAAAAACTGACAAAAAATTAGAATATTTTTATTACATAATATTGAAATGACAAATACAACTAGTGACTGTCCATGAACTGTAACTCTGACAGAAGAAGTATGTTGTTAGGCAATGGTTTCGGTTGAGGTGACAAAAGTGTGACTGTTTGTCGATCCGTGTCCACGTTGGTTCTAAAAAAAACCGATAGCTTAAATTTATGAATTTTTTATTCAATTATCCAATTAGTGAGAGCCGTGCTGCAATTTACATTACTAAAACTACTTACACACAAACAAATCCGGCCACATGTGACGAAATTATATCTTCATCTTCTCCATCTGAAAAACTAACTGCAAGCAGATGGTGCAAAATCCCCGGGTTTGGCGTAACTGGCACTAACTTTGTTAGATGATCTTCTGCCTTCATCCCCAAAGGCAGACACGAATCTGGCAAAGCGGGTGCCCCAATTTTATAAATTTTAATTTCACTCCACTTGACGTCAAACGAGTGTGGATACATTGAATTTTTGGGAGTTCCATAGAAATATTCCCGAATTCGTTGATCTCTCGCTTCTGATCTAACACTTTTTGATCTTTCGACGACCTAGTTTAAATTTTATATTACATATTATTGTTCTATTTGAGAATATTACTTACACCACCACTTTTTTGTAAAAATATAACTTTAACAAAATTTGGCATATCACGCACCAACTCATTGTAAAGTCTTTCCTGGTCTAGTATTAAAATTACATCAACTTCAAAAGCTTTTGCTGAGTGTAGAATTTGTTTATATCCAGTGCCCTTAATCCAGCCACAAGTATTGATAATTACACCAGACGCCCTCGCTGTAAATAAATTTTGTCATGATTTTCTTTTTTTTTCCTTTATTTAATACAAACTTTTTTTGTTGACTTCCAGTCTGTCTTTCACTGTGTTTGCAAGTTGTGTCACTAACATGGAATATAATGCGATATTCGGTTGTGGTGATTTATGCCCAGTGTGGTACACAAGTGGGGCTTCTTGCGAAAACCCTTCATCAATAGATGCAGGTCTTTCAATAAGTAAGGCACCAATGGTTCCTGGAATTGAAATCTGCCCTTGTCCGACATCGAGATCGACAAAAATCGGTCGCCGTCCCATCCTCACGGCGTAATTAAGCAAAATGCGACACACAGTGGATTTACCAACGTCATTTGGCCCCACAAGCATCACAGTGGGGCCCTTTTTATTCTCTTTCTCTGCTTCAATTCGCATGAATTCCAAAGCCGCGTGACAGTTCGAATAAGTTACCATTGGGGTCTCTTTGGCCACGTAACTCACATCGGTTTTTCCTTTGAGTTCAATAGTACAGCCATGCCAGGTATACACAGCAACTTTAGCCCCAGATGTAAATTCGTATGTTTTACCTTTTACTAATTCAGTGCCGAATACTTCAGCTTTTCCGCTTTTTAACGTGAGGTAGACTTTTTCATTTTTGGATTCAACTTCGAAGCGGAGTTCGTTGTCTTGGTCCAGTTTAAAGTCTTGAATTAAACTTTTCTTGTCTTCGTTTAGTGCCATTATTAAAATGCAACATTAACACAGGCTTTAATTAGCCAAACTGCGTCCACTTGAAGATATATTTCATAATCGCAATCAAGTAAAAATTTCAGGTTAGCTTCTTTAGTTCATTTGTTCACCAACTGTCAAGTCACTGATCAAGTGTAGTTCGCTTACACAATTTTAAGTAGACCAAAAGCTTGTAAATTTAGAGTATAACTGGTTGCCTACCGTAACGTACCTTTGAGAATTATTTTTTGTCGACAATTAATTTCGGTTAACTCTGTTAATAGGATTAATAAATATTAATTTTTAGAAATGTCTACTATAACAAGAATAACATTCTTAATGAAATAAACCTCGTCAATAAATTAAATGGAATGTTTTGTTATCCGCCAATTTCATTTTATTTGAGTTGATTAAATATTTGAATCGATATTGTCGATATTTCTACCAACTTGAACACACTCAGTCTTTTTATTTGTACCAAAGTTGTTTTGTTCGTGACATGGATATATTTGATGTAATAAGTCCTTTATACATTTGTAGTAGTTTATTAGGACTCAGTCCCTACCGATTTAACCATGAGAAAAATAATCGTCAATACGTTACGTCCCGTTGTGGTTGTTATTATTCATTTTTTATATTACTTTTGTTTCTTAGTTAGTACATATTTTTGTATGATTTTGTGTTTTTGTAATTTTATAGATTTTTAGTTTGTCATCACACCTTGACTATAAAACAGACCTCGTTTGTCGAAGTTACAAAAGGCAATATGATTACAGGAATAGCAGATACAGTTTACAGTTACGGAATATTACTTGTTGTTTTACTCATATACAGTTGCAATTTCTGCAAAAGACACTGTATAATAGAAGTCTTGAATACATTACATTCAGTGGATCAAAATTTGGAAAAATTGGGATGCAATTTAAGTCACAGCTTTTACAAAAAAGTTATTTCATGTATTGATACAAAAATTTACAGTTTCACAAAAATAATAGTTTTATTTTTAGACACTTTACCTTTGATATCTGTCATTTTAATGCTTGTGGAGCACTGTAATTGCAATTTATACATCAGCCCCATTCTAAAATCATATTCGATATTTTGTAACAGCATTTGTGTTGTAGGAATAATTCTAATAATGGTGGAAGAACTTCAGTTTTTGATGTATCTGATTTTATTAAAACATCGTTTTCGTATGATAAATACACTTTTGGCAACCAAATGCAAGGAAATCAACTCGCACAAAATCCATACCGTGTTGACGATGAATTGCGATAAGGGGATGATTGTGAAGCTTAGATCCTTACATCTCCAACTCTGTTCCGCCGGAAAATTATTAAATGAATATTTTAGCATACAAATCCTGTTTTTGGTCGCATTGTCTTTTGTTGGCTTCACGACAAACGCTTATTATTCCCTCGATGTAATTGCCGATAACTTTGCCAATAACCAGGCCGGTGTTGACGTTATTCCGGCAACGCTTTTATGGACTGTTTGCAGATTCATCGAATTAGTTCTGATATCAGTAATTTGCACCATAACTAAAAATGAAGTTACAGGCTTACATAAATATTCAATTCTTACTAATGCTTATAAATATTTATAGGTGAGGGCAAGTGGTGAATTGTTGTACCAAGTCAAAGACAGGTTTCAAAGTGATATTGCAGTGCAGGTAGGAACTTAACAAAATTAGATTAAAGCAATACGAAATTACGAGTTTTAGTTGTATCTTTTTGGAAAACAAATCATACATTGTGACTTCAAATTTACAGCATTTGATTTTTTCGACGTCGATATGACGATGTTTTATGGAGTAAGTAAATTTCCCTTCGATAATTTTTTTCTGATAGTGGATTTTTTCCTCTTTGATTATTTTCTAACAAAGCAAAGTTTAATCTATGATTTACTTAGATTAAATTATACAAAAAGAATGTTGGCATTGTTAACATTTTTGAATTTATAAGGCTCAAAACGAGGATGGATGTTGATATGAATTAAGTCAATTGTTTTATTTTAGGTGATAGGTTCAGCAGCAACATACTTAACAACACTCATCCAATTTGAAATTGCTGTAAAAGACCATAATAAACAAGCTAATATGACTATAGTGCCTTAAAATCGGTTATAGTTAATTGTAAGTGAACGATAATTTTTTGCTACTAGTGCTTTGTAACAAATTGTGGGCTACTTCATTGTTTTTTTTTTCTACTGTGTAAGAATCTATTCACCGAATAAAGAACAAAATGCAAATTAGTCCTGATCAATAATGAAAAGAGTCGAGGTCAAATGTGTTACGTTGATTAAGGTCAAGTCCTATTATTTCCCTCTTAAAGATAATTTTTCATTTCAAACCAACTCGAGAGTACGTTACCCTTCCAGTTTTCCTCTTGACGTCAATTATATTATTTGTTAATTTCCATCTTTTATCACATCACAAATACTTTTATCTGTCTGTTTAACGATGAGCAGTATTTTATTTGTCTAGTAGATAAAAACCATGCATGCAGGCAACGTGTCTGAGTTTCAAATGCAACTAGGTGTATCAATAAAACCAAAAGTAGACGAAAATGAAGTGAAAAATATTTTAAGCAATGTTTACGGCTTGAAGTGTGTTTCAATAAAACAACTCAATGGATACGATGATTTTAACTTCCATGTTAAAGTTAGTGATGAGTGCGATAATAAAAATATAAAGAAAATAAACAAAAATGGTTATGTTTTGAAAGTTATAAATTCTTTGGATTCGCAAAGACCGCAGTTTTTTGAAGCACAAAATGAACTTCTTCTTTTCTTAGGTACGTGTTTTTGCGATGAGAAAATTTTATATTTTTTGGGTTTGTGTAGAAAAAACTGCTATTTGTTGCCCGCAACCTGTTCGGAATAAAAATGGAGACTTTTTCATCATTAGGGAATTTTCAAGTGGTAAACATATAGTTCGCTTGCTTGAATTCATCACCGGCTCAATTTTACATCAAGTGCCTTTTTCTATGAACCTGTTTTATAGAACTGGAAAATTTGCTGCACAATTGGACCAAGCACTGAAGGTATGTTTCCATTTTTTACAATTTACAATTTACAAATATAAAATTATCACATTGTTTTAGAAATTTCATCATCCGGCGTATGATTGCATTAAATCTGTGTGGCATTTAGAGTCAGCTCCGCAGTTATCGCAGTTTCTGTATGTCATAACTGATGAGACTAAGAAAAAAATTATTTGTGAAGTTATCGAAGAATTTTCGAAAAGGGTTTTAGCGGCTAATTCCCACATAGAGAGAGGGATAATTCATGGGGATTTTAATGAGCAAAATATTTTGGTAGACGAGAAAAACAACGAATTGTTTGTAAAAGGAGTTTTAGATTTTGGTGATAGTCAATTTGGTTGTTTTATTTATGAATTGGCAATTGCTATGGCTTATATGATGATCCAAGGAAAGAGCATCGAAGCTGGTGGTTATGTTTTAGCAGGGTATAACTCGGTTAGAAAAATTTCTGATGATGAATACAACTTATTGAAAGTTTGTAGAATAGATTTTTTTTGTGAGATAATATAATTCTTTTGTTGTAGACCTGTATAGCAGCCCGAATGAGTCAATCTCTAGTTCTTGGAGCATATACAAGCATTCACAATCCTGAGAATGCTTATATTTTAACAACTGCAAAAGCAGGCTGGACCTTACTTGTCGATTTTTGGACTAAACCTGAAAGTGAGTTATTAGAAATCTGGAAGAAAATTGTTGACGAGACTGCTGATTGGTCTTAGTAATGAAACATATTGTATGTAGGTGTAAATAAATAAAACGAAACAAGATAAAGAAAAAACTTTATTCATCATTTTCGAACAAACAATGTTTTTAAATTTTAGTTTAAAAACAACGCGTTTTTAAGTAGATTCCTTGGGAAAATTTAAAATGGAATGATTACTTACGTAAGGAATAAAAATGAATAACTATAACCTAAGAGATAATACCATAATAATAGTAACAATAAAAATTGCTATAAATTTCTCCACTGAATCCTATTTTATTATAGTGGTAGTTAATATTTGAAATATAACTCTTGAACATTAGCTAAACGTAAGCAGTGGCGTATCGAAAGGGGTAGCAAACTGGATTTAATCCTAGATATGCCACTGAAAACGAGCGTTTTTGCTAATAATTTTTCGATCACCGTCATCACTGACAATCGTTATTTTAATTTACAATACTACAAGTGTTGTGATAATACAATCAATAACATTGTTTAACATAAGCTGTATATACTCTTAGGCAATCGTTAACAATATTTGACTATCGATAATTAAATAATTCGTTTATCTTTTTACAATTTACATGGCATCATTCCTTTGTTCATTTTTTACAAATTCATCATCTCCAAACACAGTTAAACTTAAACAGATAATGGCAATAAGTTATGAAATATTATTTACAAAACTATCCACGTGTAAAACAATATGTACAACTTGTTTAATTATTATACAAATTGACTAAAGTCCATCTACTGTGAAAATACTGACAAATAATGACATTAAGTGAACACCTAAACGAAAAAATTGGTGGTAACTCTGAATAAAAGAACGCAAAACTTAACTACCTAGCTCTAATTCTCCTAGCAAAATAGTTGACCCATTTATCCATTTTGGACGTTATATTTTCTAGTTTCATTCGACTTTATTGTATGTCTTTATGCCGTGTCTTTAGAAAATAAATTTCGCATCGCTTTGTTGCCAATAATATAAAAATACATGTATTATTACAGAATAATAAAAGCAGGTACGTGTTGAGGTTTAAGTATGCAATAACCCAAAAATTTCTGGTCGGTTACACTAAAAACAAAATATTATACTTAACTACCTGAAATTGTTACACTAATGTTTATTTCTCTTTTACGGCGGACCTAATATTTAATACCAGTAATAATGGAATGTCATGGGATTTATATAGTAACCAAACAAAAAGTGTAACAAAAAACATCAGTCTTGAATGTGTCGTTCTCATTAGGGATTTTTTACCCTCTCAGAAAAACATTTATCAAAGGGCAAAACTTCGCCAGTGAATACGACGAGTACATTAATATACATCAGATCAGCACAAACTGAGACGATTCGAACGTATTTTCTATCTTCTACTATTGCTAAGTGCAGCTTTTGTCCAAAAAATTTTTAATAGATGATATACTTAGGTCACTTTTTGAACACACTTCACACATCGCTTTGCTCACACAATATAACAACTCCACCGTCTTCAAAATATTAATTAAAGCCTTTTCGGAGACACTTCAAACTCTAACCGGCCTTGCATGTCTTGCAACATTGTTGTTGATACCTTGTTATTTTACACATATTCATCGTTTTCACGTTTGAACAGAACATAGAATGGTCTTTACATGGCGATTCTAGAATTAAAACATTTTTGATGTGAATAGAAATTTAAAATGATTATTTACCTGATTTCGAGCACGGAGGTCCTTTACAAGTCTTCATAACTGGAGGACGGGGAAGGTCTTTACAGGCCGTTCCTGCAGGTTTTTTCGTGCCATACCAAACACATTGCAGGATTCTGTATTTGAATCCTGGCATTTCGCAATCAGCAGAGCACTAAAAATAATAATAATTAAATTTACAATGCAATAATAATAATTATAATGAAAAAATTAAAAACTAATCGATTGGTTACAATTTTTTGTATTTTTCATAATTTTTCTTCACTATAAACTACTCACTTCTGACCAAGCTCCGAGTTTCCACTTCCCCACACACCTCTCATTTGAGCATTCCTGCCTATGTGTTGGCTTGTTCCCTTCGTTGCACTTGGACTCCGCCACCGTAATATTCCCTTCAATCTGGCACTTGATCAGTCTTCTCTGCATTGCTGCATTCAAACAAATCACTTAGTTATTCTCTCCTTTTTCATACTCACCTGTGTGCCAATCAAAACACTTGGATTTGTCGCACGGCGTCCATTCAGAAGTCACCCATCTGGGACACTTGTCCAATCCGCATTTTCGTTCCGTCGCTGGAATTGCCAAGCCAGCGTCCTCACATAAGTTATGGTCAACGCCGTGTGTCATATTGTGTAGTCGAACAATGCAACGAATTACCCTCATCTGAAAGCCATTTCCGCCGCAGGTTTGCGAGCATTTCGACCAATCGGAAATGACCCATTCGAATTTTAAGTTATCCGGAGTTCCTTTGCCCAAAACTACAACCGAGCCGAATTCGTCTTCGGTCGATGGCGACGTAAATGAATTCTCTTGGAAGGATTCTTCCGGGAAGGCTACCATGCGATGACCCCGAGAGTTGCTGAATGTCTGGAAGGGCCACAATTGCTGGAATTTTTAGAAAAGTCGATTAAAAAATTTTCAAAGAAGTTATAACTGTTTTGTTTCGATGGAATTTCCAAATTATTGAGCTAAGTTTGAGGGGATTCCACAGAGACAAACAGCGAAATATTACTACTAAATAAATATAATTTTGTATAAAAAAATATCACATGCAAAATTCGCTACGAAATGCATTCTTGTAGCAGAGCAAATTAATTATTAGCTCTCTTAAAAGAACGAATTTATTTGTGTATATTTGTTTACCTATAGGTAGCAGTGCAGACATTGTGTGTGCATTTGAGAGTGAAGATTTTAGAATTAGAAAAAGGTAATACAAGTGTGTTCATGCAACAAGCATTAACAACGAATTGGGAAAGACAAATTTGTGAGTATTTTATTTGGACTTTCTACAATGGAAAGCTTATTTTTTCTGCAAAAAAACACAAATACATACATTGAAACAATCAACTAGTTTCTTTAATACACGCGAGGTGGAACTGTTTTCATTTCATTTGTTATTTGTATTCGATTCTACAAACACTTTACTACGAAATTCTAAACAAGTTGAAAAAACTTGTTTTCCCATTTCGCCATAGAACGAAAACATTTAAGGTGTGTCATATTGCGTTTTGTTTGGTGTTTTTAACAGACTCGGCTTTATACATAAATTTGATCGAAATATTTTTATAAAATGGTTATAAATAAAATTTTATATAATGTACGAGGTTGCGATTAGTGTACCAACTTTTACGTGTTGTTATACATTGAAATGTTAAAATATTTATAATTTGATCAACGAAAAAGTGTATTTTATTCTCACTAATTAAATTTATCCCGGCGCATCCACCAAATTGTGCATGGTTGCGAAATTTCAAAAGTTCCTTATTTCATTTAATTAAATCTTATTAATTGTTTTCGTTATTTTGCATGCTTATTTGACATAAAGAAAGCTTTTTTTGCAAGGTGTTACATAATTTTAAGGATAGCGCCTGTGAAATGCGATCAGCAATGCATAATTTGGCACAAACTCTATTAAAAATATTAAAAAATTGCATAGTCTTCTGTAGTGTACATCCTTTATTAATGACAATAATTAATGTTCATTCTTTGTTAGTTTAGTTAATTTTAGTTAAAAATATTTTTTGTGCCTAGTCTTTTGTGATTTTATTTTGGAGTGTGTATATTAGGCGAAGATCTTGTAAAATTTTATTGTGCAATTGAAAGTTGGGTAGTTTTTGCGTAAAAGAGCACTTTTTGTCAAAGCTCAAAACCGCTTTTTAATCCCCATTAATTAAAACTTTGCCGTCGCTTCCCTCAAACCGTCTGTCCAACCCCTTAAAGCCGATTCTGTCTATTTTTACATCAAAGTTTTCCGCCTAATCCCACCGATAAAACAATTTGTTTTCACCACACTTTACAAATCAACCCTCACCTGCAAATTAGATAAGAGTTTTTGAAAATGCGGCATGATTCGTCCCGCCGAACTAGCCGAATTCTCATAAAAAGGTTTCAGCGATTCGGAAGAGCTTGCCGGCGAAAGAGTCGGCAGCACTTCATCCTTTACGCAGCAGGAAATAATACACCGTAAAGCAGCAAGAAACACCCTATCAAACATAACTTACATGCACACTATCCGGGTGGAGCGTCGTGCTTTGCGGCAAGTAAGCGTTCAAATTATTCGAATTGAGAGAGGGCAGAGTGGGTGATAATATCCGTGTTCTGGGTGTCGGTTTTTTTCTAACAATGTCGGGCCTTTGTTCGTGCGAGTGATCGTCGCTGCTGAAAATCGGACTCGCATCTTCTCTGTTGACGTAAACGTCGGATATTAGTTCACTGCGGTCGGGTTTGCTGCTCTGCTTTTGAATTTCTTCAGATGTGAGGAATTCTCCGGGTTTTGGACGAACAGAAATCTGGATACTGGCTGACGACCGGCCTGCGACACAAGTGTAACGGCCGCTGTCGCGTAGCGTCAAATTTTGTACTCTCAAAGCCCCTTTCTTGGACGTCTTGTATTTTTTGGACTTGGGCAGGAAATTCTTGTCTTTGACCCACTGGATTTTCGTTCGGTTAAATCTCTTGACCGGGCATTTGATCTTAACTGTGGTTCCAATAAATACCGTAGCTGATCCCCCAACTTTTAAAGCAATTTTCTTCTTTTTGAAATCGTGTTGAATGAACGAACTGTTTGATACGTCAATGTGAGGTTTATCGCTTTCTATGATGCAACTTTTTGTGTTACAAGGTTTTCGGTCTGGGGGTTTGGGACTTGGGCAAAGCTCGGGTGATCTATCTACTGTGTGATTTTGAGCCATCACTTGCTTACACTCAACTTTCCTGATTTTTTCACCACCACCACAAGGTTTACTACATCTTGACCATTCTGACACTTTCCACCTCACTGGACAATCCAAAACGTTACAATATTGTCGATCTGGTGGAGGTGGTTGTGGACACATATTATTTGGAACTATGACAGTATTGCCCCCGCCTTGGGTCACCTCGTGTATACAGTTAACCTCCCTGGTTTGAATTCCAATACCACAACTTTGCGAACATGTCGAAAAATCGGAATAGTTCCATCGAGGGGGACAAGGATGGTCGTTACAAGTCCTCATCAGTATTTCAGGTTTGAGTTCAATGGGGCACAAGTATGGCGAAGTGACCTTCTGTGTGTCGTCGCGAACACAGTTGACTATAAGTTCTTGCACGCCTCCGAGACAAGTGGCGCTGCAGTGAGTGTAACCTTGCTCTTTCCACGAGTAGGATTTTCCAGGAAAGCCCCCGGCGACTTTAATATCCGATCGATAGGGGTCATCTTTAATATCGACCCCGATGCGTTCAGCTGAACATGGTTCCATAAAGCATTTTTCTGTCTCTATTGGTTTAGGACCAGTACATTGTTTGTCTGGAAGTTTGGCGATAGTTCTTGAAAATTCGAGGAAAATCTTGCAGTGGACTTGACGTTTGCGGACACCTTCGCCACAAGTTACGCTGCAAGGGCCCCACTCGTCGGGGACAAATCTGCAAGTAATAAATATTTAGAAGAGTTAATTTTTTGTAAGTGAGGAGGCACGAAATGTGCATGCTAAAACAAAATGAGGTACATACCAATACTGTACTTCAGGACACATTTTTCTGCGAATTTGAAGAATAATTTGAATTTTCTCCATTTTATGGTAACATTCTAAATCCAATATTTAATGGTAAGGGCATTAACCATTGAATATTTATCATCGTTGAGTGCATGATAAATTATGTGGTTTTCTATATTTAATTCAACGAATAATTGCAAAGCAAACATGTTGTCACCTTGTGATTGGATTTTCCTGGATGCATGAGTTTATTTTGGGTTGTAAACTGAAGGTTCTAAAATGTTTGCATTTTGTGAATTGTAAATGACTTTTTTGTGAATTCGAGTAAGTGACGTTAAATAATCGATAAATTTTGAATATTTAATGAAAAGTGTTTTGTTAGATATAAATAGTTAGTTGTTAAATTTTAAAATGCAAACAAGCAATATTAATTGTGTAAAATTAAAAAATAAAGTAAATATGAATAAATTCAGGCTAGATTATAAAAAACGCCCTAAGCCATAACTCCATTATTTTTAAAGATATGACAACACTTATTTCTTGGAACAAAGTTATACAGCTTATATTGTTCGAGCGTCCAAAAAATTGTCTACAACAAAGTATTCAAGTATCTGTGAAAATAATGAAGTTATGGCTAGGGGCGTTTTATTATAATTCAGCCTCTATATGAATAATTTCGTTTTTTTCTTTAATATGTATTAATTTGTTGATACGTTACAAATATAAACGCCTTTTTAATAAATCATGATATAAACTGCTGCATCAGTATTTTATATTTGCCATATTTATTTTAGCTGAAAGTAAATTTAATTTTTCCATATCTGCTCCATTAGGAGCAAATCTGGCTTTTTGCGAGATAATTGTGATTTTTTATCGAGAGATCTCAAACAAATAAAACTAACGAGGATCGCTTTCAATTCCATCCTTCGCAATTATCCACCTTAATTCAATTCATAAACTTGAGTAAGATTTTTAGATTAAGACTGAAAGCGATTTCAGTTTTGTTCAGGTGTGTCATTATGTTCGACTTCTATATTCCCTCGTTTCCCTCGAGTTTAATTCGTGACTTGACATGCAAAAATTAGCGATGTGAACGATCTGAATAATTGCCCGAGTGAAGGTTGTAAGAAGAAAACAAACAGACAGAACGTGTGGAGATGGTAATGAAGTGTGAGCGCAATGAAAACAGCATTTTTACGAAGCATTTAAATCATGGATAAAATGAGATTGTGCTCGACAACAGCTGGTGCTTTATTAAGAAGCTTATCACCTATTTATACTCGTGTCGGTTTCGGCGTTTTAGCGGCCGTTTTCGTCGCGAAATGTACGAATTATTCTACGGTCTTAGGTTAAACATCGACGGAAAATGGACGATAAAACGCCGATTAGTCGGAAAGGGTGCATTTATAGTTTGAGAAAGAGAGTAAGAGAAATAAAGGATTAAGACTAGTTGTGTTTGCAGTACCTCACATATACCCAACCGCAGGCAAAGAACACTCTGAAATCGCTGAAAACACAAGGCACACAATATCGACATGTAGTTGGGTAGTGAAACGCACAGGTGGAATTTAAATTAGTCTAAATGAGTGAAATATTAGTGAGTGATGGAAGCTCTATTGAACTATCGAATGACACGTACAATTCAGATAACCTTTCAAAATTGATCTCTACAACTACGATTGAATTTGGGGTTGAATATTGGGTTACCTGCATTGTATGAGCATCAACAGATAGTGCTACGCACACATTCCAATAATGTTTAAGCTTCAGATAGTGGAGGTATATACGGGATTAATGTTATCCGAATTATAGTTTAATTACAATGGAATTATTTTTAGGGCCACAAAAAAACAAACTCATATTTCTCAGCGTGTAACTATGAACAAACAAAAGTCCACGCGTTTGATATAAGTCTTTGCTGCTGTAGCTGTTGAAAATATAGTTTGTGAAATACAACTACTACATGAGAAAACAATAAATATTTTTAATAGCAAAGTGTTTTAATGTTTTAATTAATTTAATATTAAAAAGTTATTGTTACCAATTGAGAAAACAGAAGTGCCTTTTAATCACATCGTTCAAGAACGTTCTTTGATTAATAATTTTTTTTATTTTAAAAATAGTTTAAAAGTTAATGTCTTGGCTTCCCATTGCAGTAAATGAAAAAATAAAAACGTGTTGATTTTAATACATTTCTCAGTTTTAAGCACGGTGTAAGATATTTAGGTGATGCAGCGAGCTCGGCAACAATAAATGAAGGAATGGACCGAAAAGTTGCAGTTGTATAAATAATAATAGTTATAATTTTTTTTAATACAAGTTAATATAAAAAATACACGTCATATGCCAACTACCTATACATCTGAATTTAAATTCAAGCTTTGCTTGAACTTATTTTTATTACATGTGTTTCTGGTGCGAAACGTAAAACAAATACGTATTGAATTTTACTTGAAAACAGTTATTATATTAAATTAGAAGGTATATTAAATAATTAAATAAATTAGTACTTAATTAAAAATAATTCTTTTTAAATAAGGTAATTTTATGAAACGGAGTACCGAAGACAAAAATTTTTCATGAACATAAATACTTACATATTTCGTAGGAGCATAATATTCTAAGGGCCACTTGCATAATCAAATTTAAAGAAGCATTAAATTAAATGTTGTTTAGACTATGCTAATTACTACCGACTCCTTGAGCAAAATTTCACATTCTAAATCAACATTAACTTTAAAGTCTCTTTAATTCAATCATGAGACTGGCCCTGAGTAAAATTTAATTCTAAATTTAAAATTATCAGTAATTGTAAAACTGCCGTAACACACCATCAATTTATCAAAAATTTGTTATTAATTAATTCAGTTTTTGGACTGTAGTTATTTTTGTATCCAGAGAAAAATTTAACCAGAGAGATCAAATATATAAAAGTTCATTTCACACCTTGCGTCAATTACTAGGTACTTTTTAAGTAACGTTACTTTGAACTGAACTTTATTTTATAATTATTGAAATCACATTAATTATCACCATTCGGAATTGAATGTAAAGACCACATACTAGAAGGTAAGTAATTTGATTATTATTGTATGATTGTGAATAAATACGTTTCCTCAGTTTATTAAACAAATATAAATATATTAAAATGGTTTTTAAACATTAAACTTCTTACAATTAATAAAAAAAATACCTTATCATAACAACTCATAATTGCAAGCAAATAGCGTATCTTTCGTCGAACCATTCATAAATATTACTATTTCACACATTTCCAAGACGCATACACAACAATTTAATTTATCATAACTTAAAACCACGGTGTAACATATTTAGGTGATGCTGCGAGTGCATGCACTGCGCAAACTGAAGTGTGGCCGAACTGGTCACCTGAGGTAGTTATTTCAGCAATTTTATATTGTTCTAATACATGTTTCTACATTTTGAAATGGAAAGAAAATGTTGTGAGACCAATTTTAAAAGTGGCTATGCTAAAAATAATGAAAAATTATCTTTATTTTCGATACCTACCACGGAAAATGTTGCCTAATCGTATAATTCCGAAAAGACTGTATTTTCACTGTAAAGGATCATGTGTGTAAAAAACATTTCAAAGCAAAACATATAATTTGCAAAATAAAAACTGGCTGTTATACGGTAAATCTAAAAAATATTAATTAAAATTATAACTACCATAAAACATAATTTTTCTAGATTGAAACAGCTTATCCAAATTTTGTCAAATTTTTTTTTAAACACGGTATACCTTTCAGCAGACTTTACCTCGTCTTATTGCTAACCACGGCGTTTCACAGCTTTGTTATCAAATTTCGCCTTAGTAATGAAGCACCTCCCATCTCGGTATGTAGACTACTATTTGCTCCCAATAGCGAATAAAGTGACGCTTTATTCTTAATACTCATAAAATTTCAATTGAAGTATGAAAATGTGAATAATTTGACAAATTTATCATTACTCACAATAAAGAAAAAGATAAAATTTTAATTAAATGAGTAATGAGTAATTTTCAATAAACTGCATCTTAATTCCCAGACTCATAGCGCATTAAATATCAAACACCACTGCAACGGTAATTAACTTTTATCACGTTATAAAAATGATCCAATATCGGCCACAACTTATTACAACTTTATGTCACTATTAACACATCAAAATTACAACATTTTGCCGTTGTGTAATACAAAATTTTAATACTTATATTTTTTTATTTAAGGCGTGCACTTTTTGTTAAACATCGACTGTGTGAGTCAACACTAATTTGGGAAAGGGGTTTTAACAAAGTCAAGTAGCACTAACATTGAAAGCTTTATGAAGAAAATGGGTCTACAAAACACGTGAACTTACGTGCTTTCAGAGGGCACAACCTGCTCCCCGACAAGTCGTTCTGCATGAGCTGGCGGTGGTGGAGGATAAGGTTGGACCAAAGGTTGAGTATGATAGAGACCGGGCAAAAACTCCTCGCTGGCATCTATGTGATGCGGACATTGAATGCCCGTCGAACAGGACTTGCTGTCAATAGGTTTAAGTTTCTGAGGGCACAATGAACTGGGCTTGTCTGCGGAATCTCGGCATTCAACGACCCTCACTTGCGTGCCTTCCCCGCAAGATACCGAGCACTGAGAAATTATCAAAATTAATAATTATTAAAGACGAACTTCTTCAACAAACGCTATATTGAAGTTTGCTGTTTTTATCACAAAACTTACTCCTGACCACGACGAGGCAATCCAAGCCGGACAAACCATTTGATTGCAGGCTTCCTGAAACCAAGGCTTGTGTCCGGTGCACTTCTGATCATTAACCTGAAATGTTATCCTTGTTAGATTGGACTCCCCGGGAGACCGCAATAAACAGTTTTCAAAGCGATTGTAATTCTAGCACGTAATTCGCAATCGAAGAAAGTTTTTATTCATTTTCATTTGGATAATTTCAGCAAATAACGTTTTTATGGCTCCCGAATGAGCCGTTAAAAGAAATATCGAGAACCAATTAAGTTTGTTTAATGGCTTAAGGATAACGCGGTTTTATTATTCATGTGAATGTTTTATTACTTATTGAAGCGTTTAACTAATCTTAATATAAAAATACATTAAGTCAAAACTTTACTAACCCTAATTTTAGTATTGTTGGCTTCTTCCACGCAATATACTTGCCGAAGTCTTGATCCTCCACCACAACTCACTGAACACGGACCCCATTCACCAGCGTGCCATCTAAAACACACAATTTGAAAATTATTAAATGTAATTTAATGTGTCTGAAATCATGTGTTAACTGTTTTGACAATTTTCTTGAGCATTTTGCTTCAAAATTCTCAAAGCTTTAAAAACAACACTACATTTTTCATTACTATGAAACCTATTTAGTAGGTTCTCTTGTAGATATTGCTTTCTTAAATTTCGTCATTCCTACCTTAGAGCTTATCATCTAAATGTTAAATGTTAAATTGAGTATCTTTCTTTCTTTGACAGTGTAGATAACTGCGTAATCAAGCAGATTTATTACTTAAATTAAAAAACATAAAAGAATACATAAAAGAATGTTGCACGAAAAAATTAAAAAAGGTACATATTTGAATAGCACTAAGTTGTTCAATTGCTGGAATGTTTTTTAGGTGCCGTCCTAATACAGTTCTTTTTATTAAAATCACTCATAGCTAAACTGATTTTTATAATACAGAAACTTGAAATGTTTGTGCAATTAGTTTACTCGTAAGGACTTAAAGTTCATATTTTTGTAATTCATTACCTTCATAAATGTCTTAACAAAAATGTACCGTCGTCTTGCAGTCTGTTTAAGAAAAGTGGGTCAAGAACAAGAATAACTAACTTTTTAAAATAAAGATGTTATCCTGGAGTTTATGTTGCAATGACGTTTTTATCTCCAAACAAATTATTTTCTGGAAATATTAAAACAACACGCCAAACTTCTAATTGTTATAAATCATGGATTTCTCCATTCATTTATAATTCAATGCAGCAAACATTGTTTTAGTACCCCATATTTATGTCTAGAAAGTTTCAAAATTAACGTCTTAAATTAGTCGAGCCACGTTCTTCGGGGTTGTATGGTTAATTTACTGCAAATATTACACAAATATGCAAATTGCCATTGCTTAATACTCGTTTAATGGTCGTTGCATTATTTGATATACTTGCTTTTATTAATAAAAGTAATACTGTTCCGTGGAAGAAAGTTTGCTAGTTGCTCACTAGTTAAGAAAAATTAATTTGAGTTATTGTCGAAGTAATGAGTATCGGGCTGGCACTTTATGCTTACTTGGGAGGGCAGTTATGGATGTTACACTCGACTATCGTCGAATCGGGCTTTTGTGACTCGTTACAGAGTTCTTCTTCAACTTCCTCTCCAGTCACCCGGTTCTGACATAAGGGACGTGACATTTTGTAGCCTGGAATCAAATACAGAACTTGAGATATATTTGCTTACCAGTGAAGAAAATTATATATTTAGTTAGCGTTACATTCGCTGCGAAGCAGGGGTAATTGAACTGAATAAAAATCCTGTCATCAAAATGATTTAGCCACATTTATTTCAATACATTTAAAACATCAACAGGTGTGTTTAGGTATCTGTTACCCATTTATAAAATGCAAACGCGGGTTGAAATTTAAAGCATTTTAGTTAATTTACTTTCTGCACAAACACAAAACAACTGAATCCAAAATAAAGCAAAAGTTATTTCAATGTAAATATTATTCTTTAAAAGATCATATTTGATTCTAACAAATTTTAATTTAGTTTTTGTAAAAATTAAGGAAAAAAAAGTTTCAAAATCGTCGATGCGCCGGGTAATAAGCCGCTTAATTTTTATTTTATTATTTTAATTTTAAAATTTGGATATTATGGAAGTTATAAGACTTGTAATTATGTCCCATTGAATTCTGATAAAAATGGTGGATGCGCCGGGATAATATTTTAAATAATATTTATTGAAATCTAGATCTTTTTGAGTTAGACAGCGTCAATTTATAAGGAAAGATAGACGTTTTGCTCGCTTTTGTAAAGGGCATCTTTAGGACAAAAAGAAAAAGGCTATGGCACGGTAACTGAACGATACCACAAGGCATAACTAAAACTGAAAGCCTACGTTTCTCCAATAATAATTATTACATGAAACAAAAAATACATTTTAAAAATTCTCGTTATTTAATAAATAAATGATAGTTTCTTTAAAAGGTATTAATAAAGTTTAAAAACATAAAATAAATTTACAATTTTTAATAGTGGAACATAATGGAATCAAAATTTGTATTTTTATGATATACTCGTATACGTACTACATAGCAATGCTCTTTGCAATCATATTTTAGTAAGAAGTTTGTCTTGCTTTCTTACTTATTTACTTGGGACCATATTGTCGTATACCTACCTCCGCCGCATGTCACCGAGCACAGTGACATATACGTTAGCGTCCAGTGGTACAAAGGTCTCGAACATGACGATCCATCTCCGCCACAGACTCCACATTCATCCACTTGTCTCGTTGACCCAATCCTCAGATCGCACCCAACTCTCTAGAAAAAAAGTAACGAAAAATCAAACATCTCAGTCTGGCATCCCGAGCACGTCAGCTTTTTTGTGTATTCACTATTTTATTTATTTATGTAAAGCGATTGTTGCAAATTCGCGCCTTATCTATTAGGTTCCATCACAATTTCTTGGCTCTCAGTTCGCACGTGCTTTGCAGAGAAGTCTGTTGAGGAGTTCGGGGGCCTCTCGAGACCTCAAAGCGATGAATAAATAAATGAGAGGCTTGAAGTGTATAGCGCTTCCGTCATTTCAACCGCCTCTTTCCATATTAATACTCTACCATTCTTGACTTTGAATAGTCTACGAACAGCTACTCCTAGACGTTCATAAAGATATAAATTAATTGGAATAACATTCGGAAATGAAAGCCCCAGGCGGTAGAAAAGTTTTACTTTTAATTAAACGAGTTTTGAGCAAAAATTACTATTACTTCTTAATAACTGAATTGCACATTTTGGATATCGGAGAATTTTAAGAGAAATTGTCATAAATAATTATAAAAAGATTAGTAGATTTTATTTCAAAATCCTGTGAATGGATGAAAGCTTATATGATTTTTTGTTTGATCCGGAAATTTTTATCGCGAGATGATGCTTCAGGAAGGAGCAAAACTAGATGTTTAGAGTGTAGAAGGATAAAGGAGTAATCTTTCTCTCAAATGAGTTGTGGAGCAGACGGTTTGATATCTGCTTTCTTTCCTGACAGATTTACGGAATATTTGTGCAGTTACACATTTATCAGAACATTTTTCAAGACGAGGTCGCGTCAATCTCGACGCCAACCACTAGAGAACATAAATCCTGGTAGATGAGGTTCTACCTACCTATCCTATTACGAAAAAACAGCTCAAGATCTCCAAATCTAAATGAAATTAAACGTTGCAAACAAGAGCTGACAAAAACAATCTTCCTTTTTATTAACTTTTTTGACTCAAGTTTTGCTCGACGTAATTTTAATTTATTACAGAGAAATAAATTTTAAACCAGCGCTCTAAATGAAGCTGTGAAAAATTCATTTAATGTAGGTTTACAGGTCAGAGGTAACTGAAGCGAAAAATATGTTTGGGAGAAGTACCAATTTGTTGAGCCGTTATGAGCTTTTCGACACAAACAGCATTGTTAAATAAAAAAGAAAATATCGCCTGTAGAAAATCCAGTGATGCAGTGTGGCCTCCTCTATAAATTAAGGTAGCTGGTTAGCGGAAGTATGGCAGCGCTTCCGCACGTTTGTTTGCCCCTATTGTCTGAAAACTTGTAGCAAAACATTCGTAGTCGCACTAAAATTTGTGTGAAAAAATAAATACATTCAAATGGGCGTTTTCACGCTGTGGAGAAATTACAACATCGACAGCAATTATAGTGCCGATTCAAAGTATCGAAACGAGTTTTAAAGTTTGCAGGAATTTTATAATTAACTTAGTGTTATAAAACAACGTTGTCACAATGTGAAAACAATAATTCATTTATTTTTGAGGTGGAAGAATTCTTTTTCGAAGAAAAATGTGTCCGGGTGTTATAGGGGCAATAATAACGTACTAGCCATAAAAGTTGCTGTAAATCGTTAGATTTCCGCCAAATAGCATTGGTATATTTTCGGTGTCAGAGAACATCGAGAAAATTGTCAATCCGACCTTAATCGCGATTCGATAAAAGTCGCACTACAGTTAAGTGGCTGATACTTTACCATGGTTTTGGGATTTGATACACGCTCTTGTTGAGATTTTCACTAACAACGCTAAATTCTTACAACAAATTGAAACGGTTTCTTTAAAATAAGTCAGAAATTGAATTTTGGAATACTGCTTCAGTTATCAATGTTTAAATTGAAATGTCTTCAAAGCCATACAATAAATTATTGTTATTTGTACATAACTTGTTTGTCTTGTATATTATTAACAGTTATTTTATTCTTTAACGAAAAAGTATTTATACAAAAATTCTCAGCAGTAACATCTGAATAGGGATGTACATACGTAGGTCTAGCTTTCACATTTGGATTTTTTATTCAATGAATTTCCTTTTTCAATCTCAAGGGTCCTATTCTCAGTAAACTCTCTGAAAAGCCATAGCATTATGGAAGCTTAATAACTGGTGGACCTAAAATTAATCTTTGTTATGAAAGGCTTTATACTTCTTGGAAATACATTACATACACATAAATGTGTAGGTAAGCCCCTACGAATAAAATAATTATCCAATTATTTCTTAAAAACGTTTTTATTATTATATTATGTTTTCATAGCTGTTAAATTTTTTCATTTTTCTTTTAAAAAACATATTATTTCCAATTAAAAATATCTGATATTGCATATTAGTGCTTAATTAACATTAATTACAATTGCCATTGTTAAAGTTGACCATAATAATCTTAATAAAAATTCATATATTGTAAATATATGATTAAGAAATTTTGAATCAATTTTAAAAGCTATGGTAAATCTTAGTAGCAAAATAATAATTTCACTGAAGATGTTTTTATTTTTGAAACATTTGGAAGCTCCCTATTATTCCTTTCTTCGCCCCCTAGTTATTTTATTGTAGAATGTAAATCAATTTCCAAACCATTTTAGACAAAACAAGCAACACGTATCAATTTATTTCGTTGAATGCCTGCAAGCGACACACCATCCATTTTAGGCTCCAACACCATACGACATGATGTATTACATGATGTATTATTATGTAACACAGAAATTTCTGTTTGTGCACATGATAATATTGAAATTACTGATTTGTGTCGGTCACTGTCATTACCACCGAAATTACCTGACATTTTCCATCGATACACATGTCCAAACTTCCTAGTCTGCATCTAGTTCCGTCGTGAACTTTATCTGCAAGCTTTGCCACAACGAGCACAGGATCCTCATTAGTACTTGACTCACTAATCGGCTTGCCTTTGCAGGTAAGTGCGCACGGATTTGAATCATCGTAATGTGCTGACCACTCGTAAAGATTTTCTTGGTAGGGAATGCTGTTGAATGCTGAGCATTGGACCTCGCGGAATTCGTGAGCCTCTGGACACGACTGTAACAAAAAAACATTATTTAGTGCATGCTAAGAAGCACTTTCAAGGTACATGTTGATATAATTAAATCTGTCTTTTTTTAAATAACATTGAGTTAAACGATATGTTATTCATTTAAAATCACTGTAGTTATTGTTGTTTAATAAAAAACATTGAAATAATAGGCTCAATATTTTTTTTGTGTTTTTTAATTAACATTCTTTTTCTGGACAAGTAGGTATTTGCTCCTGAGTGAACCTATAGTATTTAAAATATTTTCCTGTGTTGAATTAATTGACTAGTTTAAGTTTAACAATGTTAACATTTGATCTTATAATAAACAAAAAATCCAACAAAATTCCAACATTCCTATATAAAGGAACTCGCTCTTAAGCAACGTGACTTTGCGTAAAGGAAACAGAAGCAAGGTCGCCTCCAACTGGTTCTGCTCCACATTACAAGAAGCCCACGGCAAAAAGACCACGCCAGTGACGGAATCAACGGAACCTTGCTCTTGAAAACAAACACCACATAACACGTCCGGAACTTTCACTCTTTCGACCGGCACTCAACGAGCAAGTTCATGAACCACACCACAAAACCGCTATTTTTCTTCACCCTTTTCGCCAGAATTAAAACAGTTTAATGGACATGTGCTTTTGTTCGGACTACACACCCTGACACGCACCACTGAATAAAATGTTACCTACTTTGTTCATGGAAATAAGACCACCTACAAAGAAACAATGCTGAAAATAACACCAGACGCATGAGGTGATATTTTATTCACCACATTTTTCTAGATTTTTCTCAATGAAAAACGAGGATATGTGGACGAAAATGTCACGGCGTCTATAAATAAAACTGCAATTTCACATTTTACCAGAAATAATAATGTATAACTTACGTGTTGTGCAGGTTTGCCACAAAGCGACTATAATTATCATCGCAGAGTGATTACACTCTTAAAGAAAAACATGCAACACCTTTGAAAACTAATCTACATATTTATAAAGGAAAACTGATTGATTGATAGGTGGAAACATGGATTTTTTCCATATTTTACTACATATAGGAGCAAGAAACTCATAAGCTTATAAAATAAATAATTTATTGGCACATACATTCACTACCTACAATTTGAACAAAATTGTTTCATCACTAACTACATTAAAATAACCATAAATAAGCCGAATAGTAAAACTCTGTAATTATTCTCCCTTATAAGAGCCATCGTCATAAAGTTGTTCACTATTGTCTGGAATGTATTCGCCTTCATGTCCTTCGGCAACAAGAACCGGAGCTATAGCAGGAGCGACAACCGGCGCTACAGCAGGGACAACTGCAGGTCCCGCCAACGTGTGACTAGTGGCAATAGATCCTGCAGGGCCAGCCACGACCGTCGCCGGTTCAGCTGCTAGAACAGCAGGAGCAGCAGGAACGACTGCTTGCCCATCTGTTACAACAGTGCCTCCCGGAGCTACCGCATCAATAGCACTGCCGTCTGGACCCAAAATTTTGGTTTTGCTGCTGGGACCTTGAAGGACTTCAACAAGTCCGGCTTTGGCAATGGCAAACAATGATAGTAGGATTATGGTAATCTGTAATTGTGGTGCTTCGCTTATAATAATTGCGGTAATTTGTTACGTATATACTCGTACGTACCTTGGAATTCATTTTTGTTTGGTTTGAGATAGTGTATGGACTGACAATAAATGCAGCGACAAGTTTGCATTTTATAACTTGCAAGTAACCTTGTCTGGCCAAGCCTTATGTTACTAGATAGAGTATTAGTTTACCATACATTAATAACTAAAAATGTAGAGTAAGTATACATTTATTTTACGAAATAACAAAATAATTTTTAATATATTTTTATTATATTGGATTTCTTGTTATTTTATATCTACTCATATTTTATGAAATAATAGCTTGCAGTAATGTAGGTAGCAAATAAATCATTATTCTAATGTAATTAATATAAAGTAAGCAAAAACCCAACGCATTGCACTCTAGTCCAGTCATTTTTCCTACATACGCTTATTTTAAAAAAATATAATAAAATCTTGTTTAACCCAAACTACTTACACTCAGGTTATCTGAGTTAATGTGGACTATAAATTTAGTCACACAACAAAGAACTTAGATAATTGAGATTTATGTCAAATAAAGGAAAGAGTAAGGAAATATAAAACATAAAAAAAAATGATTTGTGGTAAGGTAAAGATTGTGTTTAGGAAAATCATAAAAGTGGAAAAAATGCATGTGTGATTCAATTCATTGTAAAATTTAACCATTGCTACTGACATGAATTTTTCAGTAGTATTTTGTCTGGTACTTTTATATTCTGATTTTTGTAAAAAAAACTATACATTTTTTATTTCTTGTATAATTATTTTAAAAACAATAAAATATTCTAAATAAATTTTACCGACAGTCACCACTTAACGAAGGTTAGTCCCAAGAGAACTTTTATTAATCTCATTCATTATTTTTTCTTTACATAAAGTTTGATTAAATTTTCTAAATTTAACAAAGATACAGCACATGTGCTCAACTAGCACCCCAAGGAATCATAAAACAAATTGTTGTTTGTTTAGAGATTGGATTGTTTAAATTTGCAGTATAATACCCTGCAGGCTTCTAATAATAATTCAGACTATTTACCAAGTAGCAATGAGACATATCATATTTTTTTTAAATCAAACAACACTTGTTTATTAAAAAAATACGTACAAATTTAATTTTTTTTATTCGGAAAAAAAACACAAGACACAGGAGGAGAGAAGAATTAGTGTAAAAGAAAGAAATGAACACATGGGATGGCACGTCCCTAAAACTAGACCCACACTAGAGTCTAATGACCATAGATATGTGGTTTGTAAGATCCATCATCGTACAGTTTCTCGTTGATATCCGGGATCCATTGTCCTTCCAATCCAGAACCTGGCGCAATCAACCCATGTCCCAAAAGACCATGTCCGGCGACAATACCAGCAGGGCCAATAATACCAGCATGACCAATAAGACCAGCATGGCCAATAACACCAGCATGACCAACAACACCAACTCCGTGTCCTGCAACCACAGCAGGAGCAGGTGCAACTCCGCCTCTGACTACAGTTCCTGCGGGCCCTGAGAGGACAGCAGGAGCTCCCAAACCGGTGACGGTTCCGGGAACACCATGGATGTCATGGCCGATAACGACACCATGATGGCCCAGAATGCCACTAGCGTTGGCGGCGGCAACGGCTACCAAGAGGATTACAGCGGTCTAAAAATGGTTGTGTTTACTGGACATTGGGGTGGGTTGGGTACTTACCAAGGAGTTCATGGTTGTGTTCTAGCTGAGCAAGTAATAAAGATAGGGAATTGTTAGTGCATTTATAGTGTTGGTGGTAACCTTGCACACCCAAGTGTTCCCTTTAGACAGTGTTATTGAACAGTAGGGGACGGTTAAGAAATAGTCATAAGCGTCTGGATATTTTTTATTATAAATCTCGAAAATATCTTTGGTATTATAATTACGTGTTTGGATTGATTTGCAAAAGTAAAATGCTGTCAAAAACACGAGTAAATACCCTTGTTGCAATTATTTCAAATATTTCTAATTGGATTCAAAAAGTGAACGGACTTGCATTTTTCACACTCTATCAATGACATAATTACCGTCTGAAAGTCAATAAATTTCTTATAGCAACAAACCTACAAATTTATTGTATGACGTTGCATCATTTAAATGCAAAGTATAACTGAACTTATAACTGGACTAGTAGTTCTTTACTTAAAAAGTAAGTTTTTTTTCTATTTGTGTTAATGTAATTAACATAAATTATATAAAGTGTGGGAAATAATTTCTTCTGAATAGTGTTTTAAGATGATCAAATATTTGTTAAACTACAAATTGCAACATGAACATCAGAACCACTCATTGCGATGGGAATCAATTAACTAACAAGCTAAAGTGTTTGAACTACACTCAGTTTAATCAAAGCCTAAAAGCTGGCTGCAATGTTGAAAGATATTGTGAGAAATGTTGATGATCTAGCTCGGGTTACAAAAGATGGTGGGGTCTAGTCATTTATATGAATGGAAAATAAAAGATGAATCAAATTATAATAATTTTTAATGTTTTATCCAAAAAAAAAAATTATGGTAACATGTAACTTCATGTAATTACACAGATATAGGTTAATTAAGTATAGTTGTTGAAAATTTTTGACAAATTGATGAAATATACAGGTGCGCCAGAACTCGCGCCCCAGAGAAAAATGCCATATAAGGTAAGATACCAGGAACATGGAAAAAATGTTTTTTGTTTTTTGTCCCTTTACTAAATAGTTGTAAAAAAACATATACAAGATCATCAGTATCATTAAATAGATATAAAAAAATGTCAAATGTCAAAAAATAAATGTCAAAATTTTTTGACAGATAGAATTTTTTAAACATTTTTTTCGTGTTCCTGGTATCTTACCTTACTTGAAATTTTTTTCTGGGGCGCGAGTTCTGGCGCACCCTGTGCTTTATTTAGAAAGATATGTATTAGCGCCTCTTTAATAAATTTAAAAAATAAAAAGTATTCGTAAAATACGTTTAATATTGATAGGTAGAAGATAACAAGGTTGCTTCCACAATTGTAAAAAATTTAATAACATGTATCCACCATCAATTGCTTGTTTATAAATGAATAAATGAAGTTCATCGTTTAGGTTTTATACATATCTTACTTAATTTTTAAAAAGCAACTGCGAGTAACACATTAAGAAGATTGTAACAGTTTAATAAAAATATAATAAAGCAATCTAAAATAATTTTCTGTCAGCAAAGACTCTTTTGAATATCGCATTTTGCAGACCAAATTTTTTTGATATCTTTGATGTTTTCATTTATTGAAAAAGCATCTTTGAGGCAAGCAATTGTTGCTGTCTTTATGAAAAGGTATAATTTCAAACTGTCTCGGACTTTATGTAGATATCCCAAGATTTATTACTCTATTTTCCATAGCAAAATAGATTCACTAAACCCAACTGCTCGCTTAAATTACCAACGGCAATAAATCTTACATTGGCAAACTTAACGAGACAGCCATCTTTTTTAACATAAAAACGATCAACTTTCTAACAATTTATTCCATCCAACAAACAATTACGCATAAAGACCCGGCTTATACGAGCCATCGTCGTACAATTTTTCAGTCAAGTCAGGAACGTATTGTCCCTCGAGTCCGGAACCGGCTGGAACAAGTCCGTAAGGAGAAGCACTCAGAGGAATTGGAGTAAGTTCGGGTTTGTAGGAGCCGTCATCGTAGAGGCTTTCGGTGTGGTCAGGAATGTACTGGCCTTCGAGTTCAGAACCGGCAGGAACGAGCAACCTGGCGGCGAAAGGCGCCGCCACAGGGGCCACGAGGGCCCGGGCGGAAAGAAGAGGATGGGCAGGAAAGACAACATTTCCAGCGGAAGCTACGGCAACCACTGCAAGGACGACTGCGAAACTCTAAAGATTATACGTAATGAAAGTGAAATAACGGTGCGGTTTCGACTTACGTATGAATTCATGGCGCTGGGGTTTGAATTCGGGGAGTGATACTGGTGTTGGTTTACAGATTGTTTTATAGTGAGATGACAGCCTTGTACACGCCCAAAATTGCACTCAATTTGACATTAAGTTTCCGCATAAATGTAGACATCCGAAATAATTCGGTGCGAATTTGCATATTAACTGGTTCGGTCGCGGCTGGGCTCAAATAGACTAAAAATTTATGGAAATCTATTTGTTTTAAATGTCACACACATCATCCTGACGATAATGAACAGAATTAGACATAAATTTATTTAATTACTACTAGCTCTTGTTTGGTGTCAAATCGAAGCCAGTTTCATTCTAAGTCTACCAATAAAATTATGGAAATGATTCGAGTTCATTGTTCTATTACTCAAATCGGCGAAGATGCGAGATAGAACTAGCAGTCGTAATTTAATTTATGGGTTATTTGCTACAGCATCTCATAAATAACTGCATTTTCATTAAAATCTTTTGTAAGACTGTCGTATTTTATGATTAATTTTAATTTAATAATAACAAGTGCCGATGATCCCTATAATTTCATTTTATCTGTGCCGACTGATAGTACAAAATTCCTGTCTTATACGACCCTGAAAATTAAACACCTGTCACAGCTATCATTGTAAAAAATATATATACAATCAAAAATAGATTTAGAAAACTTGGCCGGAATCCAAGAGTTAATTTGATAATTAAAAGTCAATTACAAGAAATTTAGCAACACTTTAACAAAGCACTATTAATGCAAGACATCACGTAGTAATACATAATTAGTTCTAGTGTAATCTTGACCTCTAATTTATTGCCTTTTACAAATAATGCACTAGAGTTTGGGTTTCTTAACATTGAAATTGTATTAAGTTGTAATATTCCTTTTACTGCCAGAAATAAATTTCAGTTATTAGTCCATAAAAGAAATTTTTTGTTTTTATTTATTGTAAATAAATGTCTGTAGATGTAGTTTTTTGTGATATAATAAAGGTAAACCAAGTGCAACTAAGTCTTTGATTTAATATAAAAGACTAATCATATGTGCCATAAATGTCAAGGCAAATAAACGGTGGATATCGTATAAATATGTGTGACACTAACTTAATTCTTGATTGCGTATAGATTCAATTAAAATTCTTCAGTTATGCATTTGATAAGAGCTATAAAAGTATTAAAACAGAAAAGTGGATGGTCTCAGTACTAATTTCCAAGAGTATTAAACAATTTCTAGAATTTTATCTCGCAAAATAGGGTAAAATAAAATATCTTCTCATTACTATTAATTTTTGCTTGAAAACTGTTGAATTAAACGTGAGTTTGTTGGCATCTAAACCAAAATTATGTTAGTAATATTATACAGAGTGATTTTAATAGTTGTGCAAATTTTAAGAGAGTGAATGATACAAAAATAACTCAACTTGTTTTATCCCAATTTTATATGTTCTGAAATATTGAGGGTTTTAGTCGCCAAATAAATTTAAATTTGGTGATCAGCTTTTAAACTTCACCAACAAAAATTGTAAATAAAAATTATCTCTAAGTTTCTTCAATACCTACGTTATTGTTTGTTTAAAAAAAAGAATTATTATAATATTACCAAAAACTACCACAGAAACAAGTGGCATTGTATTAAAAAAATTATGAAAAGGTAAAAATTTTGCATAATTGTTTTTTGTAGAAGATACTACCGAATTTAATTATCTCAACTTGGTTGGTAACTATTAGGAATAAACTTTGGAATAAAGTACTCAAAAGATACAAGCTTCGTTCATTCATTTGACAAATTTTCCAACGCTAAAATGCAGGTTTACACCTCTTATATATCAGATATTAACACTTCTTAAAATTTCTGCACACCTTGTATAAAAGTTTTGAATATTTACGCATTAATGCCATTATAATAAATGTAGTAAAAAATGTGAGTAAAAAACAAGATTCATTGTAGAAAATAAATTATTTATTTTTCTATTGTAATCACAAAACTTTTGTTCTAAAACATTTTAAGAGTGAAAAAGGTACACAGCAGGTTCAGCCTATTTAGAATCCGTAGATGTGGGGTTTGTAGGAGCCATCATCGTAGAATTTCTCATTGATGTCTGGGATCCATTGTCCTTCCAGTCCATGGCCGGCGGGGACGGCGGCGTAAGCGAGAGGAGCTCCGGCGACGAAGCCATGGTGAGCGATGGGGGCGGCGTAAGCGGCGTAACCGTGATGAAGTCCGTGGTAGGCAAGAGGGGCATGGGTGAGACCAGATCTGACTACGGTTCCGGAGGGACCAGAAAGGACAGCAGCGCTGTCAACGGGGGCAACGATGCCGGCGTTGGCGGCGGCTACAGCTACGAGGAGGACAATGGCGCTCTACAAAAGAATGTTGTTATTTTTTGTTGATGTCGTGAATTGAGTTGCATGTGGGTGTGAGAAAGAAACTTACCAAACAGTTCATTTTTGCGATACTTGATGCTTGACTTAAGCTGAACAAGTGATACAGATTACCAAAATTTTCGAATTTATATAGCCGAAAGTAACCTTGCCCACACCCACCTACAGTAGAAGAGTGGTTCTTTCTAAAATGAGTTTTAACTGTGAGCGAGTTTACAAAAAATATTAAAATAAACTCAAACAGGTTAAAAATTTGGATATTGTCCTTCCGGGCGTGGTCTTACGTATAGTAATATTTTTATTTTATTTTGTTTATTTTCTAAAACACTTCATTTTAAGATTTGGGCAAATAAAAGCAGGTGGTACAAAAGTGAGATTTCCTACTCAAATGTATTTATTTAATAACCATTACTTGTGACTATTAAAAAAAAACATGTTTTTTCTTAGAAGATGATGTATATATAAATAAGATTTTATTCAAATTTAAATATAATAGTTGCAAAGTTTATTAGTCTTGTAGACCCAATATTTTCAAAATGAAAAATTTTATACTTAATGTTATGAATAAACAAAAAACAGATTTAGGAATATTTTTTTTCTTTTTGCAATCTAAAACTAAAATCATGATTAACAAAACAAGATTGTAAATATTTATTTTGTCAATTTATATAGACTTTGTATAGCCAAGGGCGCATTCTTTGTGAAATTGCGTTCATATTTTCAAATTTCTAAGTGTTATGTATTTATAGTTTCCAAAATTTTAGTTAAGTTTAATAGTGGTTAACTATTTACTTACAAATATACAAAATATCTTTAATATCTCTGTTATTTAACAACGAATTCTAACAAAATTTAAAATGTACATTATCTATATGGTGGGCAGAGATTGATATCGCAACTCTAACCCTTAAAGTAAGGTTTTAGCATGCCTTTAAAAAAATTTAATTTACTTAAAGTTATACTATTAGAAGATTATTATAGAATAAAATCCGAAACTCTTAAGTGGAACACCTTGTAAACTGGAATGTTTATAGTTCCTGAAATATTGAGGATGCAACCATCACTTTGGCGTCCAAAAAAATGCTTTGTAAACGAAGTTTGAACCTTTTGAAGACTTTATTCCAATCTTTACACTGCCACTGGCCGGTAAGATTTGTGGTAATGAAATTCGGTGGTATTTTCAACAACAAAAAATGAGGACACTATTCTGTGGCTGTTTTTACTAATTCTGACTCATTTTTTTAAAAACAATGTAATAAATTTTAAAGAGCTAATCTCAGAGATCATATTTGTATACAATTTGAGTTGGTGAAGTTAAGTAAAAGGCCAAAATTTAAATTTATTTATAAGGCAAGTTGAGTTATATGACTTCTTTTAAGCTCTATTATCAAAATATTTGTACATACTTTAAAATCAGGGTATGTTTAACAAAACTGCACGAATTAAATTGCTATATGATACTTTCTTCATAATTTTTTCATACTTAGTTTAATACATCCAACTTTTTAATAATAATACTTTTTTTAATACATCAGCTTTCAAAGTTCTTCTGCAAACATGAGATATGAATTAGAAAAAATACAAAAATGCACACTCCAAAATATTGAAAATACTAAATAGAATAAGATAATTTACTTACCTTCACAATTTGTACACTTACAGAGAGATGCATTTGTTACTTGTAATTAATGATTCACTTCTACACTTTTTTTATCCGAACTATAGTTTATTACCTTAAAGCTTAAACACAAAATCCATTATTTTCCTTTAGAATATTGGAATATTCTAGAATGGATTTTAGACTTTCTTGGTCAGTGGAAATGTATGTACCGTTTTATTTTGGTTGCCGACGTGCATTTTTTCAGATTTCCCACTTTTCAATTATTTGTTTGGGTGTAATTGGGTAGATATAATCAAATTAGTTAAAACAAAATGCATAAAGACACGGAGGGAAATAAAATGGTTATTTATAGAATTCATAAAATTCTTTATTTACATCATAACATAAAATTAACTAGATCACCTGAACACCTTAGAACCCATAAATATGGGGTTTGTAAGAACCATCATCGTACAATTTTTCGTTGATGTCTGGGATCCATTGGCCTTCAAGTCCAGAGCCGGCTGGTACAGAGAGTTCGAGCCCCAATTGGGCAGCTCTGTGAGAAACAACTGGAGCATGAGCTACAGCAAGGGGAGCGGCATGGGCTACAGCAAGAGGGGCATGGTGAGCTACAGCAAGAGGGGCATGGTGAGCTACAGCAATGGGGGCATGATGAGCTACGGCAAGAGGGGCGGCATGAGCGACAGCGAGACCAGAGCGGGTGATGGTGCCAGAGGGACCAGCAACAACAGCGGCGCTGTCGATGGGAGCTCCCAAATGACCAGCAAGGATGCCAGCGTTAGCGGCGGCTACAGCTACCAAGAAGACGGCAAGACCCTGAAAGTTGGTTTAATTACAGTTTTATTCAGATTTAAAAGTTTGCAAAAGTTTTCAAAATCATTGCTGTAATTGTTCACTACTTACCAAAGTGTTCATTGTGTTAGTTACTTTAATGCTTGAAGTAAGCCAAAAAAGTGATACTGACATACGAAATTATTTTCGTATTTATACCCGTGGTTGTAACCTTGTCCACACCCATTCGGTTGTAGTTCCTTAAAAATTATTGTGTATCGCAATCGCGAATATAAAAATCTAGGTGTCCGTGTATTGTGTGATGCAATGTCTTTTGACGAGAATCTACTACAAATAACTTTTTCTTTAAAAAAAACACTCAGCTTTAATATTTAAAATAGCTATTAAGACAACAAGAGTTTTAGAGACAATTTAAAAATCGAGCTACCGTTAGGAAGCGAGATTTTTAAACTATAAAATTCGTGTTATCATCAAAAAAATTTTCCAACACTTATATTGTTACTAAATTTAGAAATTATTATAAAGAAAGTATGTCAAAATGGCAAAATACCAAAATAAGTGTATTTTGTGTACTTACTAATAAAATACGTTGTAATTGACAATGTATTAAAATTTTGCTTTTTTAAATTTAAGCATCCTTTTAATTTACGGTAATTAATGGCCTAATTTTTAAACATTTTATTAAATGAATGATATATTTAAATAAAATAATTAAATAATTTTCTGCAGTTTGAACAGAATTTATTTTAAGAAGTCGATAATAATGCCAATACAGCAATCACATTTCGCATTGGAAACATTACTCATCACTAAACCTTCTATATACCAAGCTTTCATTTAAATGATGCTCAAATCATATGTTAATTATTATATTAATATTAATAATAATGATGAAAATAAAAAAATCCCAATTATTTTGTTAATTTTTTGCTTCCTCTCTGTTTAAATGCGTGTATTAAATCATATTTGCAAATTACTACTGCCAAAAAGTTGTTACAAAATAACAAATTGCAACTGTAAATTACAAAAAGTATTTTTTCTAAAAATTTTTGTGTCAAAGCTCACTAGAAGTCTAAGACTTTGTTAGTAATTGATCTAAAAAAATTAAATTAATATTTATTTACTACCCAAGGTGTCTCTTCCAAAAAGTGACAAGTACGTAAAGTGTATTTTCTTGTAAAGATACATATGTTTAGTACCATGTATGCAAATAAAAACATTTATATGAATTCTTGTCTTATTCTTATTCAAATAGGTACAAGCTCTTTTACACATTTTGCTTCCAAAATAACTTTTTGTAATTAAAAAAAAATGTGTACCTACGCTTAGAACAGAATATTCAGAATAAAATTGCTTTCATTAAAAAGCGTAGCGTAATTATATTTAAGTAGAATGGTAATATTCTTTTAAAACCGCAAAGCAGTCTAAACATTTCTTTGTAAAAGATAGAGAACCTCACCTTTTCATCACAGACGTTTGCACATCGGTCTATTACAATTGCAATGTAGGTTAGCATCCACAAATTCATCAAGCTGGGTGTTTCCACATTCCACTTAAAATAATCGTTTATTTGTGAAACGTAAAAACCAGAGTATTGTATTCACAAATTAAATTTCTTATCAGAGAAGCGAAAATCTTTAGATTGAATTAAAAAGTTGTGCTTTATACAAAATGACTTTTCACAAGTTTAATTTTCCGTGTATATAAATGAACGTGTTTATTTTGAAATTAGAATAAACAATCCCTTTATTCAAATCAAGAGCGACGACCAAAAATCTGGTATTCAGACAAGCTTAATCACAATTTGGGGGTCAAATATTTCTCCAGTTAGTTGCATGTCCTGAAAAGGTCAACACTCGCTGATCGTAGCGCAGGATTAAATAAGTGAGAAAAACTAATACAAAAATAAAATATTTATTTCGAAATTTTTTATAGCACAAAATACACAATGAAAGGTACTGGTGATTTACACCCTACCACCCATAAACGTGGGGTTTGTAGGACCCATCGTCGTGCAATTTTTCGTTGACATCTGGAATCCATTGTCCTTCAAGTCCAGATCCTGCAGGAACTGATAATTCCAGTCCCAATTGGGCAGCGTGGTGGGAGACGAGCAAAGGAGCGGCGGCGACTACACCGACGTGGCCTACGCCTAAAGCAGGCCCGGCGATAATGCCATGTCCGGTTCTGGAAACGGTTCCCGAAGGACCTGTCAGGATGGCCGCACTGTCAACACCTCCATGTCCTAGCCCCAGGCCGATCACGCTAGCATGAGCTGCGGCAACGATGCCTACGAAGACGACTACGCACTAAAATGTTCCCAAATTATCACCTGCTGTGACATTTTCTTTTGTTAAATTATTTCGACAGTTGTATCGATATTGTTAATTTGTGAGATCAGGTTTGAGACAAGGCCGGACTGAACGTACTGAAGTGACCTTTAGAATTGGGCGTTCTTCCTGGTACTTTTATGAGAGAAAAACACCAATACAACAAGAAATACTTACGAGGGTTTTCATTGCGATAAGAAGTAACACTAGTGATTGCAACTAAAGTAATGCATTTGCAATTGCAAGTTCTAATTGGTTTTATAGTGATCAATAACCTTGTCACACCCTTATGGGTCAAGTATTGTTGCATGGGACATTTTCTTTCCGCGTGTATGCACATAAATGCATTAGCAGGAAAATTGAAAGAAATGGTGAATGGTGCAATCTTAGACTAAAGGAAATCAGATTGTGTTTATCGAAAATTTTAATTTGGAAAGAAAACCTATTATAATAAGCAGTAAAATGCAAAGACCTTGATGTGCTAATTAATCTTTTTCTGTGGTAGCAATTGTGTTTAATTTACATAAAAAATATTCGATCTAACTTGCCACAATGAAAATGGAGGAAATTAAATTAAAAAGCAGATAACTGAGGAGAGTTAGGCTACTATTGGGCCACGTATGTGAATAGTAAGAGTGGTATTACGATAGTGGATAAAAAATTCATTGATTTAATCATAAAGGACAATGATTAACCAGTTTGCAAATGTTAGTTGTAATGAGATGGAAAATCAAAGTAACGGATTTGACGAGGACACAATTCACGAGTAATTATCGAAAAATAGATAACTAAAAATGTTTCTTTATCGAGGCATTTTTTATAATTTCATTTTTAGCACTTAAATTTTTTAAAATCATATTTCTCATCACTTTTACAAATAATTTTTTTGTTGTAACAAACGCTGAAAATCAATAAACACCAAAACAGTATTAAACCATTTATTTGTAGATAAAACTTTTGAAAATTTTTGTAAAATTTCAACTAATTTGTTAATAATGCTAATTAATATTTTGTCAATTATTTTTTATAATATCCATATGTATGTAATCAATGGTATTTGCGGTGTTTATTTTAAATTTAAACTCTACCAACATGTTGACCTTAAAAGTGGGCAGGGCCGACTAAAAAATTATGAGTTTTATTGCATTCATTATTACCATTATATTTTTTTGTTATAAACATAATTGACAAACTTTTAAATAGTATAGAACAAATAACACATTTTTTTAACTTTGCAAAACAAATATTGAAAATGCACACCTAGGATTAAATTAAATTAAAAGAAAGAAACAGTTTTTTCTAAGCTTTGTATAAATGGAAATAAACCTTATAAACCAACACCGTCTGTTTTCAACTGGTTTAAAATTCGTAATATTATTCATTACAAAGCCTCTTTTATGAAATATAAAAAAGGGTTGCATCAGAACCAAAATAAATGTAAATTATTTTTGTTGAGGCTGGAACCGCTTATAAAAACGCACAGATCATTTTGGCGACATCAGTTTCTCACCAAACGTAACGCAAAACCAAATCTAGAAAAATGAATTATTTTGTAAGTACACACAAGAAACATTATTTTTTTCAATAATTTTAAATTTTAGGCTGTAGTCTTTTTGGCCGTTGTGGCTTGTGCCTACGCAGGATTAATTGCCGCTCCTGCTACCAGAGTTTTACGAGGCCCCAGTAGCAGTGCAACGGTTATCGGTCCTGATGGAAGTTCTATTTCCTCTATTGCTCCTGGAGGCACCGTAGTGGCTGATGTCCAACCCGGGCTTGTAGCTGCCCCTGCTGTGGTTGCTGGTGCTCCTGCTGTTGTTGCCAGATCTGCGGTTGTAGCTCCAGCTGCTTTGGCTTCTCCTGGTGTTGTCTCCGCTTCTGGTCTTGTTGCTCGTTCTTCTGTTTTGACTGGATGGGGTGGCACTCTGATTGCTGGTCCTGCTGGTACCATTACAACCTCAGAATCTCTCGCTCCAGCTCCTTTAGCCGCTGCTTGGTTGTGATTTTGTACAAAAAATTAATAAAAAAATACCAAATATCCAAATACCTAGTTATCTACGAATACGTAAATAATCATAAATGCAATAGATGTGTGTCTATTATTGAAAATGTATAAAAAAGTAATGAGGTTTATAAGTAAATCTATTTTTGATAATAAACAGTGTTTCTTTCTTTCAAGTGTTGTAGAAGTGACCGGTTTCCACTAATTTTCAAAATCAATTAATTTTCTTAAAAGTAAATAGTAACGTAGATTATTACGTTTCGTTGAATACATTAACGTTTACCTTTTTACATTACAACTATGTTGTAAATTTTCTTAAGTAAAAATACACCTAGATATTAGTCATCGAATATAAGTAATTAAGTTTTTAAATAATTGCTTAATTAAATTTTAACAAGTTCAAGAAACATGCAACATTTTTTAAACTTAGTAAATGTTTTATTCATACATAGTAGAGTAAATAACTTACGAATTCCTAACAAAATTTCCTTCGACACCTACTTACAAAAATTCTAGTATTTTAAACATATTCATTTCGATACCTACTTTTGCGTCATTAATTTGTTAGTTAAAAAATAATGCGTCCTAATACTTATAAAAGTAGGCCTTTTAGTAGTAGTTACGTGGGTAGTTTTTAAAATTTAAGATGAATTAAGTTCTAAAAATGTAGAATCAATCCAAAAAAATTTTGTTATAATATTTAATAAAACTGGAGTTTTTGTCAAAAAAGTAAAAGCTGTTAATTTTTGTTATCAACAAAGCGATATAAAATATTTTCAAAAACTTTTTGTTCTGTACATTGTTTTTAAATTAAATAGTGCTATAATTGTGTTACTAACGGTGTGCTTATTTTTGATTAGAACATTTTTCACATTAATTTGTTCTGATAGGTAATTAACTCCATACATTAACTTTTTATTTTAAAACTGCGAAAAAGAACTAAATATGGTTAACCTTCCCTTAATTTAAGAATAAAATCTGTCATATGCGCGTATATATAAATCAAATTTAAATATTTTGTTGTGTATACATTTGCATAAAAAATAATTGTACCTCTCGAAACTTTGTCACAACTTGCATAAGCGGAAGCGATCTCTCAAGAATTTGAACGATTTTTTTGGACAAGGCTGTTCACTATAAATTAACTCTCCATCGTGGAAGCTGTACAGTTGTTCAGTACAAACCAAGCAATCAGCAATATGAATTCTTTTGTGAGTATTAACAAATAAACGACAACAAAAAAATAACAGTATTTTCAGGTTGTAGTCCTTCTTGCCGCTTTGGCCACCTCTCAAGCTAGTGTAATCGCTAGCCATGCCCAAATCCTGCAAGGACCAAGCAGCAGAACTACCGTAATTGGAAATGACGGTAGCGCCATTTCGGCCATTGCCCCAGGAGGTTCCATCATCACCGAAGAACACCACGGAGTTGTCGCTCATGCCGCTCATGCCGCTCCTGCTGTGCTTGCCCATGCCGCTCCCGCTGTTGTTGCCCATGCTGCCCCTGCTGTAGTAGCTGCTCCCGCCGTTGTTGAAGCTCGTGCCGCTCCCGTTGCTGTGGCTCATTCTGCCCATTCCGTAGTTCACTCTGCTCCCGCCGTTGTGGCTCATGCCGCCCCCGCCGTTGTAGCTCATGCTGCCCCTGCTGTAGCTGTCGCCCACTCGGCCCCTGTTGCCGTTTCCCACTCTGAACATTCCATCGTCCACCATGCTCCTGCTGTAGTAGCCCACGCTGCCCCCGCCGTTGTGGCCCATGCTCCTGCTGTGGTTGAAGCCCGTGTTGCCCCCGTAGCTTTTGCCCATTCTGCCCCTGTTGCTGTAGCCCACTCTGCACACTCTGTAGTCCATTCTGCCCATGCTGCTCCTGCTGTCGTAGCTCACGCTGCCCCTGCTGTTGTTGCACACCATACCGCACACGCCGTTGCCGATTCCGCTATCGTCGGACCTTCTGGTAGCGTTGTCACCGGAAGAGCTCATGTTGCTCCTGCTGTTGCTGTAGCTCATGCTGCTCCTCTTGCTGTTGCTCATCATGTCCCTGTTGTTGCACATTCTGCTCATTCCGTTATTGCACATCATTCAGCCCCAGTTGCCCGAGTTTGGTAATTTGAACAAGTGTGGTCAGTATAGTCGGAGATTTTCCCGTTAAATGGGAAATATCAAAGATTATCTTATTTTTATAATGACAAGCTTGTTAACCTGATGTTAATTTATGTTAAATTATTGTACTGAAATTGTGTATAAATGTGTAAAAATAAATTGTTACTGAGCATTATAAAAACTATTTATCCTGCTATGCATATATCGTCTTAAGAAATGTATCTATAGAAAAAAAAAACAATTTTAATAGCCTTTTAACGAAATCTGAATTAAATTAGCAAATTTTTAATCCAATATTAATTTAAAAAAAAACTGTTGCAAGATATACAGACTGGATTACATAAAACCCCCTAAGCCATAACTTCATTATTCTTAAAGATATGGCAATACTTCTTTGATCAAAGTTAAATAGTTATGAACTGTGCAACTTTGTTTCATATCTTTAAAAAAAAAAAGGATGTATGACTTGAAACGTTTTATAATTCAGTCTGTATATTAAATTTTATACTTTTCACTAAAAAAATTTGAGAAAAAATCTCAAAACTGAAAATATAACACAGGTCCTGATTATAAAAAATCCTAATTTATATTGAAAAAAAAATATTTTTTTTCTGACTTACAGTTCTGTGAATATTTGATGGAAAATAATCCACATACCTGAAAAGAAAAAAAACATTTTTAAGTAATCGAATAAATAATTAAATAATGTTTGTTCAAAAATGTACCCAATAATCGTATAAGTTGTTTGATTAATTGAAATTGTTAAATTGTTATAATTACACACATAACATGTAACTGTCAGATTATAACATTTATTACAACACGAGATAATATTAGTCAAAATTAATATTTTGTAATCAATTGAGTAAAAAACATTTCAAAGACATTAATATCGAATTTTCATTAAACGCTTAAAAAATAATTAACAAAATGAACTGTCACGTATTATTACGACCAGAGTTCCTATAAAAGCAAAAAATTATAGACGCAACTCATTCTACTTCAGAAACTTCAATTATCATCATGTACGCCGTAAGTTTCTTAATTAAAAATTTCTTCAATTTGTGAAATATTTAATATTTTCAGAAACTTTTCGCTCTCTTCGCCCTCTTGGCCGCTGCTAATGCAAGTGCCATCCTCTTTCCTCACACCAAAGTCGAGGATGTTGCTGTAGCAAAGACCAGCATTGTTGGTCCTGCTGGTAATATTACTAAGGAAGAACACGTTCCTGTGATCACCCATCAGCCTGCTGCCATCGTTGGAAACCCAGTCTTCCGTTACATCCAACATCCCGTAGTTTTAGGAGGTGATGCTGTGGTTCAACACCACGAAGTCTCCGTTGTTCATCCCCCACAAGTACTTCCTTTCCAGCCAGTTGTTCAACATGAGGTGCCTGTTGTTCCAACTGCCCCGCACCATGTCGTGTTTAAGACAGTCCCACACACTCTTCCATACCTTGCCCCCATCACATACTCTCCTTACTTCTACAACAACGTCTATCACGGTTTGTCTTACGTCAAAAGTGTTTAATAGATCAAATTTTGTGTTGTATGAAATACATTTTGGGTGTTTCAAATAAAAAGTTAGAGACATGTTCTTGTTTTGTTAATTCTCTTTCTCTATACCCTTTGCATATAAATTAAGAATCAAATTAATAGTTTTTTATGGTTATTATGAATGAGTAATGCTTAAAATACCGTCACGCCCGTTATGTTTTGCGATAATACCGGCCTTGCCTAATCAAATCTGTCGGTCAATAGCTTAACAATTTCTGCGTTTACTACCTATAAGAGTTCCGTGTTTCTAAAACGTAATCAAACTTTATACGAAAAACTAATTATTTATGGATCGAGAATTCTCTTAAGGCTAACTGACGTATAAATTTATAATAATCGACGTTATAAACAATGGAAGAGGAACAAAATCCTGCATAAATTATTAATTAATTTGCTTCCTTCTACTTTGTGTTAACATGATGATTAAAAGATTAAAACAAAATATTTGAACAACTTTTAGCAGGAAAATGTAGGTGGATTTTAAGAGTATGCAAGACAAATAAAAATGTTAATTTTACCATAAAACGATAAATCCTAAAGAAAATATCCTGATAAAATCTGTTCACGTTAGAGTTGCTGAAACTGAAAAATCTGATTTGTCGCAAACAGAGAAAGTGGGTTTATTGCCTAAGCTAAGAGTTTATACGTTATTTAAATTTTATTCCATAAAACTTTTTTAAAGTTTTGCCAACTTTGGTAATACGCTGGTGTTTACAATGTAATTCATTGCTATACAAAATGGAATTTTAAATTTCACAAAACTCTTAAATGTAAATTAATTTAAAATTAATCACTTGATCAATCATATTGTACGTATATCACACCAAAAAAATAATTTTTTTGCCCATTTTAAGTAAAATAAATGTTTAACAATGACGAATCTTTGTTTCGTATTTTTAAAATTATTTTAAAAAATTCACTTCAACATTTTAGTAACTTTTGTAATCAATAACTGTTTTTGGTTCATTATTAATCGTTATCAGTCCATCAAACAATGTTTACTCAGGGTCACTAAAGTCCCTAAAATCCTAAACATTCACGGATGCTGACCAAAAAGAAATTGGGCGTGTGTGTATTCCAAGGTTGCCTCTAACTATATAAACGCGATTCAAAAATCTTTCAGCATCACTTGAACACTTCAAGAATTCCAACAAACACAATGAACACTTTTGTAAGTATTACAACAATGAAAAAAAATCCAGTGTAAATCTAATCATTCTAGGTCGTCGTCGCTGTCCTCGCCGCTTTGGCCTCCGCTAACGCCGGTTTGATCGCCGCCCCCTCTGCCAAAATTATCCAAGGGCCAAGCACCAGGACCACCGTCGTGGGTCCTGACGGTAGTGCCATTTCTGCTGTTGCTCCTGGAGGCACCATCGTTGCTGAAGAGCACCCTGCTGTCGTTGCCCACACTGCTCCTGTCGTCGCTGCCGCCCCTGTTGTGGCACATGCTGCCTATGCTGCCCCCGTTTTGGCCCACAGTGCTTACGCCGCCCCTGTTGTCGCTCACGGTTATGCCGCACACAGTTATGCCGCCCCCGTCGTTGCTGCTCACACCGCCTACGCCGCTCCAGCTGTAGCTTACGCCTCCCATGGGGTTGTCGCCCATAGCGCCGATACCGTTGTTGCTGGACCTTCTGGTACCATTGCTACCAGCAAAACTGTTGCCAGCCCAGCCGTTGTAGCTCATGCTGCTCCTCTCGCTTACGGACATCATGGACTTTACATTTAAATTATTTATTGAATTATCTGCGTAGGAAATTTTAAAGAATAATAAAAAAATTAAAAAAACGCTCATGTCTGTTTTATTTAGATAAGAAATCCATAAAAAAAATGACAATGCAATGAAGTCCAGCTGTCGGTTCAAAACCACACAAAAACTTTTTTGAGTTCAAAAGTGAAAAGGAATACTGCTAACATTATTATTGTAAACGGTAATCAATACTAACAAAGTTTTTTGTTTTATATTCATAGACTTACTTAGTAGGTATAAATTTTTAAACAAAGATTTACGAATAAGGTGTAGGTGTAATACGAAAAATCTTCAATATTTTTATAAACTACTTTTCTACATTTTTATTTTAGTATACTAACGGACGGATTGCATATTTGCTTTTTTAGGTCCTTCTAATGTTAGAATTAACAACATACATGTTTTTCTTTTTCGATCATTTAATTGCCATGTAAAATTAGTGGAAAGACTGGGTAATATGTATAAGCTATATAACAAAAATTATGACTTATGAGTAAAGAAACGTAAGTACAGTTTATATATTTACATAAAAGGTTTTAAGAATACTAAAATACTATTAACACTGAAAACTTTTTTAATTATAATATTATAATTACATTATTTAAATTAAATTAATAATAGTTAACAGTTACTAATGAACAGATTATAATATTATACTCCGATATTTAAAAATGTTTAATGCGTAAATATTATTAATTAACACACTAGCTTTCAATATTCAATGTAGTTAAATGGCTAATGTAATTTCGATGAACTAATTAAATGATATAATCCTGTAAACGTAATAACAAGGTAATTGATAATTGGTACATTAGTAGATTACTCTAAAATTCTGTTTAATTCAGTAACATTAGTAGGTATTTGTTATTAAAACCACAGAAGGATGTGTCTAGTAATTTTCGTAGAATTTTGGAACAATTTCATATTTAGAATTGTGGTAAAATTAAATAATAAAGTGAATTTTAACCATACACCTATTTTAATTAAATATTTTGAATGAAACCAATATTTCACGTAAAGAAGAAAAACCAGTAGAAATCGCAAAGCTTTGAAATTTCACTTAATACGATTATTTAGGAATAAGAGTAAACTGGTTTGAGTATTTGACCTCCCACGCAATTACATATTATTGTTTTGTCCCTTGACATATCATAAAATAATTATTTATTACAAGAAGTGCTACACCTAGTGAAATTCTTACGAGGAAAACATATGTCAGAGCAAACGATAACATAATTCACTGTTTACTTTATTTGACATTTTATTGCATACTTATTGGTTTCAACTCACTCGTAAATATAAATGGTTTTAAAGGAGGTTTCAAAACTGTAGTTTTAGATAATTATTAGTGGGTGACTGTCACTGTCACCATCATGGTGCTATAAATATTGATTCCCATGAATCCCACACAGATAAAGGCTTTCAAATGGTTGAAATTTTAGAAAAATATTCAATTTTAATTTGAATGCAGCAACAATTTGTCTGGAAATGAAAGCTTGTATTTTATTAGAGGCTAAAAAAACTATTAAAAGTTAATTTTGCAAATAAGTATAAAAGTATTTAATAAAGAATAACGGTTACTTTATCTTTTCTTAAGATGTATCAATTCATCATTATTCATTAAGCGCTCACTAACCTGTTTTAAAGTGATAATTGTAGCAACAAATGATTAATTTGCATTTCCTGAAACTTATCTTTATCTTAAAAGATGGTGGATTAAAAATCATTCATTTTTCATTTTTTTCGTTTCTAAAATAAAATTACAGTACTTTTGAAGATAATCACTTAGAAATAAATATAAAATACATACTCGCATAATGATGTGATCAAATATCAACGGCCATGTAAGTACGATAAAAATCTAAAATCTGGTTTCAGTAATGAATGTTTTAAAATAATCATTTCAACTTCACTTATTAGGAAGATGTACATTTCTACCAAAACACCTTATCTGATAAATCAAACTAAATCTGCATATTCATATCATTGACCAAGGCGTATTTATTGTACAGTATGTTTCTGTTGTTGTTAATTAAGACAAAATTTCAACAAAAAACTTGTACCTGTACGGAAACTTTAATAAAATTGGGTGTGTGGTCAAGGCTGTTTTTGCGATATAAAAAGACAAACGTATACCATAACGGCATCAGTTGATCAAATCGACGATACTAACCAACCACCATGAAATCCTTCGTAAGTATCGGATCATGAGATTCATAAAATACAACAAAAAGGAATCATAAAACTGAAATGGACATTTTTCAGGCTGTTGTTGCCCTTTTCGCCCTTTTGGCTTGCGCCAACGCTCAGATCTTTTCTTCTGGCAAAATCCTCCAAGGACCTAGCAGTAGAGCCACGGTAGTTGGGCCAGATGGTAGCGCCATCCACTCTGTAGCTCCTGGTGGTAGTGTTGTCGCCGAACATCATTCTGGCGTTGTCGCCCATACCGCCCCTATTGTTGCCCATGCCCCAGTAGTCGCACACACCGCCTATGCTGCCCCTGCCGTAGTTGCCCATCACGCCCCCCTTGCTTATGCCCATCATGGCCTCTACGCCCATCATGGTTATTATTTCTAATTTATTATTTCGTAGTCATTTCAATAAAATACTTTTGAAATATCAGAGCTGTTTTTTACTTCGTTACATTGTAAACAATTTTGACATAAAATAAAAAAAGCGATATATTTTTAAAGGGAAAGCCGGAGTGGCATAAGCTGCACGAGTAATAATCGGAACAGCAGCTACAAGAGCCATATGTGTAATAATTCCTCGATGTTGATCGGTTACAATTCTGCCACCAGGGGCAACAACCGAAAGAGCACTGCCATCTGGTCCAAGAGTAGCTGTGGTGTTTGGTTTTAGTGGCGGGGTGGTTTACACAAGTCAAAACATCAAAAGGGTAACAACCTAAAATAATATAAAACTTGCTCTGCGGTGAACGCTTCATTTAATAAACAAGGAATAAGAAGGATCGTAAGAGAATTTCAAGCTGTAAAAAAAAACCTTGAACTTGTAAAAACCTATTTCTTTGATTGAACCACCTCAAAATAAAATAACAATAAATAGACGTGTTTTCTTACAATTTGATATTTTTGTTATCAAAGACTCGTAAATCAGTAAAAACCGAAAAAGGAGGTACTCAGTAAAGTGCCACTCATAAAGCAAACGCACTGCTTTAAATTTGCATAATTAGCATTTATTTTTGCATATTTTTCCAATATAATATGAACAACAATATATGAACTGCTTTTACGATTGAAAATGTCCAGTCAAGAAATGCAGGAAATTGAAAATAATCGCCCCTGAACTTCGCATGACCACACCTCCGAAATACGAGTATAGCCTGACAGAATAAAAGCCATAGCAATTAAAATGCATGCAATAACTCTCATTCGCACTGATAAAACTTGTGCAGAATTAATTTACAAAGAAAAGTATTAGCATTTTTGACACGCAAATATTTTAACCATGTAATTATGCAAATGTGTTTCATTAAATCAAAATACAAATAAAAATTCTAGTACACGCAGAATTAGTGTTTGTTTTAAAACAAATACTGTTCTATTAGAATTTACATAATTATCAAGACAGTGTCTTACATTGATTACAGCCGTAATTACAATTGGGCGTAATTCCTTACAAATAGATTATCTCCCCATTTCTTATGCAAATGCTTGTAGGAGGCTTGTTCTCTAGTGTCTTCGGATTTATTTAATCGCACCTCTTTAAATCTATTAAAGTCATAATATATGTTATTGTCCTTCAAATAACGTTGTGGTGAAATGTGGAAGGCGTTGTCTACTTGTATTACCTGTTTTTTAGATGTTCTTATCTCCAGTAATGACAGTCAGCTCTCATTGTCAGAGAATATTCTAGTTTAATATGTCTAACTGGATTACCTGACTCACCTGCCAATTCCCGTCTCTTAAAAATGCGAGCATTTTCTCTAATTGTGTTGGGAAAAAAACCGCTCTAGAAATTTCAGAGAGGGCTGTCAAGCATCCCCGAATACTACATTTCATTTCAAGAATTCCCGCACGAAAAAAATATTAGTTTTGGTACAGCAATTTCCCCGGCGTAATGATTTTGCAAGGCCAAAACCTATTGGCATTTCCTTATCAGATTTCAAGTTCGGTAGACGTTTTCCAGTGTCCTTTTTCGTCTGGAGCGTCTATTGTGTTTATTTATTTTTTTGTTTCGCATCACTCCCCGATTGGTTGTTTCTTTGATAACCTTCGCCAATCGGACTATTTTATCATCCCGAAACTGTAAGTTTCAAGTAGACGGACGTCGTTCGAGAAAATTGTATTATTACAGATAAGCCGTGGCTCAAAATAACCACATAATTGTTGCCATCAACGGCAGACGGGTGTTATAAACTTCGGAGATAATAATCATTCCAGGATCATTCGAAACATTTGTTTTGTTATTGGCGTCCCGGAATATTTGCTCGGAGTTGATTCCAACGGAAAGTTTAAAACTACCAAAGAAACTTTGCGAATATGTATTTACTATGTTTTTCATTTTTCAGACGTCGCAAAGAGCTCGCGAATCAATTATCTCTGTCGGGGAGAAATAATCTCAGTTTCAAGTACCTTTGAATTTGTTAATTAATGCCCATACGTTCACACACACAATACGCATGTTTCAGGTTTACCACAGCAAAAGCCTTTGGTGGGTATAGAAGTATGTAAATTACTGTGCTATTCAAAGCATAGTTGATGAAAAGCTTCCAGACATGAGAATCTCCTCTCTAAGACTTAAACATACACTGCACAGAAATACAATTTTACAAAAAATAGTGTTTAATAAATTTGTTTTTTTAATGGCAAACCAAGCCAAAGATAAATTAAAACCGTTGAGATAACGACTCTTGAATGGAGATTTACATCCGCATCATGGAACAACATCGTTAGAAAGATGAATACCAGCAAGTTGAATGTATTTTCAAAATAAACAGGGATACAGTAGAAACTCACATATAACACTCATTTTATTGTAGAAAAGTTGAAAATTCGTAATTGAATTTGCAAATGTTGAAATTCAATTAGCAGCAACATCTATTCATTAGATTATTTTGCATTATAAATAGAATTTGCATATTGTCCTTTAATAAAGTTTTAGGAGAAGACTCGTTAGCAATTTCACAATTAGGAAAGTTGGCTCGTTGGTCCGTGTTAGTTTAGTAAAGCAAAGAAAATTTCACACTTTCTGTTAAGTCATCGTTTTCCTAGGAAAACTGTGTCTGCATTTTCACTGCTTCTTGGCGAAACGTGTATGAAAAATTATGTTACGTTTCTATTTCAGAGCTCAAATAAAAACCAAACATAAAGAAATTACATACTTTTACAACCCAGGTTCGTTTTAACTGCTATTATTGCGAAAAAACCCAAAGAGCTCAAACGTTTGATCTTAATCGACGATTAATAAAAAATAGTTTATAAGAGAATCGGAAGAATCGTAAAATACTCGTATTTTATATTTTTGTCGATAAAACGATCCACATTTTCTCAATGCGTTGTTTACACCACGGCCACTAGGGTCCTTCCCAAGATTATTTACTTAGAGTAAGGAGAAAAGATGGTAGTAAAGATGCCGACTTCAATTTTAACAAATTTGTTTAGACAGCCTTTTCACAGAAAGAAAGCTATTGACCCTTGTGTCGTATTGATTGGGATCATAAAATAATAACTATGCAGCCTTTAACAATCAAGCCAGGAATATGAAATCCAGACCCCGCAAACGTCAATGCTATTGCTAAATTTTAATCAACTTTAACAAAAAGATTTCGTTACGAGTTTAAAAGAATACAATTAAAACTTTCAGTCATTTATAATAATCTACCAGTGTAAACAGAAATCAACGAACCATAAACTAAAGAATTTTCCAAGAAAGCAAATTTGTTTTACGTATTTTAAAGGATTTTGTTTGAAGAAAGTTTTAAAATCATTTAGAGGAAAGTTTCTGCATAGAAGTTGTTTTACATGAAGCAGAAATTATCAAAACTGTGTTTGCACGGTTGTTAAATTTCACACAAAGTTTCAACCTAAAGAGTAGATACGCAATACGTAAATAAGTATTTAAATACCAAAATAAAAGAACATTTTATGAAATAATAAATACAGGCAAGCGTAGAATAAATTTGTAGATGTGCTTGGCAGCTTGTAATAAAAGTTTACGTTTACCTCCAGTACAAAATAAACTTAGAAACATTTGCTTAGGAATGCAGCTCTCAAAATCACAGTAAACAAATTTACAGCTTTCCTAAAAGCAAATGCCCTAAAAAACCAAACAAATCAGTGATTATGTAAATCTATATTACTGCTTAAAGCAGAACATTTCTGAAAAAATAATTAATGATTCGAAATGTTAGGCTGCAAAGTTAAACTTATATATTTATATTTTTTTATTCATTAAAAAATCAAAGTCCAAGTCCAGAGAGTATTTCATTATTGTTACAAATACAACTTTATTACAATTTTAATAAAAGAAAACCTGGGCATATTCAATATCGGCATCCTTCTCTTTAGTAAACTTTGTTTTTAGCTACAACAAACTCAGGAAATACTATTTAGGTACCTTCATTTTGTATGTTATTCCACGTTGTAAGTTATAATAATTATAACATCAATTAAGTCAGATTTGAGTCAAATTTTGAAAAAAAAAATCAAAATAAACTATAATTGTTGGGTACATTTTTAACCGAGAAACAAACGTAAATTAACATTCTGCGCGTCCTTGTGGTAATTAGTATCCGCTTTTCATGCAGCTGTTACAACACCACTAATTAACGTCACCACCAGAGTTAAGCTAGCAAAATGACCTACCTGCATGTTGCATATTTTATATCTGACATGGTCTCCTCGACAAGATCCTGGTTTGCAGGTCCTTAATTGGTGCGAGACACCCCCATCGCATGATCTTGAGCACGCAGACCACTCAGACCAGGAAGACCAGCCTCCAGATCTGCTGTCAACTTCTTGTAGCTGCGATGATAACTCCTGAAACAATTTTTGTTGTTGTAAATGGAAATTAAAACCGAACGGGTGTAAGAACTACATGAACACTTGTTAACAGTCGATAATGTTCGTGTTGGAGTGATGCAAAAAGACTTCGTACTTAACATCATTAATTTTGCAGAGTAAGGGCATTAAGAGCGTTCTTTGTTTTAGAATTCCCTTATTCCTTAGCATCCACTCTTTGTTCCCCTCTCAATTCTCATTTGTTTAACGAAGGCATTTCCGATATTAATTGGCAACATTTTTCTTGCAGGCTCTGATTTGCAGGCCAGTTACCAAATTGATTTGATAAAGGTTTCTGATTAACAACCTGCTTCTTATTAGAAATGCCGTAAGTGCTGGTTAGTATTTGGTTAATACAGTGGTGTGGCTTAAAAGTGGAGGTCGATAAAAGCAGAGATACTAGAGATTGAGATTCTCCGTTAAGACTAATAACAGGCTGGAGCTTTACGGATGAATAATGCATTGTTGATTCTTAGAAGCGCCACGGGATTGCAGACTTGCAAATAGGACTTTATCCACAAATTACAATAAATTACGCATTACCAAAATCAGAAAATATGAAAATCCTTTTGTAGAATTTCCGGAAACTGATGTTTCTTTGTCAATTATTTCAAGGAGATTTTCAATGGATTATTCTGTTTTCTGAGATCACATTAGAATAATGATCTAAGTATTCCAATCGCAATTTTTCATTTTACTGACAAAGTTTTAGACCCATATTTGACTACATAAACACAAATATACATTTATTTTTCATACATTAGGATATTTTTTTTAAATAAAATAAGTGTACAGCTTAAAAAACACCAGCCTGACATTAATTTTACGACATTCTTATAAGTAAATATCTGCTTTTCTAGACGGTCATAACATTTGAGTTAGCGAAGTTTAAAAATAAAAAACCAGAAGCATAAAACATTATTAAACAAGAAAAGTTGGTGAAACACGGCATTATGCTGAAGGATGTACGATTATAGCTTGTTTTAAAATTCAGTGGTATCCACCTTTTTATGGTATTCAAAAATAATCGATTAACCCCTGAATATCGGATTATAAAACCTGTGCGTTGTCATACATAATAAGAATCCGCCTTTATTACCTATGCACACTTTCGTTAAGATTGCTTTAGTCATTAATTTTCTCTATTATTGTGAACGCTCAACTTCGAGCTTCACCAATTTATTGAAGAGCATTGTTTCATATTGAAAACTAAAACTATCACACGTCTATTCTCAAACCCTTGTAAGTAAAGAATTTGATTAATGATGTCAAGCCATCAATTCTGTTTTTAGATTTCGAGTTAAATTACAGTTAGTTTAAATGAAAAATAGTTTTTAGTTAAAATAAGAGGGAATGACATGTCGAAAGCTGTTTTCAATCTATAGGTGTTTTGCGATTTCCGTGTTCATGTTGTGCAAAGAGAGAAGTGAAATAGAGTTAAGAAAATTCGTTTGGTAAACGACTCTATTGCGTTTTTAAAATTGGCCATTAGTGGTTGTTGATAAGATCTTTACCTGTTCGGAATCATCGTCTGTTGTTATAGGAACTTCCACAGGAACTTCTGCTATGGTTAAGTTGTTTTCTGCACCACCTGATGACATGAAACACGTTATCTGGAAACAAATAATTAAATGTATACAACAAAAACAAAATCTATAAGCAAATTGTAATTGTAAGATATTGTAGAGAAAGTAAAAAAACTTAATTTATATATTACATATTTTTTTTTATAATAAACACTAGCTGTAGTACGGCTTTGCTGAAAAAGATGTATTCAAAAAGATTTAAATTAAATGTCAACTAATTTCTGGTTTACACATAGAAAAAAGCGTTTGATGTAAATTATTATTATCCGTCTTCGAGTTTCGAATATTGGGTATTATTAGAGATTTTGTTACAATGAAAAACATTTCTAATTATAATTGAGTTTTTAACTACCTAGAACATTTGGCAATAATCAAATTTTAAGAGTCTTTAAAAATCAATTACTTAAAGACTTTAAAAAACACTAAAACACTGATTTCAAAACGAAATGAGTTGATAACAAAACGAATTGAAGAAATGTCCTCGAACTTTTAATATATAAATCTAAAAATTTACATGGTTCATCATTCAGTTCTTAGAACACGAAATACAAAAATCAACAATGAAATTCTTGGTAAGCTAACACTCCATTTATTTATTTGAAAAATAAGTCTGAAAATAATTAACATTACATTTACATAAATACATTTCGGTAAATTGACTTCACTAAATTAATAATTGTTGTTCTCTTTTCCTAGATTGTTTTGGCCGCTTTAATGGCTCTCGCCACAGCCGAGCTCGTCGTAGGACCTAATGCAAGGACTACCATTACTGGACCTGATGGTAGTCAAATTGTAGCTGATGATTATAGCGGTTCTGTCCTCAACTCTAACTTGGTGTACACCGCACCATCAGTGCCGTTTGTTCGCTACGCTCCCTATCCATTAATTTCATCATACTACCCATATTATGGAAGATATGTGCAACTCGTCTGAAATTTGATAACTCTCTTGTCAAATTAAATCGAAATAAAATAGTTGTAGCATGAAATGTGTGGTTTCATTTTGACGATTTCTAAATCAAAAAAATAAATAAAATCGAAATTTCTTTTCCTTCAAAATTGTTTGAAATAAAAATCAATTAAATTCTTTATTTTTTCAATATTTTAATACATTATAAAAATTTATTTTGATAATGTTTATGTGTTTCATAAGAGAGAGAATTTCTTGTTCTGCTAAAGATGGGATTTAAGAAGTCAAACGATCCGTCATAAAACCCTCAAAGTTCCTAAATCTCTTATTAGCCATTAGGTGCAACTACAAGTGGGTCGGAAAATTCAACGCGGCCGTTAATAAAATAGTAAGGTAAGAAGCCGGGTCAAAGCGAGTTGCTCCAACTCCCCTAGGGCGATTGCTGGTCTTGCTACATCACCCTTGACGGCAGCGATGCGGTCCCAAACTCGACACAAGTACAATTCAATAAACTCTAATAAAAGCCCATTACACAGAATAAGATTTGGTTTCCAGTGCTACTGCTTTTGCCAGCTGAAATCCTTCCGAGCTATTCCCGTTACTCTCACAACACATGTCTTGAGAAAATAGGATTTTCGCACGACAGAACCTTTCACTTTTATTATTAAATCTGTAAATGACTGTTCTTGCAACGTGTTTTTTTACAAATCCGCATAAATTTTGAATTAGATTTACGTCTGCGTATGATTTTGGTGGCGATGGGGGTTTTCTTGCGGAAAATAAGGGTGATTCGTGTTATCACAGATGGTGAGGTCGAAAAGGCACTTTGGCGTAACCAGAGGGAAGGAACTCGAGTACCGTGGAGCGTAGAGCAGAGAGCACAATGTGATCTGCGAGTCTCGGAGGAATTCAGTCAAAGTGTAACGGAATTACGCGAGCGACAAGCTGCTTCATTGCTCCCTCGATACATCTTTCAGGTTACTTACTCCTGCCTGAAAACTCATCAAAGACCACACAAATTTCCACGTCAAACGGCTACTTTCCTTTTACAAAACCAAAAAAAAATTGTTTGTTTCATCATAATTACGTAAAATCTGAATCGTTTACAACTTTTGAATGAGAGTCAATTAAAATTTTATAAAAGGAAAATTATAAATAATTTACAACGCAAACTGTTACGTTCACTGGTTTGTATTATTACTACATTCCGTAAAGAATGATTTATAAGCACGCCACTGGCAGAAAATATTTATTTCCCAAGGGACCATCCTATTCCTTTTCTAATTTAAATACAAATATACAAAATGATTTAACTACATGTATTAATAAATGGATATATCAGCTTTATAAAAGGCACATAAGCGGCTTTATAATAACATTTTTCTTTATCTTATTATGCATAATCTGTATTTGCCTACAATTTCGAGAAATTATATTAGACAGCTTTATTTAACGTTGCAAGAAAGAACTGTTTTCCGTTACGATAAATTTATTATTTCGACGAAAAGTGCTCGATATACCCAAATTTCCTATTTGGTAGGGTCTAACTAAATAAAAAAATGGATTGTACATGCGAAACAATTTATGGCAAAGATAAATTACAGTCCGGAAAGTTTCAAAAATAGGCAATACAATAAGAGAACTAGCGAAATTGGGTTGAGTGTGTTGCTTAACGAGGGTGAAGAGTGGAAGCAAATAGTGCAGGCAAAGCTCCAAATCGTCTAGGATGTCTTGGCAAGGAGAGAGATTTCGGACCGGAGAACTGGCCGGAATGGCGCCTCTTTTACTACAGCCGGAATTGACCCGTAATTGTCGACAATTCATAAACTCTGCAGTAAAATGGAGTTACACTTTTTTACGAAACCAAAATTTGCTTTAATACTTTTTTGTTCAAATAATTTATTTATAACAGTTAAAAAGTAATCAGTATCTACTCTTATAAACAACTTGTTTTTATTTCTAACAAAAGAAAATTAACGCCTGGAAGTTATGCAACTTTATATACTAATGTGTACATGAGTGAATATTAAAAAAATGAAAAACCAAAAGATTTATTTTTTTATTAAAATTGCATCCCCAAAAACTGTTTCAATCCAAAAAATATATCTATCCTGCGTGATCATATATTCTTAGTAAAGGCCCCTAAATAGATAAAATTCAAACTGGATTAGTTAGGAACGATAAAACAACATTGCTGCTTAAAATCAATCTTATCTAAGAGCTGTCGCTGATAAATCTCTCTGGATTTACAGTGACCGCCCTAAATGTCCTAAACGTTTCTACTGAAGATGCTATCGGTCTCCTAGTAGCACATACCAAAAATTTTTTACATTTCTCGAATTTTTTAGAAAGAAACATAAACAATATAATTATGTTGTTATAAATATCTAAAAAAATATTCATTATATTCTGTAATAATGTCTGTATTCAAGTATAAAGCCATCCTCCCACTACAGGTGTCCCTTAACTGGTAATGATTTATTGCAAGTGAGTTGATAAAACCAGTATGGTAAGAATTAGACCATGGGACGTCCTGTCGTGTGGGTAAGTAAGTGAGTATGTAAATAGAATTTTGTTGGCTTCTTAACGTTGTATTTATAAAAATGTTTAATATACTATTGTGGTGTAACTACTCGTAATTTCAGCAAGCATTACATGTGGGAATAAACTCAATGTTTCGTAAATTGGCAATCTTCATAGAGAATTGCCGCACATTATCGATCTACATGAAGTTCCTATATATTGTTACGGACAACACTATTTGTCAAAGTATGACATATGTTTGTGTAACAATATTTCAGGCAGAGGATACATATCACCAAAGATGAAATGCCAAAAAAATAGCAATGATGTATGTCGAGAGGATGCGATATTTTTGAATCACATATTTTTTAATAGTTAAACGTTTGATTTATAGACTCTTTGTTATACTTCAGCAAACAATATAGGGTGCATAAGCTACGGGGTACAAGAAAACACTAAAATATTTCTTCTTCTGAAAAGAATATTAAAAATTATGATGACTGTCTAAGAAGAAAAATGGACGTCGTTTTTAAATACGTGTAAATAATAACAAATAATAAAATTTGATTGCAGTAAATATTGTAGACACATATTTATTGATAATGTGATATCGAAAACATGGCATTAAATTTTATTTTATGTCGCATATCATTTCATCCTTTTCACAAATTTTTAATTCATTTCTTTTAAAATATAATAAATCCAAGCATTTTTGTATTGAATTCAGCTAGAAAGTTTAGTATAAACGTCAAACATTTTATCGAAGTTCAACCTACGTAAATTTTCACTTGAATTGATAGTTCAAAATACTATTATATTTTATAAATTCTTCTCTTTATTCTTATGAAACAAGCCGACTATATAAAACATAAACATTCTGATCTTTGGCAGGATTATTCTACTTCAAAATACAGCTAAATCGCATAAGCGGTTTACTAGTGTTTTTACAAACTCATGAAAATCAATTTTAAAAGTTTGTAAAGCGTTTTTTGAAGTTTGTAAATGCTTGAACTGCTATATCTTTTATGATTATTTAGGGAAAAATACCTACTAGAAAAACTTTTGAAGGAGATACCTATAATAAAGAGAATATGTAGCGCCAACATTAAAACGTTCGAACAAAAATAAAATAACGCTTTCAAAAATAGTACTTAATAATTGTTACTATTATAAAATCCGTCTTAATTAACGCTTGATTTTGTGTAATTTTATTCTAGACCCTTTCACGTATTCTCCTGTCTCATTAAAATAATCGTCCCCCTATCAGTTAACATAATGCCACCACACACGTCATCCCCGGTTTGGCCTTGCAGGTGGGCCTTCCCTGCAAGCCCTGATGCTGAGTGCGTAGGAGCAAACAAGTGTAAGTAATAATAAAATTCGGAAACAAAACACATGTACAGCTCTGTTTTCATGCATGTAATGTGAATAACATAGTCCTAATACCTACCACAGACTAAATCTCATTTTATTTTATTAGGTACTGTCATCTAGATATTTCCTCATAAATATTAGAAGAAATTAAATCTAAGCAATCTTTCAGAAAGTAAAACAAATAAATGCGACAGAATGCGACAGTTAATATAATTTTGGTCAGTAAGTTGAATATACAAATATTCAATATACAAATATTGCATTGTTTTCCACCAACTACTTTTACGAAAAAATGTTAATGTGCTCACGGACAAAATTAAGTTTTAGTTTGCATTCAAAGTTGCAAATTTAAACTTAAAAGTTTACCAGAAACAAAAAAAAACGTTTGAAATATCAAACTTTTATAAACTGATTTACGCAAATTTTCTCTATTTTGTAAACAATAATATGTATTAAATAAATGTAAAAAAACGATTTAAAATATACAGCTATATCCTAAATTGTAAATGTTATTTGTGGCTTTTATTGACATTTTTTTTTACCTTTACTAAATAATTACTCCTATAAAAAAAACACATACAGGATCATCAGTATCATTAAATAAACATAAAAAATGTCAAACGTCAAAAATTAAATGTCAAAATTTGTTGACACTTTTCCATGTTCCTAGTATATGTGGTGTGCAAGTGTGACACACCCTGTATAAGATAAACAACAATAATAATGTATAATAATGCTAGTTGAAGATTTTTCGTTGTTATTAGTATAACTACGTAGAACAAAAAACAAAATAATAATTGTTATATTTTATTCAGTTTAAATACGTTAATGTTCTCAAAAGCGCTCAACCACAATAAAGACACGAACAGCCTAAAATTACAGTCAACTACATAAAACATCCTCGCCGTCTTTGGGTTTTTGGCATTCTAAGCATTGTTTAAATTAAGTATCAAATATTTGCTTTAAAGACTAGTAAATTAGAATTGCTTATTAGTTACCAGACAGAAAACTTTTGTGAGATAATTATATTAGCTTTTATTATTAAAATAAATAATGATAAAACATTTTTGAAAAACTAAAATATCAAAAAAATTTTAAAATTTTAAGTTCTAACACAAAATGAAGTA